CTGGTAGCTAATGTCAGAACAGAGTCAGAATGCAGATAAGAAAGAGCAAAGCTGGAGAACATACCTTGAAAATAAAAGTAATCAGAATAAACAAAATAAACTTACCTTAAACTCTATTCATCAGTTATAAATGTGTCCTTAATGAATCCTTCTTGGATCTGTCCATGTAATAATAATCCTTGCATTTGATATAGTGCCTTATAACATCTTCGAGATGTCTCAAAGAGTTTCACAGAATATACTGCAAGGGAAATGACTGTATATTTTGTGGGCAAAACACGGCAGCCAATTGCGCAAAGCAGTGTCCCACAAACAGTCGTGGATTGAGTGACCAATTTTTCCAGAAAAGCGATTCGCCAATCGACTGATAATCGGTCTCTCGTTTGCGAGGCGAGTGCTCTAACCAGTGAGCTACGGGACTTCACTAATCAAGCATTATCAAAATGATTTGTAGTGTATTTGATTCAAATATTATCTTTCTTATTGTCTCATAAATTATAGTAATGCTTGCATTTGAGTAAGTGTAATTTAAGGAAACAAGTTATATTTTTATTGTGTCTTATCATAACTCCCTTGAGCCTCCTAAGTAAATATATAATGTATAAAAATCCGCTTTGGTTAACTATCAGTTAAACTTCCAGCAGTTATTTTCCAAATAATGTGGTTTGGATTTAGACTTGCTCATGCATCATTGTGAAATTGTTTGTTACAGTGATTTTGACATGATGGTTACCATTAGCAGCTGGTCCATGGTTTCTTATTGTTCAAAGATGCAAACCTGAAGAATCCTGTAATTTATATACAATGATTCTTAACACCAAGTGACCAAAGCAGCGGGGTCAGAGCGCACAAATTGCTTGGCTGGTGATGGGTCCCCTAACTACTTCCTCATGGTCTTGTTCTAGCCGATGGACAACAGAGAATTCACCGTAGCTCATGTCTAGAAGAAGCATTTCCCTCACTGGAGGAACTCAAAGCTCCATGACACCTAACTGTAAACAGTTTCAGCTCTAAGTGTAAAGACAAAAATGGGATACACAGTGAAGCTCTTTGTACTTTATCATGACAAAGTACCTTAACACCATACCTTCTACTGCATCAATGTGAATGAGATTATCTATTGAAAATCATTATGTGCCATGCTTCTATTTATTGTAAAATGACATAACTAATGAAAAATATTACAGAATGATTTGTAATTATAATACATAATTAAGGACAACTATATTCAACAGATCATTGTTAACCCCTGGGTTAATAGCTCATTCTCAGATGCCATAATGATGCCCTCCAGAGTATCGGAGAGGAAGAAAAGCAAAATTTTGAAGTTTAAAGGCTTCAATGATAATTAGAATAGCATGACATCTTTGTTAGCTGTACGCTGGCATTGAGACCTAGTGCCTCATGAGGCCTTCATGATAAAACTGGAAGCTTTGGGAATACATGGCAGAATCCTGGATTTTATCCAGAATGTGTACTCCAGCTCCAAGATTTGTGTAAGAGTTGACAGTGAACTTATTGAGTCCATCCCTCTGGAAAGTGGGGTAAGGCAAGGCTGCCCATTGTCATGTGTTCCTTTTCATTGTGTTCATCAATGACGCGTTGGATGCCATTGAGGGGGAAGGACGTAGTACATCTAAGCGGATGACACTAAACTAGGTGGGAGAGTAAGCTCTGAGGATGATGCAAAAAGATTGCAACGGAATATAGATAGGCTAGGAGAGTGGGCGAGTAGCTGGCAGATGGAATTTAATGTGGGGAAGTGTGAAGTTATTCACCTAGGTAGAAAAAATAGAAAAACAGATTATTTTCTGGAGGGGGAGAGATTAGATAGTGTTAGTGTTCAGAGCGATTTGGGTGTCCATACACACCAGTCTCAAAAAGTTAGTTTGCAGGTGCAGCAAGCAACTAAGCAGGCGAACGGCATGTTAGCGTTCATTGCAAAAGGTTTAGAGTACAAGAGTAGGGAAGTCTTGCTGCAACTGTATAGGGCCTTGGTGAGACCGCACCTAGAGTATTGTGTGCAGTTTTGGTCTCCTCATTTAAAAAAGGACATACTTGCCCTAGAGGGGGTGCAGCGTAGATTCACTCGGTTAGTTCCTGGGATGAGGGGACTGATCTATGAGGATAGGCTGAATAAACTAGGGCTAAATTCTCTAGAGTATAGAAGAATAAGGGGAGATCTTATCGAAACATATAAGATTCTTAAAGGGCTGGATAAAGTAGACACTGAGGGTCTGTTTCCCCTGGTAGGAGAATCTATAACCAGGGGCCACAGTCTTAAAATTAAGGGTCAGCCTTTTAGAACAGAATTGAGGAAACATTTCTTCACTCAGAGGGTAGTGAATTTATGGAATTCACTACCCCAGAAGGCTGTAGATGCTCAGTCCTTGAACATCTTCAAGGCTGAGACAGATAGCTTTTTAAAAAATAGAGGGATTAGGGGATATGGGGATAGGGCAGGTAATTAGAGTTGGATCTGAAGATCAGCTATGATCTTATTGAATGGCGGAGCAGGCTCGAGGGGCCGAATGGCCTACTCCTGCTCCTAATTCTTATGTTCTTATCTGTTCCAGGCCTCTCTAACAGGATTGCAGCACTTCTGTTTGCATATATTGTACTGCTGGCGGACTCACCTAGGAACCTTCTGCACAGCACCTGCCATCTTGAACACTGGGCCAACTGGTGGGACATGGTGGTAGGTGCCTCCAAGTGCAGAATCATGGTTCTGCGCAACCCAAGGGAAGACATCGAGGGAATTGATTGTAAGATGCAAGGGGCATCAGTCCCAATTGTTGGCTCCAAGGTAACATGCCTGGCAATGGAATGTCGGAATCGAGCCAGGCCTTTCTAATATTCTCGATAGTCTGGTTCCTGAATTATGCAGGTCCGTAGTATTCCTGGGTACTGCTGATGACAGCACAGCCAGCCTGGCTCATTAATGGGACATGGAAGGACAGACCAGTCACTGGGGCAGGGAGTCATCCCATTCAGCTCCTGTTCACTTTGCAAGTCATAGCCCTAATGGGTAGGGTGGTCCTAGCTAGACAAGCAGCAGGGAAGCTTGTCAGATAGCATTATCAATGGCAAGCTATGTGTTTTCAGCTGGTTAGACTCCAGCAGTACCCCAACGCACACTCTGGCCCTTGGCTCTTGCCAAACAACGCCTAATACTTTCCAGAATTAGGCAAGCAGGATGCATCCCTCCAGAGAGTGTGCAATCCATCAAACTATCTCTGGGATTTCCATATGTAGGTAGAATGCATGGAAATCTCAACTTGGTTTGGATACTCTTAAACACGATGATGGTTTTCCACGTCAGGCACCCCAGCTGACCAAAAATAATCAAACATTCTGTATGTTAATTTGTTGATATCATTGTTCATATTGCTGTAATATATTTTCTATTAGGTTTTGTTAACTGGATATGTATTTCATTATAGTCTGTATTATACTGACGGTGTGTAATAAACCTGAAAGTTAGGTATCAAAATGCTACAACTTTGAAAATCATGACACCTTGTGGTGATTCTGGAGCACAGCAATGGTAATAATAATAATAATAATCCTTGCATTTGATATAACGCTTTTCACGTCGGGAGGACGTCCCAAAGCGTTTCACAGAACACACTGTAAAGTGAATTGACTGTATATTTGTGGGCGAACGCGGCAGCCAATTGCGCACAGCAATGTCCCACAAACAGTCGTAGATTGAAAATGACCAATTTATTATTGTTTTTGGTTTTGGAGGGATTATTATTAGGCTCTGTGTGGAGTAAGGAAACTTGCCCAAGGTTTCGCCCTGCCTGGAATTGAACTCAGGTCTCTTGTTTGCAAAGCGAGCGCTCTAACCACTGAGCTACAGGACTCCACAAGTAGACTTCAATTGCGAGCATTTTCACATAAAGCTGCAAAGGAATTTCATACAATACTTTTCTAAATTTCGCCTAATATACAGAATCCGCATTTAGCAAGCCAAACTGAAGCAAATTAACACAGAACATTAAAATGTTTAATTCAACAAGATCCAGTCACATTTCAAAAAGCAAAATAATTTGATTGTACTTTTGGGTAAATATAAAATTACAAAGTTTGTCATTAAATTATAGTAATCATTCATGTTTTTAGAACAAGTCATGCAATTTTTAATTTATCTGATGTAACTATCACATGTCGTTCCTGGCAAACAAGCCACATCCAAACGGTCCCTATTGAGACGATCCCACCAAGGTGAATGCATTCCTTAAATTTTTCCTTAAGAGCAAAACAGAAAATAAATTTATGGCTAATTCAATTACCGAATAAAAACAATGTATGTTTCTTATATGACTGGATCTGGTACTTCTGCATTTTAAACACCATATTAATCCCAGCAAGTTTAGGAGTTTCATTGTGAAATGATGTAAGATAGTTCCCATTTGATTAGCCCAGTTCATCAATGCTCTGATTCATTTTGAACTGAGCATGCTTTTCCTGCAGTTACACCACTTTGCAATTATTGCGCATTGCAAATCAAATGAATACCTTGAATCACTTTTTACACACACCTATATATATATATAAAAGGTTGATGACTGGGGGGGATAAAGGGGCTGTGTGAAGGTGGCAAAAGGCCCTCATTCAAGAGATTTATTTTAAGAAACTTCGAAGCCTGAGACTTGTGTGATAAAGGGATTTGAGGAAGGAGTTTTAGAGCGGAAGCTGCCGCATAGTGGGGCAGAGAGACCAGGAACTTGCAGCAGAACAAAGAAAGTGGATGTTAAAAAAAGCTTAGGCAACAAAACATTCAGCAGTGGAAATAAGGCAGGGACATTGACAAGCAATGTTTCAGACATGGAGAAAACTAAGTGATATGAGAAGTGAGGAATGAAGTAGTCAGAGATAGCCATTATGAAAGTCAGTCAGTCAAGGTTGACAAGTTACTACAATTTAATACCTTGTAATCAAGCATCCTATATTAAATTGTAGCATTGAAGTATTTAGTAAACACAAAGATAGTGCAAGTTTTTGAACTGGTTTATTAATGAATACACCCACCTTCTTGAAAGGGGAAAAATGATCTTACCAATTACAGCACATTAGTGGTGTCATATCCTCATATCAGAAAGACTAAATTCATGTTGATTCAATTCATTTTGATTACTGCTGTATTTTCTCAAGAGATCTGTGAAAAATGTTTAATAGGGGAAATGCTAATTGTTTTTTCTATGGGTTTCTAAAGCAAAGGTCTGACAAAGTCCAGTAGTTTAGCTCGATAGATCACTAGCCCCATGGGGAAAAGAAAGTATTTAAAAAAACGCTTCAAGATAAATCTTACATCCATTTTGTTCAAACCAGAATGTAAAATGTCAAGAATAAAAAGTCCCAAACACAAGATTTAATACACATCTGTTACCTATCTGAATGATTTTACCACAACTTTCTTTTTACAAGTTATCAAATGTTTTGGCCAAACAAAAAGGTTACATATAACCCAATTTAGAGATTCCTAAACAAAAGCATCTCACTGCATCTTATTCACATCTCAAGACTAATCTTAGAAAGTCATATATCCATACACCTATATCCTTTTTCACTAAAATTCAAAATGCACATTTTAAAGAACCAGACTGTAAACAAACATTTGCAATATTGGTTACTTGACACACAAGAACTGCTTAACAGAAAGTCATTTCATAAATACAAGTATCAAAACAATCCTCAACACATTGACATTACAAATAATCTGAACCCACACCGCGGAAAAATAATGAGCAAAAACTTCAACAGTTCTTATTGAATTAGTTTGGTTTACATAAGACAACCTAAATTGTTTTAATACAGCTCTTTAATTGAGGTTTCAGAACATGCCATTATATAACTACTGCCTTTATTAACCAATAATCTTGTGTAACATACATGTGTTATGATCAGACAGTAAATGACATATTTCCCCTCCCCGTTCCCCCCCCCCCCCGCCCCCCCAGCCGAGGTTCCAAATGGCTTTACAATATCATCACCTTGATAAGAGAAAATAAATTACTTTGTGCCATTACTAAATTTAGCTGTTCCTGAAACATTATTTTAGGCATACACTGCATTTCAAGATTACAAATGTCCAGGTCTTAGTTAGATGGAATTCTTTAACGTGTGGGTTTTTAAACATTGTGGAAATTTGAAGAGACATGAACAGGAAGTGAGGTTTAAGACAGAAGGCTTTGGATCCATTAAAATTAATAACTGTACAGTTGTCCTTCTGGGGGCTGTGGAAGCTTCATATTGTCCTTGTGCACCATTAGACGTCGTAGCTCTTGTAGAATAACCTTAATGGTATATGAATGTTGCCACTTTGATAGAACTTGTATATTTTGCGTATCCAACTACAACAGAAACAGACGTTATTAATCCCTTTAGATTTTGCAGAATGATGTGCACTTAAATTGTACTGGGCATTCAGTGCCAAGACCAGGTGTCAAAGGGCTCTTGAATTCAGAAATCTGACAAATTAAACTTGCTAGGACTTTGTACCAGACTGCATTTCGAACATGGAGCCGAGTAAGTTTCAAAGCTTATCAATGAAACTGAAGACACCTGCCGATGCTTCATACACCAGCTCATGAAGCCAGTGAACAATTGACCTTTTGTTTGAGCCTCTAAGCCTTTCATTGGGTCTTGACCAAATCACTTTCCTCCACATCTGCAATATAACCAAGATTCCATCCCTACTACATCTCCATCCCAGCCGAAGCCCTCACTCACACCTTCAGTACAACCAGACTCGATTTCTCCAATGCCCTCTTCAGTTTTCCTAACTCAATAAGCTCCAAATTGCCTGACTCAGTTGGTAGCACCCTCGCCTCAGAGTTAGGAGGTTGTGAATTCAAGCCCCAAGACCGAACTTGCAACCCATACAGTCTACGCTGATGCTCCAATGTACTGGGGGTGTGCTTGCAATGTCAGAGATGCCATCCCTTGGAATGAGACATTAAACTTTCGGCATTTTCAGGTGGATTTCAAAGATTCCATGGGACTTTTCAAAAAGAGAAGGGAGATTCTACCGATGGCCTGGACAGCAATCGTCCCAAATATAAAAAAATTGGTCATTCACTCCATGGCTACTTGTGGGACATGGCTACGCACAAATTGACTGCCTCGTTCTCGCACAAAATACAGTCAAACCACTTTACAGTATATCCTGTGAAGCGCTTTGAGATATCTCGAAAGCAGGATAATAGCTGCATTCAATATAGCGCCTTATCACATCTTCGAGATATCTCAAAGCGCTTCACAGAGTGTATTGTAAAGTGAATTGACTGTATATTTTATGAGCGAACAGGCAGCAGCCAACTGTACACAGCAGTAATAATAATAATAATCCTTGCACTTTCACGTCGGGAGGACGTCCCAAAGCGCTTCACAGAACACACTGTAAAGTGAATTGACTGTATATTTGTGGGCGAACGCGGCAGCCAATTGCGCACAGCAATGCCCCACAAACAGTCAGATTGAAAATGACCAATTTATTATTGTTTTGGGTTTTGGAGGGATTATTATTAGGTGTGGAGTAAGGAAACTTGCCCAAGGTATCGCCCTCTGCCTGGAATTGAACTCGGGTCTCTGCTTGCAAAGCGAGTGCTCTAACCACTGAGCTACAGGACTCCACAAACAATTGCGGACTAAGTGACCAAATTATTATTATTTATTTTTATCGAGATTACCTTCGAAAAAGCAAGCCACCAATCGTCTACTAACTGGGTTCCTACTTACTGCGAGGTGAACAGACATGTGGAGTAAGGAAACTTGCCTAACATTTCACCCTGTCCGGGAATCGAACAGAAGTCCTCTCGCTTATGAAGCGAGTGCTCTAACCAATACACTACAGATCAATTCCCTCAGCTAGTGAAGCGAAAGAAGTCAATCAGGGTTCCAAACACTGTGGGCTTTCTATAGGATAGGCACTATATCAAGTGCAAGGATTATTATAAATTATCCACAACTCTGTAGTCCGTATACTTTCCTGCAACAAGATCTGTATGCCAATCATCCCTATCCTCACTGGCTCCAAAGACTCCCTATTCCTTAACTCAAAATACTACAGATGTTGGAAATCTGAAACAAAAACAGAAGTCACTGGGACTCACTTTCCTTTCTCCATGGATGCTGCCTGACCTGCTGATTGTTCCCAGCAACTTCTGTTTTTGCTCCCTATTCCTTAGCAGGTGGTCTTCAAGATCCTTATTCTAAATTTCAAGTGCCCCATCTTGATCTCCTCCAGCATTACTCCCCTAGCCACTCTCTCCACTCTGCAAACTCAGGCCTACTTTACAGTTCCTCCCCCTTCACCTTACCGTTGGCAAATGAGCTTTCAGTTAATTTGCCCTTGGGAACCTTCCCTAGTTTCCCCCCTTTTGGTAATCTCCCACCATCTCTCCCCCCTCTCCCTCCCCCTCCNAAAAACATCTTCCACCCTGCTCAAGTTCCCAATCAATTCTTGTGAAGCCTTTCTAGTCATCTTAAATGACTCTGTATAAATGCAAGTTGTTACCACTCAAAATGACTAAGAAGATGTTAAGATTCCTGTATTGCAGTCCGAATACAAATTTTCCTTAAACACACAATTACTTTTAAATTTCAAAAAGTGCAAACAGGGATTTTATTTTGAAATGTCACATCACTGATTAAAATTTAGGAACACATCGTGGTTTCCACCTCACGCAAAAGTATCCTTCCTCAACAACTCACACAGCCACTGAGAACAGACAAAGTAAGTACTTTTCAAGGGAATCAGAGAAACATCAGATGGACATTAAAAAATTAGGTAACGATAGGCTAGGTCCTAAAACTAAATTTAATTGCTTTGTTATAGCTGCCAAAGACACAGAGCAGATCATTTCTTGGGGATCCCTTAATTTATTCTCATAATTCAGATCATTAATGGCTCTATAAGAGATTGGCTTTCAATTCATAAATGGATTCTGGTAAATCCTCCGAATAAAAACCATCAGTCCATGACCAGTTTAAATCAACAGGGCCGCATTGGTTTTAGGTTACAGATAGCCAGCCCAGCTTCATAATTATGTTTTGAGAAATACAATCTTGCCTGAAATCATATTTAAATATAATTAATGCCTTAATGTGATTTTTATACCACAATTTAAATATGTCCCAATCTAATACAATTGTGATTCTGTTAGCAACGGGTCTGTTCCATTTCAAATTGGCTTTAACTCCATAAATTATTAAAAATAGCTAGCCGACAAATCCTAGCTGCTCACTCAATTACTCTACTCAAAAACAGAGTAAACATAATAGAGTGAGCATCATAAGAGTACATCATTCAGAAATGGAAAGCAATTTATTTTAAATGCATTTTATACATAGATTCCTCTCTTGCTCCAGCACACAATACACACACCCCCTGACCACTGAAAGCAGTGAGCTGCTTTTTGACAAAACTGAAAAAAATGAAAACATTTCACACCAATTAAATAGAAAATAGTTAAGAGTGGCATATGACAGCTTTTAAATTGCATCACAGTTTCATGCACCACTTAACAAGAATGAGTTAAAAGTAAAGACTTGGGCAACTGCCCACTTACCGCGCCATTGGAATTATTTATTCCATTCATATTTATTTTCGTTAAAAATTTAATACTTGGAGGTATTTCTGGATATTTAGGCCCACATTCTATTCTCAGGCTGTATATTCTGTTTTCATAATTTGTCTGAAAGAAAAAATTAGCAGGGTTCATTTCATGTATTTCAGGGATTAGCATCTTATTGATGGAAAAAATACATATTAATATCTTCCAGAATCTGATATCCACACTATCCAGGAGTAACATCAATGAGGACATAAAAGCATTGTGGGTACATTAATACGTTAAATACAATACAAAACAGAATTGTAGAATTCTACAGAATCTTGAAAATACAAGGTAGATTTCCCTCTGACTCACTATCCACACACAGAGCCTGTTCTTCCTTCCCAACAGGACCAGCCCTTTCTCTCTATGGTTACATTTAATCTGAAGCAATCAATTCTGAATAACGAGTACATGTTAAATTAGACACAAGATTGCCTCCTAGACTCGGGTCCAAACAATTATTTGTAATAAATTTTATATATTATGTATTATCTTCACCAAAATTCTCTTCAGCAACAGCGATTCAATAAAGAATTATGACTGCAAAAGTAGCAAAAACATGTGGTGACAAAAGATCCCATCCTCTTCGGCCATAATGTCATTACCAAACTCTCCCTCCCTGATCCACCTGAGGTAACAATAAATCTTAATAATCCATTAGGCATAGATAGACCTCCTCCAAAACTTCTGTACAATAAAATTTAAATTTAAATAGCCACATCTTATTCCTCTAAGATGAACGAGATACAAGCTGCTGAGGCCAAACCAACTTGTTCAAAACACAAGGCGAGTTACATCATTGAATTCCAAACTTAAATACAGAGTAAAAGCCAGAAAAAAAACTTCAATACTGCATTTCTCAGACTACCTGCTATAAGGTTCAATTCTGGAGATAGTGGTCAAGTACCACCCCCATTTACTGCATCTCTAACAGAAAAAGTTGAAAATATCCATAACTAAATACTTAGTCAAATTCTCAGACTAATGTGTGTAATTTAAAACAAGTTAGATAACTTGCAGCCAGAACACTAAGATCAAAATGTTGCAAACCAATCCATTTGCATCTTCCCATGGGGACTCCTGGGTCTAATGAAGCATTAAAAAGCAATCAACATATCTAAGTGGGTTGACCTTACAGGTGGGTTAGTTCTATAACAGACAACACTTAACTAATAAGGGCAACGAAAAACACAGCAGTGCATAGCAACCAGTGATAAAAGAGGCACTAATTTAGCTTCAGCTATGCATCACACAATAAGTACTTAAGCAGGCTTAAGTCACAGCATCTGGCAGTTCCTCTCGTCTCTGCTGGTATGTTAGGCCACAATGCATTCTCTGCTGAAGGTCTGCTAGCAGTAATAAAAAATTTCCTGCCAAACAACAACCATCCTCATTGGGAGACTGCAAGGTCAGAGCAGTGCTGATTCATCGCAACAGTTCTGATGGAACATCTGCATAGCAACTACCAAAATCAATGTTCTGATTAGGTAATTCTTTGGATATATAGGGGAAGTTATTTCATTTCATCAGTTAGCTGCTACCAAATACTGATAAGCCTCTGAAATATCATTATCATTGTCCAAGGTTGATGGAATTTAAGTTACGATCTGAAAGATATACTTGAATAGTCCGGTGACCTCAAACTAGAACTGTGTTCTCCAAAGTCTCTGAACCAGTTTGTGAAGAGGCTTGTTTAAGCTGATTGCTTATAGAATTGCATGGCAAGAGGAAAAACAAAAGAACCGACTAATTGCTCAGCTCAAACATTGAATATTATAATCTCTTCAAAAGCTATGCTTATGTTCCTCACCTGAACATCTCACGTAATTGACATACATTATAGTTATACTAATGGAAAAGAATTCCTGCAACTTAAATAATAGGACTAAGGTTTAACTTGTGTAATGAGTTCCATCCATTTTGGCAGAAATAACATTTTTGTCAGTAACAAGCTTGAATAAAACTGTTGAGGTGCGACCAGCAATGCAATTTAAGGAATACACCCTGGAAACATCCGAGATCAATTGTTCTAAATTGTTGTAGTGTATTTCTAGCATTTCACAATTTGTACTTCCATTCATCCAATTTTTGGGGTGGAAATTGGTCAGGAGCACCATACAATTCTGGAATGAAAGCTCCAAATGTTAACCAATTTTACAAGTTTGCCCCTTTACTTAGCATCTGCATATATAATTTATTAATGCCATTTTATTTTAGTTCTGACAATCTTTTGTCAACTGATTGGAAATGGGGTAAAGTAGGCCATAGCCTCTCCCTACAATAACATAACTCAAAATCAGGAATTTGCGGTTGCAAAGTTATCTCACAACACTCCACTGCTCAGCACACAGGTGGTCCAATGCACAGAACTATCCCACTTCAATAGCAAACAATTTCACAGTTGAAAACATCTAAATATTTGAGTAGGATGCATTTGGATATCTGTAGAATTTGATTTAAAACAAGGTTTACTTCCCAAATGTGGTGCAAAATCCACTGAAAAATGAAATTGTTGCTAAACTGCCACCATTACTCTAGGTGCTCTCCTTCATTTGAATTAAGTTACTGAAATAACCAGTATATGGGACAAAGTACCAAAATTTGCCAGACCTAAATCCAACGAAGAAAATTTTGTTTCACGAGTCTACACAGTGACTTAAAATTGAAAAACTAGCATTAAATATCAATATCAGAAATATTTAACACTTTTGAAAGTTGTGTCCTCAATAGTTGCAGTAAATTCCTGATAACAAGACCCTGGCTAAACTAGTCACTACCACTTAACAATAATTCTTGCAGTTGATATAGCGCCTTATCGCGTCAGAGACGTCCCAAAGTACTTCACAGAATGTACCTTAAAGTGGATTGACTTTATTTTGTGGGCAAATCGTGGCAGCCAGTTTGCACACAATGTCCCACAACCAGCCATGGAGTGAGTGACCAATTTTTAAATTTTATTTTGGGGATTGTTGGCCAGGGCACCAGGAGAAACTCCCTTTTTCGAATAGTGCCAAGGGATCTTTAAACTACCTGGACAGGCAGACGGAACTTCAGTTAATGTTATCCAAAGGACGGCACATCCAACAATACACCACATCAAGCATTGCAATGAAGTGTCAGCTAAGACTATGTAATTCCAAGTCCCAATGTGGGGCTTAAACCCACAACCTTCAACTCAAGAGTCAAAGTGTTATCACTGCACCATTTTGAAAATCCATTGGAATGTTGCACCCAACATGGGGCTTGAACGCACAACCCTGAGATCAAGGGTTTCATGCTCCACTGATTGAACTAGATGGGTTCTTAATATTGATGGTCTGTTGTTCGGTTAAGTTACCATGCTGTCAATATCCCAGCTGCTTCCCTTGCAAAATGTTAACAAGGGTCTCCACTTTACTTGTCACTCCACTTAACAATAAGTTGCATTCCAGAAATTCTTGTAAGTACATCATTTGGATAACTTGTCCTAAGATGGTATCTTGCATCGCAGAGGCCTCCCGTCTTACCCTGATGCCCGGTGTAGGTTGGACGCTCCTGTTCAGTTGCCACGGAGGCAATCCAATAGACCAGAGGCCTCTGCGATGCACCTGAGCATGCGCACTCAATCTCCATATCAAGTGCCTGACCAGCTACAGTATCCCTTTATGGCTCAGAAGAAACTATGTCTAACTAGCCACTCTTGATAACTGATCGCTGAGCCCCGTTCCCTTGGAGTGACGAGTTACCAGGAGTATATTGTACAGTATCAAGATTGGTGCATGCTAATCACATCAGCACAAGAATTCCCTTTTCTTTCTCCCCCCACCCCATCAACCCCAGCTTTGGGAGAGAACAAATTTCTGAAAAAAATAGAAGTATTTAACTCTGTATTACTTGCTAGCTTACTGACCTTGGGTGGTCCGATAATCATTCCTGACCATAATGTGAGGGTCATATCTTCATCATCCAGAAGGCCCCAGCTCACAGTTCCATCACCTACACCTTTCTGACCTTCTTCAAGCTCTTCCAACAAACGAAAATTGCGAGGTATTACCACTCCTATATAAGAAAAATTAGTTGCTATTAAACTGTCAGATGACAATGCAAGTTTCAAATACATCTATAAATAGACAAAACCATCAATCAATGCTTAGTCTGTATTAAAGTTTAAGAAAAAATGTAAAAATATTTCAAACACTACAGCATGGTTTACCAGATTGCGAAATGTTAACACACAGTACTATAGTCTTCTACCTATACAAAATGTAGATTTACACCAACTATTCAATATTAAACCAAAAAATGGAATATCAGAGTTGCCTTTACAGATCTTCTGAATTTGGACAAAAATTAAATCTATTGTCTTCCCCAAAAAACATTTGCAGGATAGAAACATCCTGCATGTTTCTTCAATTAATTTAACTTAAGCTATTAAAAGTTACTTTGAATTGCAGTGACAACACTGACAACCAGCATCAGACGATTCAATCGTGTTCCTCACCACACGATTCAAATTGACTTTCTTATCTGTATGGCTAAGTGCTACACGATCTTCATTTTCATGTCCATCAGGGGAGCTCAAAAAACACCGTAAACAAAATTCCACAAAAGATTAACAAACGTCTCTGAAAATGGTGCAACCAGTATGCTGCTTTTAAAACAGGCTCCAATAGGAGGCAGCCACATGAACTCATTCTTCGGACAATACAACAAGAACCACTGTAGTGCCCAATAGTATATGTAGTTCCAACATCCCACACAGTAAACTGATAATCTTATTCCATGTTATTTTAGATAATAGTAATCCCTGCATTTGATATAGGGCATATAGCATCAAAATGTCTGAAAACACTATGTAGGGTAATTGCTATCAAGTGCCATGATTGTAGATATTTGCAGACAAGCTGAATACAGCAGTTATGATGTAAATGATTTAATTTTACCTGATGATGTTTGGTAAGTACACAAGGAGAAACACCTCTTTTCAAAGTATCTAACTGAACAGGCAGATGTGACATTGGTTTAATTTGAAAAGTCAGCAGGTCTGATAACTCATTGGAACATCAGCCTGGATTGTAAACTCAAATCCGAAAGTGGGATTTGAATCCACAAGCTTCTGACCCAGAAGCAAGAGTGCTACCAAGCGAGCCAGGCTGGCATCTGACAAATGAAGCGAAGGCAGAAAAACCGAGGGAGACTCAGCCCAGACTAATTCACACAAGGGAATCAGTTACAGAGTGGCACACAGACAGAGACTCTCCTTTTCCTCCCAAAGTTAAAAAGCCAAGTTAGTCAGTCTTTCGATACAAATGAATACAAACAGTTCTTAACATTGTAGTTTAGATAAGAATACAAACCCATGCCTCTAACAACATGAAATATAACTACATCTCCAAAGATTTTATCAAGGGAATGCTATTCTAGCAAATTTACACTTGGGAGTGGTAACCTCTAGATTTGCCAATATGAAGAACTGGAATGTTTAACAGTAGTTATTTAGCTCGGACCAGCTTGTCTATTAAGACTTTGGTTTGTAGATTTGGTATCACACCTACCCCTTTAAGTACTATTGATGAGTCAGACAGGATAATATATGAAATATATCAAGATTATTATGAATCTGTCAAGCACATCTGAGACGATTCAACCATAGGGGAAATGGTTTACAGCTCATTGCTGGGCCTACCTGGGTGCAACTCAAAGACACTTGGGTTAAAAAGTGAAATTAAGCAGACAGGAACTTTTATCCTTTCTTATTTGTACACTTCTCTTCTGTGGAGAAGCTGGTTTACAACAGTAGCTAAATGGAGGCACTCATTTAAAATACTAAAAATCATCTCTGCAAGTTACTACATACTACCCATTATCAGGCATTGGTTGGATAACAGTCAAATCCCAGTGAACAACAACTTGCATTTAAATAGCATCCTTCACATGGGGTAGCGTCCTGAAACGCTTCACAGTGGTGGCGTCTGATAACGAGCCATAAGGGAGGTGACCGAAGTACGACCAAACAGGAAGATCTTTCGTGGGGATTTGAAGATGGGGCGGGAGGGGGCAAGGCGGAGGGATTGAGGTAGAGTGTTCCAGAGTTTCGGGGTGTAGTTGCTGAAGGCACGGTCACCGATGGTGGAGGAGGTGACGAGGGGCAAACAGGAGGCCGGGTCAATGGATGGAGTGTCCGGTAAGCAGGTCAGATAGGTAGTGAGGTGCGAGGGCATAAAGGGATTTGAAAATGAGTGAGGGGATCTTGAAATCGATCCATTTGATGATTAGGAGCTAGTGGAGCCTGGCAAGGACTAGTGTGATGGGGGTACGGAGTTTTGTGCGGGTGAGTATCTGGGCAGTGGAGTTTTTAATTAATTGGGACTATTTGGGATTCAAATCTGTAAACATAGGGATACAAAGAATGTTTCAGCTGATAGTATAAACCACTTATGGCTAATTATGGGCAACTCAAACAAACTGTACTTGTAGATGCTATTAAGACTAATTTTACATTCCAAGTGCATTTTCCACTACTAAAATCACTGTAAAATTTATGGGCCAGTGGTAACTTTCAGAAGAATAGGGAAATATTTGCTACGTTAAGAATAATAAATCAGTGCATTATACCAGAATTATTGCAACTGATGGATGACATCTACCTAAGCACCACAAAACCCTTTTTTAATCGAATCATGGAGCAACAGAAAGTGTAAAGGCTCTCTCCCTCACAAGATTAACTGAGCTGCTAGACAGAGAACTGCATAGCAGTGATCTACTGCACCACATATTGAAAATGAGAGAAGAGGAACAAGACTGGCAGATTAACAAGTACATAGTTGATTAGGCAGTGGCAAAAGTGGTTCACAACTACATCCACAATCTATCCTCTCAAAGGATTTAAAGGGTAGTGAAATGCACTAAAGGAAAATGGGATGAACCAAATAAAATCAAATTACAAGATTTCCCATTGATGGCATGGAGGGGGCCAGAAGGGCAGTACGACCACGAGAGATCGCAGAAGTAAGGTGGGGCAGGGGATGGAGGCATTTGAATATAAGGTCAAAAAAGGGATCAGGGCTCATAGATGATCTGGAGCTTATGGAGGCTGGCCAGCAGAGAAACAGAAAGTTAAGATGTGACTAAAGCTTTGGATGAGGATTTTGCCTGCAGTGGGCATGAGGTTGTGTGGAGTCAAGCGATATTGCAGAGAGGGCAAAAAGCGGAATTGGTCATAGGCTAGATAAAGGGATAAAGTTGTGAAAATCAAACAATGTTGAAATTCTGTACAGGCTCTGCAAACTGGAATGAGTATCAAGCATGATTTTTTTATAAACAGAAAAATTGGCTAGAGGGTACCTAGGAATAGTGTCTGATGCTAGGACATGAATGATTTAAGTAATCATAATAGGAAGATAGTGGGTAGGTATTGTGGAAGGATGAAATCAAATTAACCTTCTTCATCTGAACTGTTCTCAAATGTGTGGACATAAAGTGAAGGCAAGATTGCAGTTGGTTTAATGTGTGGATGACAAGTGAAGACCAAATTGTGCTGTTTAGGCTGCCTACATTCACCCTCCCCCATCAATTTGATGATGCAATTGATATTTACGCCATTTAGCTACATACAACAAGCATTTATGTAGCACCATCCACGCCTGGGAAGTGCCCAGAGCATTTAACAATGGTGGAGCCCAATACCGAGCCAGGAAAGGGGGAAGGTGACCGTAGTAGGTACAGTTGAAGTTCTTCAGGCGCAACCTGAAGGGAGGGACGGATTTGCATAGCTTCGGGGCATAGTACTGGATAGACCCCACACACATCTATCTTGAAACTGCACCCTCCCCATATACCTAGGGGAACTAAAACCAACTGTAGTACCTCCATTATAAATTGTTACAACCCCGGCTATGATCGGCTAATACATGAATAATCAAACCGAGTAACTTCCTTCTCATTAAGTTTGGTTTCAATTTACTAAGCCCGCCCTTTTGGGAACAACCATTGCAAGAAGGGGAGCCTTACAATGCTAATTGTAGACATGTAAGTTACATGTTTAAGATGTGTTGCAGATGGAATACAAAAAGGGCAACTCAAACCAATTTCTTAAAAAGGATTTTAACCTGCAAAACTACATATAAATTCAGATTTGAATACTATCTCACATTTAAAATTATTGTTCCAAATTCTTTAACCTACGCCAACTGACTAACATTAAACCCACTTTGTTTTCTTAAAGCATAAATGCGTTTCTTAAAAACATTTCCTCTGCTTCAAATCCTAATATAGTACTGTAAAATGCAACCCCATATTTAGAAGGTAAAAGAAAAATATTTACATCTACAATATAACCACCACACTTCAACGCAAGCTATTAAATTTATACTTTCTGATTAGGGAAAACAAAACTAAAAGGGCAAAATCAGAAGTATACATTTTGTGGGTATTGAGACGTTTTGATACGTGGAATACTGCTGTGCACAATTTGTTGCCACATTTCACCCACAAAATATACAGTCAATTCACTTTACAGTATATTCTGTGAGGCATTATGAGACATTGCAAAGATGTGATAAGGCACTATATCAAATACAAGGTTTATTATAGAGTTTCAGCAAATTTTAATTTATTGTAAGTACTTATTTATCCAGTTGCATTTATAAAGCAAGCATAACTCACAAAACAATGATTGGCAGGGGGAAGATAGGCAGCTTTCAGCTGTCCAACAAATAAAATACTACACATAGATGAGCCATACATTTCAATTCTATTAATATGCAACTATGCCTGTATATGAAGTTTAGTTTATGTATAAACATACATAATGTGCACGCACATAGATATATAAACAAGCAATATGTACATATTGGAGTTACTTAAAAATATATACAAAAATATGCATTGCGTTTAGTTGTAATGACCCACTACAACTAAACGCAATGCATATATGGATATTTATAATTTTGCAGTTCGACCATGTTTCTATACACACACACACACACATTAAAAGTACCCTCCCCACACCCCAGGGAAAAAAGATCAAGTCAACTCCCACACCCCCCGGGGCTCCAGCAGAGCCCGTGCGACAACTTCCGGATTCAAAAGAGATACCAGTCGGTACCGATTAGAGCGAGAGGAGCCCCAGCAGCAGAGACCGGGAAAGCAAATGCGAGGACGTGCGGAGAAACGCAGAGGGTTTAACAGAGAGAGAGAGAGAGATAGGGCTGAAAATGCGCAGAGATCGGCGGCCTGGCCCCTCCCTCCCTCCCTCCCTCCCCAGCAGCCTGGGGGGGGGGGGAGAGAGAGAGAGAGGAAGGAGCGGCTCTGACCCTCACTTTCACGCACACATTTTTTTTAAATAAAAGGGCGACCCCGCGGCTCGGCTTTCGGTTTTTTTTAAAAAAACCTTTTTTTTTTGGGAAAAAAAAGCGGCTTCAGCAGTGACCCGCGGGGCCGCGGGAGGGGGAGAGGGGGGGAGGAGGGCGGGGGAGGAGGGGACACAGAGAAGCGCTGCTTTGTGACCCCGCGCAGTGAGGGAGGCCCGAGCCGAGCGGAGCGGAGCGGCCCGACTCTCCCTCCTCCTCCGTCGCCGCCGCCGACAGTCACACACACACACACACAGAGAGAGAGAAGTAAATGAAAAGAGAAGCAGCGAGAGGGACGGAGGAGGAGGAGGAGGCGGCGGCGGCCGCGCTCCCGGGTGGAGGGGGGAGGGAGGGAGGGAAGGAGGGAGGGTTTGCCCGCCCGCCCGCTCGGGTGGTTACCGCTCTGTGCCGGTGAACTATTGCGTTTGCCTCCTCCAGCAGCACCTGCGAACGCCATCTTTACCATCCAGGGAGAGGCTCCTGCCCTGACGTCAGCCTCACGTGACCATGCCGAGCCCATCGAGGAGGTGCGCGCGCTTCCCCTCCTCACCCCCCCCCCCCCCCCACCAACCGTCGCCGTTTGGGTCCCACCTCCCGCCCAACGTGACCCCGATTGGACGGTTTTTTTTTGTTCTGTGCGTTGTGTGTGTGTGTGTGTGTGTGAGAGAGAAAAACGGCTTTGAGCGGATGCCTAATTTTTCTCACCGGCGAAGCTTTTGTTTTTGTCGAAGACCTTTTCTTACGGTGTTTCAGAGTCACGAGCGTAAACTGTCCACTCTGCGACCCCCCCCCCCCCCCCCACGAAGAGGGCAACAGCGCATCGTATTGGGCTACTTTTGGGGCTACTTTTGGGCGCTTTGGGCTACATTTTAGTTTCTGGTGAACCTCCAGGACGCTGTTGGGGTAACGGGCGCTTCCTCAAAGCGCTTTTTGCAGGTTATGAATAATAATGAGTATTATAATTGACTGTTGCTGTGAAGTGCAGCCACTGTGCGCATTGTGGATGAACGTAGCAGCCATTTGTGCCCCACAAACGGCCGTCGGCCCGAGTGACCAACCTTAATCCGAGAGATTGTTGGCCAGACACCGGGAGAAACTCCCTTCTCCTTTTCTGAATAGATCCATGGGATCCGTAACTTCCATGCGAACGGGCAGACAGTTTCGTACAAAGGATGGCACCTCCAACAATACAGCACTGCACTGGAGTGACAGCTCAGAATATAGCTTTGGGACGTCCACCCGACGTGAAAGGCGCTCTGTAAATGTAATTTTGTTGTTGATAGGGGTTGCAAGTCCCAACCTGGGGATTGAACCAATAATCTGAATCGGAGATGAGAGCCTACCAACTGAGTCCGGCTTCGAGCTCTGCATGCTCTCTATTGGGTCGTTGTGCATGGCCCTATAGTGTGTGTACACGTGTCTTTGTGAGTGCCCTATACAGGTGACCGTACGTCCCCGATTTTTGGGGTCAGTCCCCAGATGAGGTATTGTGTTCCTGGCCAAATTTGTACTGTCTTGAGTTCAGCAACAAACTTTGGAATAAAATTCCGAAACAGATACACTCATCAGAAAGATACAGACATACAGCCCAAAATACAGCCAACAAGCTTCTCCAGTACTGGCAGTATCAGGAATTGCAGTGAGTTCAATTTGTTTTATGTGTGTGTCCAGATTTGGTTTCCAAAATATGGTCACCCTATCACTTCAGATGCCAAGTCCCTCATATCACACCCTCCTCCAAACCCTCCACCATCTTTGTGCGCCCATGGAAAACTCTGAAACTTGGGGCGTCCTCCCGACGTGAAAGGCGCTATACAAATGTAATTTTGATGGTGTTGTTTCCCCCCTGAGTCTCTCACAAACACCCTCTCATCCTCAGATCTTCTCTTCCTTTGGCCTTCCACCTGCCGTGATCTAAACATCGCTGTCAAGCTGCTAAACGATCACCTCTCCTCAACCTTCAATTACCTTGTCTCCTGAAAACCAGGTCCATTTCCAACGCTACCCTCTCCCCCTGGTACAACAGTCACCTCTGCTCCCTAGAATCCCAAACCCAGTTGCTCAAGCGCAGATGGCGTAAAACCAGCCTCACGGTTCACCACCAACTGTGGCTCGAGCATCCTCAACATACCACCGCTCCCTCTCTCAAGCCCAAAACACCACAGCTCCTACCACAGCCCCACCCTATACTCCTTTGCCCCTATCTCTCCCTCCTTCCTTTATCCCAACATCACTCATGTGAAGCCCATAACCTACTGCCTTGACCCACTCACCACCCAGTTTCTGGCCACTCAACTCCCCCTCCTCTGCCGACTGCTGTCTGCCAATCAACCAGTCCCTCTCCTCAGGCTCTGTCCCTCAAAACTGATGTCATCACTCCTCAATCCCTCCAACCTCATAAATTTCAGACCCATTTCAAACCTGCCCTTCCTGGCCAAGGTTTTGGAACACGTTGTTGCATATCAACTTTCCTCACACCACTCCCTCCACTCCCTACTCGAATCCCTCCAGTCCAGTTTTCACCCTGCCCACAGCACAGAGCTCATCAAAGTAACAAATGACATCCTCTCTATCTCTATCCCTCTGCCTCTTCATTCTCCTGGACCTCTCCATTGCGTTTGATACAGTCGAACACAACATCCTCCTCCACCACCTCTACCCACCTTTAGTGGGACCGCATTCACATGCTTCAAGTCTTACTTAACAAACCGCCAACAATACATCTCAGCAAATTACTTTTCCTCCCACCCGCACCCAGTCACTTGCGGGGTACCTCATGGCTCCATCCTTGGCCCCCTTCTTTTCCTTATCTACATGTTCCCTCTCGGCGATGTCATCCACAGACTTCCACATGTATGCGGATGACACCCAAATCTACTTCTGCTCCTCCAGCCGCGACTTCCAGTCTCCTGATGTCCTGTCAGCTTGTTTGACAGACATCAACGGCTGGATGAGCATAATTTCCTGCAGCTGAATATCAGCAAGACAAAACCAGACTCACTGAAGCCGTGCACAATTTAAGTGTCAGGTTTGATCTCCAGCTTTCCTTTCTACCCCACATCCTTTCCCTGAACGTGGATGCTTTTTTCCACGTTCATCACATTACTCGCCTCCGTCCATACCTCACAACCAACGTAGCCGAAACCCTCGTCTACGCCTTTGTCCCTTTCCGGCTGGACTATTCCAATGCCCTCCACGCTGGTCTTCCCAGCTCTGCACTTTGCACAAATCCAATTAATTAAAAACTCCGCCGCCACACAAAACTCTGTACCCTTCATCGACGACTGTCTGTGGGACATTGCTGTGCGCAATTGGCTGCCGCGTTCGCCCACAAATATACAGTTAATTCACTTTACAGTGTGTTCTGTGAAGCGCTTTGGGATGTCCTCCCGACGTGAAAAGCGCTATATCAAATGCAAGGATTATCACACCAGTCCTTTCCCGGCTCCACTGGGTCCCAATTACCAAACAGATTTTTAGATCCTCTCACTCATTTTCAAATCCCTACATGCCCTCACACCTCCCTACCTATCTGATCTGCTTAAACCCTCACTGCTCCAGCCCCCACTGCCTCCACTAGGCTGGCTCCTGTCTCCTGTTTGTCCCTCGACCCTCCGCTCCACCATCGGTGGCCATTCCTTCAGCCACTATGCCCTGAAACTCTGAAACTCTCTCCCTCAAACGCTCTGCATTGCTCCCTCCTTCCCCACTTTCAAATCCCACCTAATGATCATGCTTACGGTCACCTCACCCCCTTGGTATCAAACTCTGCCACTGTCAAGCGCTCCAGGACTCTACCTCGCATGAAGGCCACTATATAAATGCAAACTGTTGTTGTTGTACATGTATTATTGTGCGTGCACTAAAGTGAATGCATGTGTCATCCATGTGCCTTTAGGGCATGTGTGTCATCGTGTGTGCACGTGTTGACTACCCTTGACCATGCATGTGCATGTCTTGGTGTGTGCCATAATTTATGCCACAGTGTATGCCATCATATGTGCAGCTTTTGATGTAATGAATAAGATGCACGTGTGATAGTAAGTGCAATAGTACTTGCTCACGTGTGTTGTAGTACATGGCATAGTTTGTATGGTACATGTCATAATGCATAGGTCTATGCAACCTGGAACTTAACCTCCAATCTTGTGCCTCTGACCTGCTCTCCTATTGATTCAAAGAAAGAGGCAGAATTCTAATTCATACGGATCAAGGGTCTGTTTACATGAATTCATTTGCACGCCTTAAACAGTGAAACTTCTGAAACATCTTTCAAATTGTAACAGAACTTAACCAACTGCACCCAACATAACTAAGTAAGGATGTCAGAGGTCAGATTAAGTAAAGTCACCCGACTGTCAGCCACAGCTTCTCGTCTCCCATTATTGTCACTCAGTTCCAGACTCAGTTTGTTGCAAGCTCCAGCAGGGCTTCACACACAAGACATGTATTAGATATTGATGTTACAATGTTATGTTATGGGTCAGATATTGATATTGATATTAAAATGTCATGTTATGGGTCCTGCACATTTGTGGAACCAAAACCAAAGAGAAATGGCATACTCCTAAGTAAGAGACACAATGGGCTAAAAAGCCTCCTTCTGTGATGTATATTTCTATGATTCTATGAAGAGATCCAGTCACAAGAAAAGTGTTGCTCATCATTGCCTCAATTTAGGCTGCCGATATTTTGTCAAATTAATTACCTAAACCCAACATTTCTTATGGTAGTACATTAGAGCTAACAAAGTAGAAATTAAGGTCCTTGAATACGACTTGTGAAGTGAAAGCCACTGGTGTATCATTGATGCAACCAATATCTACGGCCTTGGGACTAGCAAAGATAATTCCTCCACCATTCCCATAACTCTCGTTCATACAATTTCCAAATTTTGCCGATAGTTTATGTGCACTCTTCAGGTTTTCTGGAATGAATGGCTAACATGTTGAACATAATGTATCGCATAGCCCTATCAAGTATCATTATTTGCCCTGACATGCAGATTTTCTTTTTGAGGACACATAAACTTTCTGTTTGCCTAATTGTAAAAGACATATCTATTTCATAACTTCCAATTGGTGTTAATTTTGCTTAAAAATAAGGAACTGCATCTGGCCTTGGCAACAAGAACTGTAGTTTTGATGGCAGTCTATTCCAAGAACTTTAACTGCTCAAAATGTTTCCCTTGTGGTCATAAGTGTACTTTTAAAGAGAACTAGCCCAGAAGCAACTGCTTGTGCAAAGTGCTCACTCCTGTTAAACTGTTCTGTGTTTGCTCAGATTTTAAAGTTACATTCAAACTTCTTGTTCTCGTGCTGTAAATGACTGTTCAAATGTAACACGGCAATTAACATTTCAACATGCAGTTTGGTTCTCTGATGATAGCATCATGGCAGGGGAATGTGTACGCTTGTTATTGAAGATAATGTTTCATTTCCTCTTTGTTTTGGGAGGTTTCATTTTAAAGCACAGATGGTAATGATATCAATATATGCACAGAGTGAATTAACTTTTTATTGTGCTTTATCCTTACTATAGCCTGCTTCAGCTATTGATGTAATGAAATACTTCCTGGTATCTGTCTTTGAAATTACCCTTCAATAACCTGAACATGTGTCTTTTTGTCATGTTGTCATATATTATCTGAAAGTATTAGTCTCTCTCAATCCTATTTAGCATCTTATATAACTCTTTAAGATCTCTCTGAAATGTATCTTTTCAAAGCTGAAGCTTTTCTTTTCATTCCACGTAGAGTATACTCCTCCAACATTTGTGGTGATCATTTCTGCTCTCCTCTACACTGCTTCGAGTGAATGCTGTACATCATGTGTGTCCTGACTAAAACGTAGCATGAGCATTACTTCTGTGGATCTGAGCTGAACTAAATTGATAAGATAGCCAAGCATTCAATTTGTCTTGTTTATTGATGCCTCAGACTCATTGTCACAGTGAATAACAGGTTAACTAACGCTCCTAAGTCTCTTTCAACTACCCTTTTGCAAATTCTCTCCAGTCCACTGAGTACATGCGCCTCCCATTTTCACTTCCTGTGTGAAGTTCTAAATTAGTGGTAGCAAATACTATATTTTGTCCACAAATACACAGGTTACAACACTTTACAATAAATCAGTGAAGCGTTTTGAGACATTTTAATGTCATAATAAGGCACTATAACAAATGCAAGGATTATTATTTGCAACATCAACATGCGTGTCTGAAAGCACGATCTGTATGGGAAAGCTCAAAGGATAGAAGTTCCCCATTGTATGCTGTGTTGTACTTTTTGTGCACAGTACTTCTGAGATCAGAGTTGGAGATGAAACAGAATGTGATTCTCATAGTTACCTGTATTTCAAAATTTCTTTCTAAGTTTTCTTACTTTTTTTGTGTTTATATGTGTGTATGGAAAAGCTCCCAATTGAATTTAGCTTTTCTGACACATTAATGAGGCCAAAATTTAGAGCCAAACTCCTACCCCGTGAAATAAGGTTTCATTCTGACAACTCCTTGTGCTTATCAGTCTACATGGTCTTCTGTCAGCTGTGAATGTAAACATAAAAACCCTTTCCATTGCATTCCTCAAATCAAGTGGACACGAGTGGGTTTCTCAAACACAGTTAGTACAGGAGGCTTGCAAAACACTACAGCTTAACTGGCTACTTATTTGTTTCCTTTCTCAGACGGAAAGCTATATTTCTGCCACTCACAGGCTCCCCCAGCACAAACACACATCCTGCTTTAGATCTGCAGTTCATTCTGTGAGCAACTGAAAGGAAATCCATATCTCATCTCTTTGTAGCACAGTGTATTGATGCACAAATATATTGTGCTGATCATCTGAATCATACGACCTTAAAGCACAAAATCAGGCCATTTGGCTAATCACTGCTATTTTTCTCCACAAGTGATTAGTCTAATCCCACTCTCTTCCTTCCTTCATAATAATAATAATAATAATAATAATCCTTGCATTTGATATAGCGCTTTTCACGTCAGGAGGACGTCCCAAAGCGCTTCACAGAACACACTGTAAAGTGAATTGACTGTATATTTGTGGGCGAACGCGGCAGCCAATTGCGCACAGCTGTGTCCCACAAACAGTCGTAGATTGAAAATGACCAATTTAATTATTGTTTTTGGTTTTTTGGAGGGATTATTATTAGGCGTGTGGAGTAAGGAAACTTGCCCAAGGTTTCGCCCTCTGCCTGGAATTGAACTCACGTCTCTCACTTGCAAAGCGAGTGCTCTAACCACTGAGCTACAGGACTCCACATATTTTGGTCAAGCATTTAATTTCCTTTTTGATCTTAACAAGTCTTGCCTTCTTCATAACTCTTCATAACTCTTCATAACTTCTTCATAACTCTTTGAAAACAGTTGAATATCTCACCAGATATTTTTCTACCTGAATAACTGTCTTTTCTTCAAAGATTTGCTTTCAAAGCCCCACATAGCCAATTCCCTGAATGCAAGCAATTGGACATAAGGACTGGGGACTGCTTTAAGTTTTCATCAGCACGAAGCAGAGTAGAACAAAATCTCGAGATTTATCAATTCACGTGGAGAACATTCGGTCTTTGTGCATGTATCAGATGTTGCTTCTGCCTTGTACATGTCCTTTATGATCTAACAAGGCAAGATGGCACGAGGCTTGTGTTCCTGGTTTGGGGATTTATTATAGTGCTTATAGAACACTTGCTCTTCTTCGCGGGCAACCGGACAGCCAAAGAATAAAATTAAACTCGATTCATCCAAACACTCAGGAATTTCACATTTTCATCCCATTTACCTATTATTCTCCGTTACTTTTACCCCCTCAGTCAAAGGATTTTTACAGGCTGCTTTTCAACTAATTTTTAACCAATAAATACCCAGAATCTCTTGGATGGCAGACAGTCAGTTAAAACAAAAATCCCCTCGGTGGGGGAAAAAAAATGTTTTTGGGGGTGGGTGAGGGGAAGAAACTTTGGAACATGAACGCAGTGAAGTCCTGCCAATTTGACATACAAATCAAACGCTCCCAGAGGACCTCTAGGAATTGGGTTGAGATTACCCAGATACTATTCACAGAGCACCTTTTTACATCTGGCAGAGATGACTACCATTCTATCAGTTTGAGCTAGAATTAAACAAACGCCCCTGAAAAGTCAACATGTACTCCCTGTGAAACACCCAGTGCTTGCTATTTAGGAAGCTGATGAAATATACACGTTCCTTTTTTAAAATGCAGAATGCATGAGACATTCCATCTCGGGAATGTTTCCACATACCAGTTGAGAACTGGGAGACCATAATTTTGCAGCCTGCTGGTAATGTATTTCTTTCTTTTCCCAGTAGAAACACAGAATGCAATGTATTTGTTGAAAGTGGGATTGAAACATGATTTTATGCTTTAAATGGAAGTATTATGCCAATGAAACATGACCGTAGAGCGCAACAAGCTGACAGGGCTGCACTTTAAATGACTTACTCCACACGGCTAATAATAATCCCTCCAAAACCAAACAATAAATTGGTCATTTTCAATCTACGACTGTTTGTGGGACTTTACTGTGCGCAATTGGCTGCCGCGTTCGCCCGCAAATATACAGTCAATTCACTTTACAGTGTGTTCTGTGAAGCGCTTTGGGACATCCTCCCGACGTGAAAAGCGCTATATCAAATGCAAGGATTATTATTATTATTAAGAGTCTCAGTAGCTCTGGTACCAGTCAACACTGAAATTGGGATTCCCCAATTCATCTTGGCACACATTGCTATGGATAGTTCATCTCACATATTTCAAATATCACCCATCACCCCTTTTGCTGTATTCCTGATGGATTCAAACATTTTTATTTAAACACCCATGTCCTCTTCACTTCAGATGCCACAGGCTTCGCTACATTCAAAACCAACCAAAATCAAGTTCAACAGATTTCCTGTGTTCAGTCTCAGCTCTGAATTACATGGCTTCTGGAGCAAAGCAGAAAGATCTGGGATAATGAAATTCCACTTTGTACATCAGGCTCACAACCTTGAATTCTGGCCTTGACACAGATCTGCTTTAGTATTTTTGTTTGCCCTGGCTGCATATCTAATACCAAAGAGGTTCAATTCCCCATCCCCATACCACCCCCTCCCAAGCAAACTTCACAGCAGAAAAGAACATTAAATGCAAAAAACAGTTTTATTTATTGATGGAACAAATTGAGCATTTTACACCATTTCACCAACTCTATCGCCCCAAAATTAACCCCACTTTGCATTCTTAGGTCCCTCAAAATGGCAGCTACTTATTAAACGACATATGTAAATATTCTAATTTGTTATTTCCAATTCCGTTCATGATGCTAGCTGATTATTTTTGCCCCTTCCCCCGTATGACATTCTCCTAAACTCAGCATTACAAAAGCCATAAAAGGTTTTTTTTAAATGTTAAAATAGTAACATGATAAATCAAGCTAAACAATTAACACAGCTACAGTTTCAGTAAAAAGATCAGCAGTAAACATTACTACTTAGGATTAGTTATAAGTTCTTTCTTTTTAAAGCAGTCGAATGGTTTTTCCAGTAATAGTTAGGAAGTCTTCATCTGCTAGGGCTCGGAGTGCCTCTTCAAACAGGTCCTTGGTAATAGCCTAAAGGATTTTAAATGAAAATATATAAATTAGATCATATTTGTAAATCATACGTAGACGCAATTTGGAAGTGTTCTGCAAATACAATAGCACTCCTGGCATTTAACTTCCCCCTTTCAAATTTACCCTGAAAAATTCAAATTAATTACTCTCATCTGCAAGAATCTGTTCCAGCACTTGTATGGAACATTTAAGATGATCAATTAATCGCTAAAGCAACTGCAATGACTTCTAAATCTTTGGACTGTGCAACAGTCTTACAAGAAGCTCAAATAGAACTCCTAACTTAACTTGCTTTATTAAAAGAAAACTCTTGACTGCATCTTTGGCAAAACCCATGACGTTTCAGCATCAGCTGTGGAAAGTGCACAAGTGAGTGACAGCTCAGATGAACTTGCTGTCCAGCTTTCCCTCCCTGTAGGGAAGGTCCTGGCTTTCGTCAATCATTTCCTTAGGTGACAAAACTCACCCCAGGAATGTAGGACAGTCGGAACTCTTCACATTAGTGTTTGCTCCTCCACAAAGCCATCTATCCTAATCCCAATTTCCTGCTCTCTCCCCTCCCTCCCCATACCTTACTTGTACACGCCCTTCTTCTATTTCTTTTTAAATCCACTAATTAATTCTGCTCCAAACGCCAACTCTGGCAATTCATTCAACATTCTGATAATCATCTGCTAGAAAAAAAATCTCCCCAACTTCCTCTTTCACACTCCAAATTATAATTCTTTACATTCCGGGTTATAATCCTTCAACCTCCAGGGAACAACAACAACTTGGATTTATATAGCGCCCTCCACGCCGGACAGAACGCTTCACATTAATAGATCCCGGGGCCGAGCCAGGGTGATGGGGAGGAAGGGGGGGTGTGGTGGAAGGTGTAGCTTGGAGGGGAGGCTTCCACTAGGGGGACGGGATCAATTGGGGGAGAGCCAGGTTTTGGTGAGCCCAAGAATGTCACGGTGCTTGTCTAGGATGAGGTCGTGGATGGTGAGGGCTTTATTTGAGAGGAAACGGACGTTTTGGAGGGAAATGCGGGTGGGTTTGCCGGAGGGAGGAGAGAGTGATGCTGAGAGAATTTTTGGGGCACAGGAGAGATGGTTGTGGAGAGTGGTGTAACTGGAGAGTTGGGGAGTGTACGTATGAGGGAGGGGACAATCACGTGAGCAAAGTTGCACCCCAGTAAACACTGTGCTAATGAATGAGAGAAGACTGGTCTTTCCAGTTATTGGAAATGGGGTCAAATGGTACCATACTACTCCCACGTTAGAGACATTTAATAGGCTGCAGATCGTTCAGAACTCTGCAGCCTGTGTCCTCTCCCGCACTAGGCTCCATGACGCTATCACCCCCATCCTCACCCGACTTCACTGGCTTCCCATTACAGAGAATACGGTTCAAGATCTTGGTCCTCACCTTCAAAGCCCTCCATGGCCTTGTTGCCCCCACCTCTGTGACCCTACCAACCTGCCCGCTCCCTCTGCTCAGCGAGCTCCTGCCTGCTTCACGTCCCCCGCCTGGCCCACCATTGGTGGCCACTCTGCCTCTAACCTGTGGAACTCCATCCCGCAGTCCCTCCTTCAAGACCCATGTCAAGACCCTCCTCTTTGACCGTGCCTTTGATCACTCTGCTTCCCCCCCTGCCCTCCACCCTCCCCAACCCCGACCCCCAGCTCGGGTTCGGAAACACTGATTGTTCAGCGCCTTGGGACGTCCTCCTGACATGGAAAGGCGCTGTTGTTGTTGTTAATATCTACTTTAGAGGTGACAAGGTAAATTTGGTTAGGTCAACTCACAGCATCAGACTGTGACCGCAGATCATCAAAGAGCAGCTGGTATTTCATTGTTGGAGTTTTGCCCTTAGACTGAATGAGCTTCTTCAAGGATTGAGCCAACTCCTCCTTACGTTTACGAGCAGTGGCACTCATTCCTGAAATACAAAATCAAAATTATATCGGGTTATTTTGGACACATTTTAATGAACTAGAACACAGTCCTTTTATTTCCACCATGTCCATACATCAAGTGAGGAATGTTAGTCACAAAACACTCCCAGGTCAATTTTATGTTAGTCCGATATTAAATTGCTTAACAATGTATGCAAAATATTTTAAGTAAACTACAATAGCTAAAATTACAGGCTTGTCATAAAAACAAGAAGACTGATTTTGCTATGTGCAAACCCCCTGCTTTAATATCAGATCCACGAGAACACATTCCCCAAAACAGACACAATTAAAATTAGCCATAAACATTGTACAAACAAATCATGCAATAATCCTGATGCTTCAAAACCAGTCCACTGGAAGATCTGGTTAATGGGAATATTCCCAGAACAAAAAGCCTTAAGACTTGAGGAATTTGTCTAGCTAATTTACGATTTGAGAGAGACCCGGGGTGTTGGTTGATTTGTCACTCACCATGTCCAAATAATATGAACCAGTAATAAACAAGGCAAACAGAATGCTGAGCTACCTACACTGCCAAATCTGCTGAGAAGTCATGTTCAAACTGTACAGTGTTTCAGTCAGACCACACACACTGGTGCCATTCTGGTTGCTGAGACATGGGAGCTGCTCAACTCGAAAGACAGCGTTAGAGAGAACGATGTCAGAGCAAAACGTACATCAACTAAAGGCGTTTACTTATGAAAAGACAGTTCAGAGGGGATCATGTCGAAATGTAGATGTTAGGTAACGAAGTGAAAACTCAGAACAATACACTCGGATATACCATGCTGGGGGGGAATGGAGGTGGGAAGGCGGAAGATAGCGAAACAAATCAGGAATGTGAATAGCAATTTTAGGACAAACACTAGGAATTAATTATTTATAATAATAATCCTTGCATAATAATAATCCTTGCATTTTCACGTCGGGAGGACGTCCCAAAGCGCTTCACAGAACATACTGTAAAGTGAATTGACTGTATATTTGTGGGCGAACGCGGCAGCCAATTGCGCACAGCAATGTCCCACAAACAGTCGTAGATTGAAAATGACCAATTTATTATTGTTTTTGGAGGGATCATTATTAGGTGTGGAGTAAGGAAACTTGCCCAAGGTTTCGCCCTGTCTGGAATTGAACCCAGGTCTCTCGCTTGCAAAGCAAGTGCTCTAACCACTGAGCTACAGGACTCCACAGTCAACAACTGGAATGGGTTACCAAGAGTGGTAGTATTGTAATAATGATAATAGTGTAGTGGTGGTCAATCTGTGGCTCACGGGCCATCAAGAAAAGTAGTGTATTTTCAAGTTTTTCTTGATTGAATATTTCTTGATATGGTATAAATCAAGAAATATTGAATCTAAAAAAGGTACTCTGTTGCTGGCAGCTGACCATAAAGGTTGGCTTCCATTGTTATCAAGGATAGACAGTAATGCTGGTATTCTGTAATGATGAGATAAATTGGGCCAAAGTGACATCGTTACTCCCATAGTATATTCTCTTTCTCGATTCAATATCAGCATCTTGACTCTCTTACCTGTGGTGAGGATAGAAATGTCCACAATTCCAGTCCTTGGATCAGTAGCAGACTGTTTCAGAGCTTCACGGTGAAGGCGTTTGGCCTCTTCCACATCTATATTCTCCACCTTTTCAGAAAAGCGCACTTTGGCATGAGCCTCCGCCAGCCGAATTAGTGATTCTAGCTGCCGGGGGTACGCAGACACCATCCCCCGACCACTACCAATTTTTCTCATGTCCACATAAGCCTGCGTCACAATGGAGGAAAAGAAGAACGTGAGTGGTGTAGTGCATCGTCTGTAATTATCTTTTAAGAAATGCAGAAAAATAATAATCCTTGCATTTGATATAGCACCTTTTCAGGTCTTCAAGACATCTCAAAGCGCTTCACAGAAAATACTGCGAAGTGAATTAACTGTATATTTTGTGGGCAAATGCAGCAGCCAATTGTGCACAGCAGTGTCCACAAACAGTTGTGGATTGAAGTGACCAATTTATAATTTTTTTTAATAAAAGGAATTGTTACCCCCAGAAAAGCGATCCATCAATCGACTAACAACTGGGTTCCTACTTACTACTAGGTAAACAGAGGCGTGTGGAGTAAGGAAGCTTGCCTAACATTTCGTCCTCCTGGGAATCAAACGCAGGTCTCTCGCTTGCGAGGCGAATGCTCTAACCACTGAGCTACAGGACTTCAGTTAAGACTGAATTCAACAATTTGCCAAATTCTGGAGGCTCTAAAATGCTGCACAAATGCAGTAAATCTAGACCCAGATAGAATTTCTCCCCATAGAATCTTTAAAGATTTACACTGTAGGAGGACCAAAAGGAGAAAATTTAACATATGCGATGAAGAGATCTACTCTTAAGCTTTACAAAAATGGAATACAACCTTTCAGACAAGTTCAGGAAATAGAATAAGGAAAGACTGACAAGGAGGTAACAAAACCTTTCAAATTTTACTTTTTTTTTAAATCAGCAACTATTTTGAGAGACAGGTCAAAAATGGTGACTTTTGAACATCGTATCTCATATTGATCTCCCACCTCAATAAGCGACTGGCTGGCTTCTTCACTCAGTCTGGGGTGGACATATATACGGGCATATGCAAGGTAGTCTTCAACACTGCCATATCCATGTATTCTTCCTCCACCTGCTCTTCACTCTGGTAATAGAGTGAAACCAAGTGGTGGGCAAGCCGACGGTCATACGCTTCATCTTGGGGGTCCAGCATGAGGAAGATCAAGTCGAACCTGCAAATAAAAGACACCCCAAAGTCTTACAAACTGGTTTGTTCAATAGGTATCTCAGTTGAAAATCAAAACTATGATTGTTTGAGCAACCTCCAAATCGAGGTCTTCCTCAGGGACCACTCTCAGGAATGCTCCACTATCCTGCACCGTGGCATGTTGAGACTTGGTTCTTATGCTGGAACAACCTTGCCTCCTAATTCGGTGTGGGGTACCAAGCGAAACCCCAGCGGAGCAACAATCACATCAAAAGAGACCAAATAAGCCCTGGGGGTGGTCCTCGCCTTCAAAGCCGTTCATGGATCCGTTCCTCCCTACCTCTGTAACCGCCTAACACCGTACCAACCTGTCTGCTCCCTCCACTCAGGGGGCTCCGGCCTGCTTCACATTCTCCACCTTGTCCATCCCACCATTGGCTGACGGGTCTTCAGTCTCTCAGCCCACACCTTCTGGAACTCCATCCCACAGTCCTTCCCTCCCTTGCCTCCTTCACGACCCTTCTCTTCGACTGTGGCTTCAGTCACCCTCTTACCCCTACCCTCAACCCCTCCTGATCCTAACCACCAACTATGGTGCGGATTCCTGACTGTCCAGCGTCTTGGGACGTCCTCCTGACGTGAAAGGCGCTATACAAATATTTTAAATATAGTAAATTCTGCAAAGCGTTTTGAACATGCAACGTGCTGGATCAAATGCATGGATTATTACTATTATAAACTGCATAAAATGAGAATTCTTTTCACAGTAACTAATACAACAGCTCACGTTTTATCTTTCAATGGCCTCTCTTGTGGAATGTAGAGATTTTGAGGTGTGCGCACGCGTATGTAGCTGTACTCTTTCACTCTTAATGGCTTTGAAGCACGTCTGGAATACTTGAAAGGAAATTTGACAAATACGTAAGGAAAAATGATAATGAAGGATATGGAGAAAACAGACTTGAAAAGATAATTTCAGTGGGAGAGCTTGCACAAGCAGATATGATGGGTTGAATGGCCTTCTACTGTGTAATAATCCTTGCATTTGATAGAGCACCTTATCACGTCTTTAAGACGTCTCAAAGTGCTTCACAAAATATGTAAAGTGAATTGACTGTATATTTTGTGGGCGAAACGTGGCAGCCAAACTTGCTGTATTCCTTAACTTATTTAAGGAACCCACATTTCCAGGTGGTTTGTTTCTCTTAGGGTCCCAGCATCCCTATTAGTAAATCAACCTTAGAATACAGTACACCCTTCACAACAAACTCCGCTCAGGATTTTTTTTCATTCTCTCCTGCTCCCTCAGAGGTGTGAAAAGAATAGTTGGTTGATTTGTTGCTCTTAGTGAAACAGTCCCCGAGTATTAGCTTTTGTTGAAGAGGTCTGAATTCTGAGCCAGCAAACTCTCAAAAAAGTTTGTAGTGGTCAACCACCTGGATAGCAGTGTATGTGGAAGCTGGATGTTCTCTATAGTTGTCTTTTTTGGATTCCACTGGGACTCAACTGGGTTTGCAGCTGCCAGGATAGATGTGCGAGCATTGAGTTGGCAAATTATTCCAGCCTGAAATATGCAGAAATATATTAAACGCTCAAAAAAAATCTCGCCCATGGCATAACACAATAGAATTGGATGTAACATTATCAAAATTTGTGTTTGACTGATCAGCACCATCTTTGGACTAGCTTCCCCCGCCCCCCACCTTTAACAGCTGAGGGATTTTCTCACCTTGGCAATGGAGAGCGTCTGCTGCTCCATGACTTCATGCAGCACCGATCGCGTGCTTTCGTTCATTTTGTCAAACTCATCAATGCAACAGATGCCGTTATCGCTGAGGACCAGCGCCCCGGTCTGCAAGACCAGCTGCCTGGTTTCTGGGTCCTTTGTCACATAAGCGGTGAGACCCACGGCACTGGATCCTTTGCCTGAGGTGTACTGACCTCTGGGCACCAGGTTATGCACATACTGGAGCAATTGGGACTTGCTGGTTCCTGGATCACCGCAGAGCAGGATGTTGACCTCCGCTCGGAAATTACCACGGCCAGTGTGACTGAAATCTTTGCGTGTGCCGCCAAACAATTGCAGTAAGATACCCTGGTATCAAAAAAAGGGAAGCATGCAGTTTAAGAAAGAACAATTTAAACCCTATATCTGTTACTCAGATTTCCCTTACCTCCATGACATCACCCACCTGTCACTACCCATCCCAGCGACCTGGAATTCAACCTTTTTCCCTGTACTTGGTGACGTGTGGTCGGAGATATTGTACCTGGGTAACCCCATTATTACTGGGCTTCCCTGTAAGTAATGGACATAGATTTGTGAACCAATGGTCCAGGGGCAGGCTGTACCTTTTTGATATCTTCATGCTCATAAATGCTCGGAGCCAGAGCACTGGAAAGCCTTTCATAGATATCGGGCTTCTTAGAGAGATCCTTTAGCACTTCCACTCGCTCCTCCGTGAACAGTTTCTGGTCCTTTTCGTCATCGATCCTGTGGAGGCGTTTCTCATCAGTTTTGAGGAAGTGAATAACGTCGATGTGGGTCTTGTACACAGATTTCACGTTGCTCACTCTCGGATTCACTCGGATAGGAACAGCTCTATAAATACCTGTGAAGGAGAACACATGTTGCTCAGAAACAAAGATAATCCACATCAGATCATACCTGAAGACCTTCCTCTATAACTGTGCCTATGGTCACTTCTCTCCCGCCCTCTGCTCGGCATCAAGCACCACCTCTGTTAAGTGTCCAAGATGCTACTCTGTATGAAGGGATCTATGTAATTGCGAGCTTTTGTTGTATGGGAGCAACAGCTAAGGAAGTACTCTCCAGCGGGAGTGGAATGAGCACAGCTGTGGGTGACTTGCAGCTTTTTTTTATTATTACGGTCCATTTGCAACAGCAGTACATACACTTGTAAAATTTATTGGGGAGAGGGGGTGGGGAGAGAAACTACTCAAATCATTGCTTCCTTGCACTTCTCCTCAAAAGAAAAGAGAAACCGGTGACAACAAGCGATACTATGATTTACCTGTAACATTCACCCGGTCGCCGGGCTGGACTTTATCCACCAGGTCATTGTGAGCAAACAACACGACCGTGTGCGGTGTCTGCCCCGCAGGCATGTCATCAGGAGACTCCTGTAACTTAACCTGAAACCATTACAAAGAAAAAGTCAGCAAGTTTCTTCTCGATCACTCCCAGCCCTGCCAAGTGTTGAGCTACAAACTAGTCACATTGAGACATAGTATTTGTTTTGTGTCAATTGATACTGGGATACATTTTGAGTTACATGAAACTCACTTGAAAAAGAATTTCTAACATCCTTATCTTCACCTTTGCTTCCTATCTCCCATTAATTATGCTTCTCATCTACGTAATGGAAGAGGCAAGTTGGGAGGGGGTGTAGAAAAGGAAAGGGCGGTGGGAAAGAGGAAAGCAGTGTATGAGGGGGGGAAAGAAAAATAGGAGATGCATTCTGCCCGAGCTCTATAGTAAAAATGTTGAAACCTGTAGTGGTGAATATCAAGGGGGCGCAGACTACTTGATTTAATGTAACAGGAGTGGGGGGGGGAGGCTATAGACCTATCTAGCAGGCAGCCAGCCCTGGGAAAGCATGGCACAAGTTGGTTAATGTGTGTACCTACCCAGGCAGGTGCTTCCACCCCCACCCCCCCAGGCTGGGAAACTGGTCCTGGCCTATCAAAAATTTCCTGACTCCACTCTGACTCATGCACTGGAGCAGCACAATAGGCTACATAGTGAGTCTTGGAGATGCGCTAAATACAAGTATTCCTCACCACAGACAGAACTTTTTTTTCCCACAAACTTTTTATATGAAGGGACAGGGTTCCAGCATGTACCCCAAATGCTGGATGCTATTACCAAAGCACCCAGCTTTTCCCATTGACTAGCCAGATTCCTACATTAAAAAATGGCTCACTTGGGGTGTCAGGTTGCCACTAATGTCGCCAGGTTACCTGCACATTGCGCATGAAGAGTCTCTGGTGTGCATGAAACAACACTGATGTCACTTCCTTTGCGATGGAAGTGACATCAGTGGCATTTCCTGGATATAATGTGTAAGAAATGTCAACAAAGATTTGGCCACCTAGACATTTTTACGTGCCTCATTGCAATGCAGCCTCTGGCATATTGGACTCACATAACTGAGTTATAAAGGGGTTCCACATGAATGACTATTTAAAGCACCCCCCCCTTTAACACAGGGTAGAAATATTTTGCTGCCATCAATCTTGCCAAATAACGTACCATCTGTTTGTCCGAAAACATGGAGCGATTGTGGATCAGTGCCATGCTGTGTGTGGTGTTGCAGTTCTTACACACTGATGGTTCAGCAATCCGGCCTCGGTCGATCTCCACTCTTGTACAGAAAGCACACACCTGACAGCGAAAAAACGCCTCCTGCATTTCAGGAATCAGCTGTGAGGACCTGATCACCATACCACTGATCGTGATCAACTGGTCAATATCTAGAGATGGTGGGGGGGAGAGAAGGTGGGGGTAAGCAAGAGAGAGAAAAATACATTACTTTCAAAACATATCCTGGGATATTATTTTCAATCTGTTTCTTGAAACAAACAGCATTTTCTGTTTCCACTGTCTCCCTACAGTGCCTGTTCCATATGTTTACTACTCGCTCACTGAAGTAATGGTTTCTGCAGATTTGTTCCGAATTTACCTCCTTACAATAAAACACTTACATTAAAAATTATTATTATACTAAAACAATTCAATTATGAATTTTTTTCTTCTTCTTCACTACACAAGACTGGGTCATAACAGTGATTCGTGACTCTTGTTGCATTTACACATTAATTGGCATGTTTATCTAGATAATGACAGTTAACACACTTCAAAAGTAACTAAATGAGTGAAGCACTGAGATAAATCATGACCGCAAATATAATTGTTATCAACTTAAACCAGTTTCCACATTTGATCATTAATACCTTCTGGATTCAGACTTCTCATATTCTTGGTCTTCAAAGCATTGTAGGGCCGAACTTGGATCTGATGCTCCAGGATTGAATCGGGGAATCGATCGAAGAAGAGCTCATTAACAGCCATATCAAAAGTAGGAATCACTTCCTGTTTGACAGAAGTTAATTTAGCGTCAAAACATTGCTTTCAAAGAACTTTTCATAATTTTGATAAGTTAAGTAATGCAAATTATAAAATGGGCAATGTTAGGATACCTGTGGATAGCAGATCAGCTGTCTGTACAGTTCGGTGTCAAAAGCTTTTAAATGAGAAGCATTCACATTTAGGAATGGTTCGCCCACTAAATTCATCTGCAAGAAAAGCACAAGGTCAATTTTCCATCAATACTGGAGGCATTATTAATTCAACCTTAAAACGTGACCCCTAATAAAAAGCACAAGGAGATTTGAGTTACCTCTTCAAGTCGTTGCATATAAAGTGGTTCACTGAGGTCCATGCCTGAATGCTCCTCTTCTTTAGCTGTCGGGTCAGCGAAACGCTGAAGGAACCTCTGAAAGGAGACAACAGTTACTTTCTCTTAATATTGCATAGATCAGCTTCACACACATAGCTGCAGTGTTGGCAATGTCAAAACAATCCATTTATTTTAAAACGCACAGGGTTCCAGCAAATACTTTATTCCTGGACAGTCAGGGATCCGCACCCAAGCTGGTGGTTGGGATCAGGAGGGGCGGAGGGCGGGGAGGGTAGGGGTAGTAAGGTGACCAAAGGCATGGTCGAAGAGGAGGGTCTTGAGACAGGTCTTGAAGGAGGCAAGGGAAGGGGCGAGGCAGAGGGACTATGGATGGAGTTCCAGAGGGTGGGGGCAGAGAGGCTGAAGGCTCACCCACCAATAGTCTGATGGGTAATGCGAGGGACGTGAAGCAGGCTGGAACCGTTCGAGCAGAGGAAGCGGACAGGTTGGTTGGGGGTTAGGAGGTACCAGAGGTAGTGGGGAGCAAGGCCGTTAAGCGTGAATGTTGTTTGGTTTCTCAATTGACCCCAATAATTATTGTCCAGAACAATGATTTGGAGCGTATTCAACTATGAACTCCAAGCAGGAACACTACAGAGCACAAAGGCGCTAAGACAAGAAACAGAAATTAATCAAAAATCACTTCTTGATAATACACCAAATTAATTGCCACAAGAAACCTACCTGAAACTTTTCTTTACACGCAGCAACGTTGACATCTGTTCCCCAGATGACAAGCTTTTGTCCAAGGGACTGTTCACTGGTCACAATCTCATCCACCACAGGCTGAAACAGCAGATAACACTCAATGAAGAGCAGCAGTCATCAAGACAGTCGAATAATTAATGCAAAGCTGGATAGTATCAATTACATACCTGCTCTGCCTGCAAGTCAACCTGACGGGCCTTGCGTGCAGAGCCAAGGTCAGGGCGTTGACGTATAGGTGTGCCACGCACACCACTGCGGGGGGTGCCTTCCACCCTGGAGCTGGGAGTCCCGTAAGTCAAAGGAGAGCTCACGTCAAATTCACTGGCAGCTGTGGACAGAATCAAACATTTTGAAATTTACACCAACGAAAAGGGCAGAAAACAACAACAACAAAGTTACATTTATATAGTGCCTTTCACGTCGGGAAGACGTACCAAGGCGCTGGACAGACAGTTATGGACCCGAGCTGGGGGTCGGGGTAGGGGAGGGTGGAGGGCAGTGGGGGAAGCAGGGAGATCAAAAGCACAGTCGAAGAGGAGGGTCTTGAGATGGGTCTTGAATGTGGTGAGACAGAGGGACTGCGGGATGGAATTCCAGAGGGTTGGTGCAGAGTGACGGAATAGTCCGCTGATAATGGGGTGTGCGAGGCAGGGGACGTGAAGCAGGCTGGAGCCCACTGAGCGGAGGGAGTGAGCAGGATGGTAGGGGGTTAGGAGGTAGCAGAGGTAAGGGGGAGCAAGTCGGTGGAGGGCTTTGAAGGTGAGGACCAGGATCTTGAACTTTATTCTCTGTGTGATGGGAAGCCAGTGGAAGTGGGCAAGGATGGGGGTGGTAGGGTCGCAGAGCCTTGTGCGGGAGAGGACACGGGCTGCAGAGTTCTGGTTGATCTGCAGCCTGTGGAGGGAGGAGTTGGGGAGGCTGGCAAGCAGTGAGTTTACATAGTCGAGCCTCGATGTAATGAAGATCTTAATACAGCAAAAAAAATCTACAAACTTAAACCGTTTAAAAATTATTCCCTCACACAGATAGATATTCTGGAGACCAGTTACACCGAAAGCTGAACAAACCAGTTCTGAAAATAATAACAATCCTTGGATTTGATGGAAACTGTGATTGATTTAAACACAAAAAATGTATTTATCAGGGGGAAAAAAAAACACTTGCCTCAACAAGATCATCCTTCAACTCTTAATCCCCCCCCAGTTCTTACTTTCTCTAGGAAAACATCCGAAGTGCCAGGTGATTTCATGCACACTATTTGCTTCAGTGGCATTCCCTAGTAACTTATTACTCCTCTGAGTAAAATAATCTCTCACTTCCTTATTTTTAATCTGAAGTCATCATTATTTGAAGGCTAATAAATGTAAAATAGAACTTTAGCTCTCATTTGAGAGGCGGTAAGTTAAAGGCAGGCGCAACGTAGAAAGACAGTGTTTGTTTCTCTAAGATGCTTCAGTTTGCACAGTCACTTGGATGCAAAATATTCATCATCACTATAACTGGGGGGAGAGGGAAGAGAGGAGGTAAACTGCTTAGCACCGAATGAATGGCTGTGGGATGAATTCAAAATGACAAAGCAACAAACCTGAATGACGAGACCGTGCTGGACTCGAAAAGAGGGACGAGTCCTGCACATTGGGACTCCGAACGTCAGCCGCTGGGGAGGTTGGTAATGGCTGTAGATCCCCAGTGGAAGTTGTATCATCTGTCCGCCTCCTTTGGGAAGGTGGGGACTGTACTTCATCACTGCGAGCTGCAAGAGATTCACTTAGTGTTAAGTTAGACGCAACAAGTGACTTGTTCAAACACAGAATGCAAATAGCAGAAATTTAGAGCTACTCTAAATTACGATCTTTCTAAATTTCAGTGATGACGTATTATTTTCTCTAGCAATGATTCAGCTGTTGTAATCTGTCTACACAGCTTACATTTGTTAATACTATATGAACCACTTTTATCTCACACCCAACACAGCCAAAACCCTTATCCACCCATTCATCAACTGCAGCCTCAATTTTTCCAATGCCCTCCTCACCCGGTCTCCCAGCTCCATCATTCATAAAATCCACTGAATTCAAGCTCTGCCACTGTTAAGCACTGATACGCTCCCCCTCACAAAGCACGCAATATAAATGAAAGTTGTTGTGGTTTTCCACCCGAGCCATTTTTAACCACCCGACAATTTTTTATTACCTCTACAACTAAGCCAGACTGACACATAGAACTAAGTTAACGGATCAGCTCAATTCTGTGCACCATTTTTGAGGATGAGTGAGAAGGAGAGGCAAGAGGAGGGAAAAGAGAAGCTGGATGTGCGTAACCAGCTGGATATTTTAAGTGCACAATATTAACTTTTTGGAAGACTGTAATAAAATATTACAGAATTTCCCCCCTCCCCTCCCCTATTCTACAGACATTATAATAATGACAACATGAACATTCGGAAAATGGAATGCTATTCTGCACTCAAAGGATGAAATAAAACAGCAGGTGTACAAGATCCCAGTGCTGTGATGAATGATGAGACTTACGAGTTGGAGGGTTGCTGCCTCTTCCACGTTTGCTTCCTTTACGACTGGGTGTAGAGGTTGGAGATGACATCTTGAATACTAAGTCAAGGGGAAGGTGCAATTAATATTTTGTTGAACATTTTTATTTGCAAAGTTGGGTTTAACATTCCATCCCTGAGCAACGTTTAACACCAGAAAGATTTTAATTGCATCTACAACTGTCTCGGTGTGAGCGACAAACGATAACAGATTGAATAAAAGTATACATTCCAAAATTAATCATGTATTCATTTTTACCCCCCCAAAAATGTTAATTTGCAAAGATTCTGGGGTGAGATTTTAACAGACCAAATTACAACAACAACAAATTGCATTTATTTAGCGCATTTCACGTAAGGAGGTTGTCCCAAGGTGCTGGATATTTGACGATTTGCACCCAAGATAACCAATTAGCTTACATTTGCTTTACCTATTTTTGATGAGCAAGGCTCGCAGGACTGGGTTCAAGAGTTAAGAGTCGAAATGTGTTCTCTGAATCACATAGCAGATAAGTTTAGGAAAATAGATTTTTTTTAAAAAAAAAAGCTGATCAATACAATGCGAGACGTCATAATTAAATCCATATTAAAACAAGGTTTGCTAGAATATGTAAAAAAAATAAGAAAAAATCATTAAATGTATTATAACTTTGTTTTGTTTTGCCTTCCCACAAGTGTTGGTTCATATCAAACCTTGTGCTCAAATGTACTTTGCTGAGGTGGAAAATACTGAACTTGGGATGTCAGCCAATTCTATATTAAAAGCACAAAGAACGCATTTAACTATAAACAATAACTTATATAGTGCCCCTCACACAGGATAGCATCCCGGAGGGCTTGACAGGGGTGGAGCACAACGCATGAACCTCAGACTTCTATGAAGTACAGCAACAACACCTTGCTTTTTACTTATTTTGTAACCTTCACATACACAGAGTCTTAGAGCACTTAACAGTTGTGGAACGATGCCAGCAGGAGACACAGGAGAGATGACTGTAGGCAAAGTCAAATGCAGGCAAAGAGGGGGCAAGGCGGAAGGAGTGAGGCAGAGTTCCAGAGTTTCAGGGTACAGTGGCTGAAAATATATCGCTGATGGTGGAGCGGAGGGGATGAGGATCATGCCAGGCACATTGGCATCCGTTTACAACATCTCAATGTTTCAATGTCAATTGTTTTTAATTTTTCAACAAGAAATGTTGCATTTTCAAAAATAAAAACCCAAACAAAATTACCACCATAATCCCTACATGATCAATAGATCAGTAGTCCTGTACTGGAGTCCTGTAGCTCAGTGGTTAGAGCACTCACTTTGCAAGTGAGACACCTGGGTTCAATTCCAGGCATGTCAGGGCGAAACCTTGGGCAAGTTTCCTTACTCCACACTCCTAATAATAATCCCTCCAAAACAAAACAATAATAAATTGGTCATTTTCAATCCACGACTGTTTGTGAGACACTGCTGTGCGCAATTGGCTGCCGCGTTTTGCCCACAAATATACAGTCAATTCACTTTACAGCATATTCTGTGAAGCGCTTTGGGACATCTAGAAGACGTGAAAAGCGCTACATCAAATGCAAGGATTATTATTATAGCATTTTATACACTTCGCGGTGGGGGGAAAGAAGAGGAGTATAGTATTTCATTTTTAATTTAAAGTTTCCATGATTTGACAACTGCAGAAACCCTTCATTATCCTTCTCTAAACCAAAGTAGTTTTGTTTGAATACCCCAGGAAGTTCATCTCAGACCTCCTGCACCCATTTTAATTGACAAACAGCATAAAGAGTCAAAACAACCAAATCTTTAAATGACAATATTTGATCCAGTTCCTTAGCTTTCCCCTTTATTTATTTATTCTTTCAGGTATTTACCCAATTCCCTTTTAAGTGATGTTATGGGCTCAGCCTCCAAAGTCATTTGAGTTCCTCAGACATCACAATTATTTTTTTTAAATTTAAAACCAGGTCTCCAAAGCTGGTGCAAATGGGGGTTTGATTACGAAAATGTCATCCCAGTGATTGAGATGAACACATTGCAGTTCCCATCTTAGCCCAAAGTAATGTGTTCCTGTAGTCTTAGCTCAACAACTCACAGCCACTGAGGACAGACAGACAGACAGACAGACAGAGAGGGTAAAAAGTATTTGAGAGAGAAAACATGTGACCTGTTCCCCAGACTGGGAGGGCTCTGATAAAATATCTGATCAGAGGCCTACTCTCTAGGATTACATATATTATATATATTATATATATATATGATAGGTCAGACCTGCTCTCCCTTCTGTAGGACTATACACATAGAACTAAGTTAACGGATCAGCTCAACTTTATCATAAAAATGTCACCCCAGTGATTTGAGATGAACACATTGCAGTTCCCATCTTGAGACCAACAACTCACAGCCACTGAGGACAGTTACATATAATATATAATACAATTATAAGGCCTGACCTGCTGCCCCGCTGTGGGATCACTGTCCAGTGGCTGTGGGATCACTGTCCAGCGGCTGTGGGATCACTGTCCAGCGGCTGTGGGATCACTGGGGATCACTGTCCAGTGGCTGTGGGATCACTGTCCAGTGGCTGTGGGATCACTGTCCAGTGGCTGTGGGATCACTGGGGATCACTGTCCAGTGGCTGTTTCCCGCGGAATCTGTCGCTGGTTCCGTTTTCCCGCCAATCCCCGGGCGGGAGAGCCCATTCCGGGCCGCGGGGGGGGAGGGGCCGCCCGATCCCACCACTTGGGGTTTGCAGACCCTGGAAAAGGACAACACACGGCCCCGGGAGAGGGGCAGAGCACAGGCGGCGGCGGGAGGGCAGCGGAGGGCGTCCGCGCTCAGCAAAGTGGAGCATCGGAGCTGAGTGAAGGGAGAGTTGGAGTGTGTGTGTCCCCCCCTCCGGGGCCGTGTCAGCGGGTGGTGGAGTCCGGCCCCGGGGGGCATTGTGGGGCAGTGCGGGGCAGTGCCGGGGCTGGTGCGGGGCATTGTGGGGCAGTGCCGGGCATTGTGGGGCAGTGCCGGGGCTGGTGCGGGGCATTGTGGGGCAGTGCCTGGCATTGTGGGGCAGTGCGGGGCAGTGCCGGGGCTGGTGCTGGTGCGGGGCAGTGCCGGGGCTGGTGCTGGTGCGGGGCAGTGCCGGGGCTGGTGCTGGTGCCGGGCAGTGCGGGCAGTGCGGGGCTGGTGCTGGTGCCGGGCAGTGCGGGGCAGTGCGGGGCTGCCGCTGACTGACTGACTGACTGACAGACGATGGCGGGGCCCCGCGGCGCCGCCGCTGACACTCTCAGCGCCTTCAGCAAACTGCACCACCTGCTGTCGCTCAGCGACGTCAAGAGCGCGGCCGCCGAGTCCCACAGCGCTGTGGGCAGCATCAGCCGCGACTTTAGGTGCAGCAGCAGCAGCGACAGCCAACTGGGTGGGTATCTCGGCTCAGCACAGCTCTGCTCGGCTCAGCTCTGCACAGCTCGGCTCAGCTTTGCTCGGCACAGCTCTGCTCGGCACAGCTCGGCTCAGCTCTGCTCGGCTCAGCTCGGCTCGGCTCAGCTCGGCTCGGCTCAGCTTTGCTCGGCACAGCTCTGCTCGGCACAGCTCGGCTCAGCTTTGCTCGGCACAGCTCTGCTCGGCACAGCTCAGCACAGCTCTGCTCGGCACAGCTCGGCACAGCTCTGCTCGGCTCTGCTCGGCTCAGCTCTGCTCGGCACTGCTCGGCTCAGCTCGGCACAGCAACACCGCACACTGCCCCAGCGCCCCGTGTCTCTGCTGTGAAGTGCAGTGACTGTGTGGTCTGTGTGTGTGACAGAGACACAGGGAATAAATATACAGAGTTCACTCAGGAGTGAGGTTACAGCTGGGAGGCAGTGTTGCTTCTTCGGGCCCTGTGTTTATGGTGTTGGTTCCAATGCGACGACCCCCTAAAGCACTCTCACTCTCAGAAGTGTTTGGGAAATGTTTGTTTGAAGGCGTCCTGTCCTGCAGTAAGATTTTTAAATAGTTTTCAGAAGTGCGTTGCCCGACGAATGCCCATATTCTCTAACTACAATTGTTTACAGCAATGAGACTGCAGTTCAGTTTATAATAATAATAATAATCTTTGCATTTGATATAGCGCTTTTCACGTCGGGAGGACGTCCCAAAGCGCTTCACAGAACACACTGTAAGGGGAATTGACTGTATATTTGTGGGCGAACGCGGCAGCCAATTGCGCACAGCAATGTCCCACAAACAGTCGTAGATTGAAAATGAACAATTTATTATTGTTTTGGTTTTTGGAGGGATTATTATTAGGCTCTGTGTGGAGTAAGGAAACTTGCCCAAAGTTTCACCCTCTGCCTGGAATTGAACTCAGGTCTCTCACTTGCAAAGCGAGTGCTCTAACCACTGAGCTACAGGATTCCACAATGTACCAATGTGGTTTCTGGGTGTTTTGCGGTGGGCACATAGCAACCACGTCACACATTGGGGGAAAAATTGGATTCAATACTGGATTCTTGAGCGCACACACATATATAAGTATTTATTACAAGAACTGAAACTTATCTGTAAAGGTATGTCCCCAAAATACACCCAACCTTCACTTCTTTTGCAAGGTAATGGTTGGGATACAAGTTTCCCAAGCTATATGCCTTAATGTCTCTCGCAAGATTATGGTGAATACCTCTTGCCTTCAGTGACTCTGATTAACCTTAATCTCTAACCAATCTTGTTTGCTGTATCTCCACCGATATGTAGTATCTCCAATGCTAAATCAGCCTCAAGGAGGTTTGCTTCTGCCAAATAATTATTTTGCCCTCAACAACTCTGAACTATTATAAAGCACAACTTTGTCCAATACTTTAACATTACTCTCATGTTTGAAGCGGCTGTATAATACACGTCTTGCACTCCCAGACAAGAGTACAAGAAAAGACTTTCTCAAAAGTGACCCTTGTTTCAGCCACAGAATATTCACTTTACAGTATATCCAAATCCCTGACTGTCCAGTGCCTTGGGATGTCCTGACATGAAAGGCGCTATACAAATGTACTTGTGTACTATATTGTATTTTGTGAAGCTCTTTGAGACATTTCAAACGACATGATAAGGCGCTATATCAAATGCAAGGATTATTATTCCTTCACTTCTGGCCTTCATTGTTTCTTACTCCACTGCCGAGTTTAAGTATGGATTCTGTTATGGCCATTGCTCCTAATTCTCTTTTGGTCAGGTCAAAGGTGTCCCATTTTTCTTCCTTGTCCTCCTTGCAACCTCACTGTTGAAATAAAATTGCATCAACTCATTAATTTCCAGATGGCATGTTGTAGAGCTTCTCGACTCCCTTGGTCTTCCCTCTAAAACTTGGTGCAATTTAACACAGCACATGAAGACACACAGAATATGGCAAAACAGTCAAAATCTGGAAAACAAAAATAACATTCACTTTATTTCCATTACTAAGTTATTTTTTGAACAGTAGTTCAAAATGCATGTTTTTTAATGTACTATAAGGCACTATGTAATTACAAGTTGTCCGATATGACAGCAGCCTACTCCGATTGTACAAAGAGTCTGCCACGACACAACTTCACACATATGATTCCTCACTGATAAACCTCCAGATCCTGGATGGTCAGGAAAAGCACAACACTGAATGAGGAGCGGACACTTTCTCAGTTGACTTGCAAAAATAAAAAACCTTATCTATTTCCCAATAAGACTGTTAATGTTACTATCAGAACACTATTGATACCAGGGATTACTTAAATTCTAGGTTAAAATTAAATTTAATTTCAGACTGGTACCAGTTGCTTGTGCTGTTACACTCTATTAAAAGGTTAAATGCCACAATAGGATTCTCCCATCCTCTCCAGAAGGCACTGTGTTAATTGGGGAATTATACCGTGGCTGGTATCCGCTGCTATCTTGTCCAAGTGGCCAGTTTTCATGTGAGAAATTAGAGAATAAATGCCAGCGAGTTGTTCAGGAGGGTGGGGGGAGTGTTATAATGGATGCACATGAACTTGTCCTTGCCGAATACACACACACAGGGATTACTGGATAGCAGTCAGGAGCAGGAACTACCTGGCTGTTACCTTGCTGAGAGACACTGGTGTCATTTGTAGTGGTGTCATTCCTATCTTGGCTGAGATGAGCTAATTCATCACAAGCTGAGCTTTGAACCTGGGACCCTCCCGATTTTGTGTAACTCAAGTTTCAAATTGGCCTGTGGCTCGATTAAATAAGGTATTATTATTATTAGCGGAGGATGACTGTTAATTCTTTGTTGCAATTAGGTGATTAAGGAAGTGTGGCATTAAAATGTACAGTATCTTCATGTCATGCTCATGTGTCACATTGTTGTTTGTATGCAGCTCTTCAGAGCTCAATGGTGTTCTCCAAAGATACTGGGCTCCTGGTTTTCCTAAGAAAATCACTTCGTTTTGAAGAAGTAAGTTGTGTCAGCAATATTGATTGTCTTTTAAAGTTGCATTTTTTAAAAAAAAATGGAATCTGTGACATTTATTAGAAAAATCGGTCATGTTTGTAACTCCAGTTTCGAGACAGCAGAGAAGACGTTCTGAAATTACTGTCCGAAGTCGTCGAAAGAATTGGCGAAGCAGTGGGACGATATGCCTGTGACATAAAGGTGAGGAATTTTGTAGTTACTTTCTAAATACACCTGAACATTTAGACTCTGAATGGAATGTGTGCAACATTTATAATGGACCAATGTAAAGGGGAAGCTGCCCTCCTCACTGCATCACTTTTAATCAGGTGAACTTGAGCTCCCCACACACACTCACACACGGTTTTAGCATTTTTACACAGATGCATGTGTTTGTTTATTGGCGTTGTTAAAGAATGAGTCATGTAATCATCTCCAGAATAATGTTAAAATGCTCCATTCAAAAATCCCAGAATATTCCTTAGATATCCCCAAAGAGTTATAGATTGGGGGTTTGGGGGGGAACGAGGAACAAGAGGGAAGTGTGGATTGCATTTATACTGCACAGATTTTGAAATCACAATGCTGTCCAATGTAAAGTATATTGGTTGATGTGATATATTTCGAATAATAAAACAGAATGTCAAGTAATATCATATTTTGTAAAGCTTTCCTGCACTCAACTGTTTTCAAGAGCAGTTTGCAGTTATTTTTTGCCTTGCTATTGCAGAGTGTTTTGTTTCAAACAATTTTCTTTCCCACCTCCTTTCCTGATGGTGATAATTTCTGAAGTATAGTTTCCACACGCATTCTTTAGGGGTGAGCCCACTAATCCAGTATTAGCAAATCAATTGACCATGGGAGAAACACAGCCCAGTCAGATTATGTCCTGACAAAACACGCAGTCACTGCACTTAGAGTATATCCCATCAAGCGCATTGGGACATCCTCCTGACTTGAAAGGCACTGTATCAAATGTAGGGATTATTATTTGGCATCCCCACGGGCACTATTTACAGCAGGAGACCCTGTAAGCCAATTAAGTCTGGGAACTCTGGCAGAGTTTTAAAAAAAAATTCCTCCTCCTGCTAGCCCAGGACGCTGAGGCAAGAAAAAAAATGTGTTTGTCTTTTTCTGAATTAATGAGGTGTCTGGATTTTGGAGGTCACCTCACCAAACATGTCGAGCCATATTTTGGGTGCTGCAACATTAATCAAGAGTTTCTCCATGTGAAAGGCAAGGAACCACATCCTCGTGAGAAAAGAGCTAGATATCCTGCAGATCTTATCATTGAAAGGAAACCGATTTCACCACATGAGTCACATACACATCAATCCCAGGTGATAGGACCACCAGTAGATGGAAATTGAAGTTCCTTCTGCTCTTCCCAATGAAATACTTCAGCTTCTTCCACAGTCATTTGCACCACAATGTGACAGCTTCACCTTTCACAAATCTGTTTGAGTGTTAGGGTCCAGTTTTATGTTGTTAACCCCAAACCCCATCCTTGCAGCAGGTGGGGAGAGGAGAATTTCATGCCATCCAATTAAGCTGTGGTGGAGTAAGGATGGTGTGCTTAACCCCTCTGTAATATTGCTACTTTTACTGTTTACCAATACACTGAGTTTGTTTTTCATGTGGGATGGATATGATTTTTTAAACAAAAAAAGCACACTAGGATGAACATGCCTCTTTTATTTTCTTAGGGCACGTGTGTTGTCGTGTACACTAAAGAGAAGGCTGCAAAATGTAAGGCTGCTGCCTTGGATCTTCTTATTACGGTAGGATTTTCTTGTAGTTGCCTTTAATTGGGGGAATGATTCATTCATTTGTATGGTGTAGTGTCAAACTACTTCATTGTTGAGAGCTCCAAAGTGCTCCCCCGCCCAGTGAAGGGCTCTATATTAACAGTGAATGCTTAGTGAGAGCAATTGTTGTTCTTAATTGCCCATAAATGTTATGAGACAATTTTTGAAGGATTAGAAATCAAAGTTTAAGAACAAGAGGGTGGGCAAAGATCATAAAATGAGGCTGGGAAGTATACCGACAAATAATCACACTGGACCACAGATCTCATAAGGCTTGAAGAGTAATAATTTAACGTTTTGGTAAACCAGCCGGTTTATATCCCATTTGCATCTTCCCTGAAATCGGTACTCTTTTGATGACATTTAAATATGCAGTACGTTTAAAGTGTGTAAATTGTGAGGGTTTGTGAGTTTGGTAATTGATCCCGTGTATACACAGTGGAGTCTGTTAAGCACCATATGTAAACCAGGTATAAATCGTGAATAGATGAAAGTCCAACAATTTTTTTCTGTGTAAGATGTGGAATTTTGCATTTTAAAAAAGTTTACTTTGCAATTAAATTGCAGTTACTGCACAGCAAATTGAGCTCCAGCTGTCTTCAACAATTCAAAATCGGAGAACTATTCAACAAATTCTATGGAGATTTGTCACAGAAGAGCAAATTCCCAGATACAGGTGTCTTTTCTTTGTTTGCTTTGAACAGCAAAAACCCCCTTCTCTGTGATTAATGTTTAAGCCTCCTGCTTGTCCCTCGCACTCTCTGCACACATTAGAGATTGCGCTTTCAGCCACTACGCCCTGAAACTCTGGAACACTCTCCCTCAATCCCTTTACCTATCGCCCTCTCTCCCCTTTTTCAAGTCCCGCTTGAAAACCTTCCTTTTCGCCCGTGCATACGGTCACGCCACCCCGCCCACAGCTCAGAATCAGGCTCCACTATGAAGTGCTCTTAGACGCAACCCTACGTGGAGGGTGAATATAAGTGCAAGTTCTTGTTGTTGAAATTATGTCTTACAGTCTTGTTTCAAATTCCTTGTTTGGACAGTGTTGGAGAAGGTTTATGAGCTGCTGGGAGTTTTAGCGGAAGTCCAGCCTACTGAGATGCTCCATAACTCAGAAAAACTTTTCTGTGCTTATTTAAATGAACTGAGAGTGCAGGTGAGTTCATATTTTCTCTCTCTTTTGTTTGGTACAAGATATATATTTTGCCCCATCGTTTACCTTTCCTTACCATTCCTGTAAGTCCCGCAATATTTGGCTGAGGGTAGCAAAAAACTCATTCAAGATCTCATCAGAGAGAAAGTCTTCTGGGTTAGTTTGATGTACATGTGCTTCCCTGGAGCACATGTGTTTTACATCGTAAAGCTCCGAGACTCTACCCCGTGTGAAGGGCGCTATATTTCACCCACAAAATATACAGTCAACTCACTTTTCACTATATTCTGTGAAGTGCTTTGAGACGTCTCGAAGACGTGATAAGGCACTGTATTAAATGCAAGGATCATTATATTATTTCAATAGCGAGTGTTGAGCAAGGGCAAGTAGTTGTTGTCATTTTAAAATCCCAGGGGGTTTTAAAAGAGGTAGCTTATGAGACAGTGGAGGCCTTGTGTCTGATCTTCCAAAATTCCTTGGATTCTGGAACAGTCCCCATGGATTGGAAGATCGCAAATATCACCACTATTTAAAAAAGTTGGAAAGGAAAAGATGGGGAACTATAGGCCAGTTAGTCTCACATCAGTAATAGGAAAAATTTTAGAATCATTGATTAAGGATGTGGTAGTGCGGTATTTAGGGGAGCACAATATAATTAGGCCAAGTCAACATGGCTTTACAAAAGGGAAGTCATGTTTGACAAATTTCATAGAGTCTTTTGAGGATATTTCGAGTAAACTAGATAAGGGTGAATCAGTGGATGTGGTCTATTTGGACTTCCAGAAGGCATTCGATAAGGTCCCGCATAAAAGGTTAGTCCAAAAGATAAGGGCCCATGGAATTGGGGGGAGCATATTAACGTGGATTGGGGAATGGTTAACGGGTAGGAAACAAAGAGTAGGGATAAACAGGTCCTTTTCAGATTTACCATCTACATCAATGATCTAGATGAGGACATCGAAGTTAATATATCTAAATTCGCGGATGACACAAAACTAGGAGGAAGTGGCAACACAGAGGATGACATTAAAAAAATGCAGTGAGACATAGATTGGTTAGGTGATTGGGCAGGTAGATGGCAGATGAAGTATGATGTAGGGAAGTGCAAAGTCAGCCACCTCGGTAGCAAAAACAGTAGAGCTGGTTATTTTTTAGAAGGGGAGAGATTGGAATGTGTTAGCGTCCAGAGGGACTTGGGTGTCCTTGTACACCAATCACAGAAAGTTAGTCTGCAGGTGCAGCAGCAGTTATGGAGGCGAACAGTATGTTAGCATTCATTATGAAAGGATTAGCGTATAAGAGTAGGGAAGTCTTGCTGCAACTGTATAGGGCCCTGGTGAGATCACATCTGGAATACTGTGTGCAGTTTTGGTCTCCTTATTTAAGGAAGGATACTTGCCTTGGAGGGGGTGCAGCGTAGATTTACTAGGTTAGTACCAGGGATGAGTCACGAGTCACGAGGATAGGCTGACCAATTTGGACCTATATTCTCTAGAATATAGAAGAATTAGAGGGGATCTTATAGAAACCTATAAGATCATCAAAGGGCATGATAGAGTAGATAGTGGGAGATTGTTTGCCCTGGTTGGAGAAACTAAAACCAGGGGTCACAACCTTAAAATCAGAGGCCAGCCCTTTCGCACTGAGTTGAGAAAGAACTTCTTCACTCAAAGGGTGGTGAATGTATGGAACTCGCTACCCCAAAGGGCTGTTGACGCTCAGTCCTTGAACATATTCAAGACTGAGATGGATAGATTTCTTATTGCAAAAGGTATTAAGGGATATGGGGATAAGGCAGGGTAAGGTTATTAGCTGGAGTTAGATTAGAAGATCAGCCATGATTGAATGGCGGGGCAGGCTCAAAGGGCCGAATGGCCTACTCCTGCTCCTACATGTTACGTTATGTTAAATGCCCTTAAGGCTCTTGTTGCAGTGTGAAGCACAAACCTCAGAAGCAGTTCCAGTTGTATTCGACTTCACTGTTGAGCGCATTTGCAGAGCCTGGCAGCTGGATGCACCTTGAGGTTGATTCTGTCGTCAGCGGCAAATTCACAGGATCAGGTGCAGGCAGCTATTCTGTGAACAGCAATACCCCAAACAGCAATGAAGTGACTGACCAAATTTATCTTCTAGAAACGAAGGCTTCAATTTGTTAATTTCTTATTCCACAGATGACCTCTGCCACAAGAGAGCCGAAATTCCTTGTGGTATCGGGGTGCCTTAGAGGGTTAACAGCACTCATGATAAACTTCACAAAATCCATGGAAGAAGGTGAATTTCTGGTTTTGATCGCATTCAGTTATCAAATGTTTATCATGTCTCTTAATCTATTTATAACAAAATAACAATCTGCAAATTTTGCTTTGCAGACCCAAAAGCTTCAAAGGATATTTTCGACTATGCATTGAAAGCCATTAATCCACAGGTGATTCTGAGTTGCTGGAAGCTTTGTGTAAAGATAACTTGTTAGAGGTGTGAGGTTTAAATAGAAGGTAGAGGAAGAGAAGGGAGATATTGGAACAGGAAGAAAATTATTGGGAAGTCATTTTTGATCTAAGGCCACATTTAGGTTGTACGTGGTGGAGCTTATAATATGACACTAACATGACACTATAGTCAAGTACATGGAGTTGATCATGTAAAATCAACATGACATCACGTGCAATAGAGAATAACTGAATAAGACACACCTTATTTCTCAAGCCCAATATTGAACATTTAATATTTGAGAGCACTTCATCTTAGTATTTTGGCGGATGGGCCTTCTGCCACTCTGCCCCCACCCTCTGGAATTCCATCCCGCAGTCCCTCTGCCTCGCCCCCTCCCATGCCCCCTTCAAGACCCATCTCAAGACCCTCCTCTTCGACCATGCATTCGATCACCCTGCTTCCCCCATTCTCTCTCCACCCTCCCCGATCCCGACCCCCAGCTTTGTCAAAAGCTGCCATAAGGGTGTGAATTTTAGATTTATAATTTTGACCTGAATGCATCTGTGCACAGAATGTCTGCGCACTGCTGATGCAGCTCACTGTCTTTCCAGGAATTACCAATACAGTTTACATTTCTAAAAAGCCTTTCGTGTAAGGAGAGAGTCACAAAAGCACTTCATATAGCTAACTGGGGAGGGAGCTGGGAGCAGGAGAGGCTGTAAGCCTAGCGAAAAGATAAGTCTCATGGAGAGGCGAGGAGGAAGGGGTAATGAGAGGGATTCTGAGATGAAGCTCCAGAGAGCAGGGGCAGAGTGGCTGAAGGATTTGAACTTTATTTTGAAGTAATCTTAGTGTGTGAAAGGCGCTATACAAATGTAATCGTGTTGTTGTTGTGTGGTTACCAGGGACACAGAGTGTTGTGGTCTGCTGACAGTTTTGTGTCTTTTCACAGATTGACTTGAAGAGATATGCTGTTCCTTTGGGTAAGATTGTTTTGATTATTTTATGTTTTTTCCTCTTTCTCTCTACCTCCCAATCCTCCTTTCCTGCCCATTTACTGTGAAATGTAATGACTAAGTACAGTATTTATGGTGTGAAAGTGGCAGCCAATTTGCATGCAGCGATGTCCCACAAACAGCCTTGAAGTGTTCAACTTTGAGACATCTTCCTGATGTGAAAGGAAGTATAACAAATGCATGGATGACAACAATAATAATAATAATAATAATGGAGTCCTGTAGCTCAGTGGTTAGAGCACTCGCCTTGCAAGCGAGACACCTGGGTTCAATTCCAGGCAGGGCAAAAACTTGGGCAAGTTTCCTCACTGCACACGCCTAATAATAATACCTCCAAAACAAAACAATAATAAATTGGTCATTTTCAATCCACGACTGTTTGTGGGATACTGCTGTGCACAATTGGCTGCCGCGTTTCGCCCACAAATATACAGTCAATTCACTTTACAGTCTATTCTGTGAAGCGCTTTGAGACATCTAAAAGACGTGAAAAGCGCTATATCAAATGCAAGGATTAGGATTATTATTATAATAACTTGAGTAGGTTGAAAATTCTATGGAGGAAGTCACTGAGAATATAAAACCTCACAGACAGACCCTGAGCACCAGGGCACATGCTGTAAAGCTGCAGTTTGGAGATGCAAATAAATATAGTGACAAATATTGCTAGCTAAAAGTTATTTTAAGATAACTACATGAACACTGCAGTCTTTATTTTTGCTTGTCAGATGCTGAAAGTATGCAACTCCTGCAAGGGCCATTTGATCTTGGCAGTCTTTGATACTTTACCCAAGTGAGCCATTCTTCATATGGGAGCTTGGTCAATGAGCGTTTCAACCTTGTGGGATGTCACAGTTGATCCTGGAACAAAAACAGAGAGAGCTTGGAAAACTCAGCAGGTCAGGCAGCATCTATGGAGAAAGGAAAGTGAGTCAACGTTTCGGGTCCACGACCCTTCGTCAGAACCCAGAACCCAGTTCTGACGAAGGGTCATGGACCCGAAACGTTGACTCACTTTCCTTTCTCCATAGATGCTGCCTGACCTGCTGAATTTTCCCAGCTCTCTCTGTTTTTGTTTCAGATTTACAGCATCTGCAGTATTTTGTGTTTTGTTTATAATAATAATAATAATAATAATAATAATCCTTGCATTTGATATAGCGCTTTTCACGTCAGGAGGACGTCCCAAAGCGCTTCACAGAACACACTGTAAAGTGAATTGACTGTATATTTGTGGGCAAACGCGGCTGCCAATTGCGTACAGCAATGTCCCACAAACAGTCGTAGATTGAATATGACCAATTTATTATTGTTTTTGGTTTTGGAGGGATTATTATTAGGCTCTGTGTGGAGTAAGGAAACTTGCCCAAGGTTTCGCCCTCTGCCTGGAATTGAACTCAGGTCTCTCACTTGCAAAGCGAGTGCTCTAATCACTGAGCTATAGGACTCCACAGTCCTGTAAAACAGAGGTTTTACAGTTAATACTGGGCCTGCCCTCACATTCTATAGTGGCCACTGGATAATGATTAGCTTTGGGAACCATCCCATTCGCCTGCAAATACACAGTCGTTAAACTTCACAGTAAATAGTGTGAAGCGTTTTGAGATGTTTCAGTGACGTGATAAGATACTATACCAAATACTATACAAGGGTTATTATTCTTGTTATATTCTTCTTTACCCATAAGATGTTGAGATCAATTTTAGAATTACAGGGGATTCAACCTGGGACTTGGCTGGTCCGTACAGATCGTATAATGCATTTACCCACTAGTCCATCACATATCCCCCCCTCCCCGTCACACGCAAACACACACACACACACACACTACTTTCATTTGGGGTTTATTTGAGAAGCCCTCAGAAAGTTATTGTGGTGGTGTGCGTCTTTCACAATTACACCTCGGTCAGGAAGAGGAAATGTAATTAAGATCCATGCAGGGGATCTAAGGCAGCTTTAACTTGCTTTGTTTTCTCTGTGCAGCTGGGTTACGCCTGTTCACACTGCACTCCAGCCAGTTCGGCACCTGCCTGATGGACAACTATCGAACAGTGTTTGAAAAAATGAAAAAATCGTGTGGCCATACAAACAGTGAGATGAAGAAAGCTAGTTATTCCGCACTGGAAAGTTTTCTCAAACAGGTAAGCAGATCTACTTTAACCCATGCAGCTTTATAATGGTTTCTTGGAACATCCTTAAATCAGGTACACTTCACATGAGTCGATAGAAGCATCTTTAATTAAATACTCAGTAGTTCACATTTGAATACATTGGAATACATTAGAATACAGTACAGAAACAGGCCATTCGGCCCAACTGTTTATACCGGTGTTTATGCTCCACATGAGCCTCCTCCTGCCCTTCCTCAACTAACCTTCAAGCATAACCTTCTATTCCTTTCTCCCTCATGTACCTATCTAGCTTTTCCTTAAGTATATCTATGCTATTTGCCTCAACAACTCCTTGTGGTAGCATGTTCCACATTCCCACTATCTGTGTGAATAAATTTTTTCTGACTTCCCTATTTGATCTATTTGTGACTATTTTATATTGATGGCCTGTGGTTTTGGTCTCCCCACAAGTGTAAATATCTTCCCTATGTCTACCCTATCAAAACCTTTCATAATTTTAAAGACCTCTATCAGGTCACCCCTTACCCTCCTCTTTTCACGAGAAAAGAGTCCAAGCATGTTCAGCCTTTCCTGATAGGTATAACCTCTCAGTTGTGGGATCATCCTTGTGAATCTCCTTTGCACCCTCTCCATTGCCCCTACACCCCTTCTATAATGTGGGGACCAGAACTGCACACAGTATCCTAAGTGGGGTCTAACCAAGGTTCCATAGAAGTTTACCATAACTTCCCCGCTTTTCATTTCTATACCTCTAGAAATGAACCCCAATGCCTGTTTTGCCTTTTTTATGGCCTTATTAACCTGTTTTTCTACTTTTAGTGAATTGTGTATGGGTACCCCTAGATCCCTTTGTTCCTCTACCCCATTTAGGTTATTATTTTCCAGGATGTATGTGACTTCCTTATTCCTTCTACCAAAATGTACACCTCACACTTTTCTACATTGAAATGCATTTGCCATTTAAATGCCCATTCAGCAAGTTTATTAATGTCTTGCTGTAATTTGTTGCAGTCCTCCTCTGTATTAACTATTCCCCCCAATTTGGTGTCGTCTGCAAATTTTGTAATTGTACTGCTGATTCCTGAGTCAAATCATTAATGTATATTGTGAACAACAGTGGTCCCAATATCGATCCTTGTTGAACACCACTGCCCACCCCCTGCCAGTCTGAGCAGCTACCCTTTACCCCTACTCTCTGTTTTCTGTGTTGTAGTCAATTTGCTATCCATTCTGCTATTTTTCTCCTGACTCCACACGCTCTGACTTTATTCATTAGTCTACTATCGAATGCCTTTTGAAAATCTAAATATATTACACCTACCACACTACCCATGTTTACTCATTCTGTTACCCCGTCAAAGAATTCGATGAGGTTGGTCAAGCATGACCTTCCTTTTTGAAATCTGTGCTGACTATTCTTTATTATGTTTTCCGTTTCTAGATGTTTTTCTATTACCTCCTTCAGTAAGGATTCCATTATCTTTCCTACCACCGATGTTAAGCTGACAGGCCTGTAGTTCCCTGGGCTTGTTCTAGCTCCCTTTTTAAATATAGGTATAACATTAGCTATCCTCCAGCCCTCTGGTACTACTCCCTGCCTCTGCTATCTCTTCCCTCGATTCTTTTAATATACGCAGATGCAATCCATCTGGACCAGGGGTTTTATCCTCGCTGAGTTTTGTTAGTTTTTCGATTATATCTTCCCTTCGTATCTTAAATGTATTTGTATTATTTTTGATCTCTTCTTCTACTGTCATGTCCACCTGATCCGTCTCCCTGGTGAATACTGAGACAAAGTAATTATTTAATATGTCTGCCATTTCGCTGTTGCGGCCTTGTCCGTCCCTTAGCGGCCCTATTCCTATTTTGATCTTTCTTTTGTTATTTATATGTCTGTAGAATATTTTACGATTTCTTTTTATATTTCTTGATAATTTAATTTCATAATTCCTCTTTGCCTTCCTAATTGCTTTTTTGACCTCTTTGTATTCTTTTTTGTCATGCTCTCCCTTGTTGTTTACGTACTTAGTTAACGCCTCTTTCCTGAGTCTCAACTTTGCCCTTATGTCTTTATTCATCCATGGTTCTCACTGTGGCTCAGTGGTTAGAGCACTCGCTTTGCAAGTGAGAGACCTGAGTTCAATTCCAGGCAGAGGGCGAAACCTTGGGCAAGTTTCCTTACTCCATACATCTAATAATAATCCCTCCAAAAAACAAAACAATAATAAATTTGTCATTTTCAATCCATGACTGTTTGTGGGACATTGCTGTGCGCAATTGGCTGCTGCGTTTGCCCACAAATATACAGTCAATTCACTTTACAGTATATTCTGTGAAGCTCTTTGGGACGTCTAGAAGACATGAAAAGCGCTATATCAAATGCAAGGATTATTATTATTATTATTTATCTTTGTCTTGCTTTTTAGCGGAACATATTTTTCCTGGACTCTATTGATCACTGCTTTAAATGTTTCCCACTGCTGCTCTATCTCTTTGTTTGCCAATATTGTTTTCCAGTTTATTTTCTCAAGTTCCGTTCTCATCCCCTTAAAATCAGCTTTTTTCCAATCTGTTACCCTGGTCTTTGTCATACTGATGTCCTTCTCAATCATTATCTTAAACCTTATTAAGTTATGATCGCTATTGCCTAGATGGTCCCCTACTCGTACTTTTCGTATCTGCTGTAGTTCATTTCCCATTACTAAATCCAGCAGGGATTCCTCCCTTGTTGGGCCTCTTACATACTGGGTAAGAAAAGAGTCCTGTACACATTGAAGGAACTCCACTCCCTTATCCCCTTTACCTACCTCTTCTAGCCAATTTATTTGGGGTAGTTAAAATCCCCCATGATTATTACTCTATGTATTTGATGTAAATGCAGTTGCTAGTGCGTAGTGTTGGGCTTACTCAGGGGCTCAGACCTACTGGTTCTATAAAGGGGTTGTTTGGGAACTTGGAGTCCAAGCTCCTGGTGCCTTAAACCTAAATGCTTCTCTGAACATGTCAGGATCACAAGTATAATGTGCACAAAGTGACTATAGTAAGTCTTATTATACATCATCTGTGTGCCTGAAGAAAGATCCACATGCAATGGAGTGCTGTTATGACATGATTCTGTATAATGAGAATTTACTTAGAACAATTTGCACTGTTGCACATGCGCAAAGCAAGAAGTGATGTCGACGACAATGAAATGACCCAGAAGGACTCTATTTTAGCTTCCCGTGCTAAAAAACAATAGGCAACCTCCGGATCATCAGGTCACCACAACATTACAATGACCCAGAAGTTGACCATTTTTATTAGTGTGAGGAGCGGACTGGCGTGCAGCCCATGCAATAGCTAGTTGCCTACGAAAGTCATATCCACTATCGCACCTCGCTGTAACCCGGAACCTGGGTTGGGATTTTGTGATTCACGTGGATGGCAAGTCAGCACTTTGTGGAATGCCATCTTTGAAATACTGTACAGTGAGACCCGAAGGTTGCACACTTCCACACTACCCTATTTGACAGTTGAACCTTCACTTTTTCAGTTGCTAAAACTTTGTTTATATATTTAAAAAAATGTCAAGTGAGATCTGAGGGGCTTATAAATCAGCAGGAGTCATCATCATCTTCATTTCAACATTTAAAACACTTAAAAACACTTATTATTCTTTTTATTAAAAGAACATCTCATTGGAGCATGATTGGCAGGTGGCTCGTTGGAATCTGGATCTGGAGGGTTGAAAGGAAATGTTTGTATTTGGTGGTGTTATATCACACATGTTGCTGCACCACGGCACTTTGCCACAAAATACTAGCGCAAGTATTGATTCTTGTGGGAACTCAGGTACTCACTGTGTTTGCCTGGGGACCTCCTCTCCTGCCGGAGGTTGAATAGTAAATACCATGTTATGTATCAAACTGTGCTCATTCATTCTATAAATTAACATACAGCGTTAATCTTATGTAGTTCTAAGCCGCAAAAATATCTCAGCTTCAGTGTCATCCTGGCTCAGTTGGCAGCACTCTCTGTCTCTGAATTAGAAGATTATGGGTTCAAACTCCATGTTGAGACTTTGTGTGCAATTGTCTAAGCTGCCACTCCAGTGTAATGCTGGATGTTTGCTGCATTGTTTGAAGTGCCATCCTTCGGATCAGACTTTAAACTGTTCACGTCACTGTTTGACAAGTAAAGAGAGTTTCTTCTGGTGCCCTGACCAACAATCCCCAGATACAATCGGCCATTCACCCCATGGCTGTTTGTAGGACATTTGCTGTGGCAAATTGGTTGCCACATGTGCATACAAAATACAGTCATTACATTATTCAGTATGTTTCCAGCCCAACGAGGAAGGAAGCAGTGCTAGATCTAGTTCTGGGGAATGAAGTGGGGCAAGTGGAGCAAGTTTCAGTCAGGGAGCATTTGGACAACAGTAATCACATCATTAGGTTTAGAGTACTTATGGAAAGGGACACGGAGCAATCAAAGGTGAGGATATTCAACTGGAAGAGGGCTACTTTCAGTGAGATAAAATGGGACCTAGCCAAGGTGGACTGGAAAGAAAGATTGGCAGATAAAACAGCTAATGAGCAGTGGGAAAGGAAGCCTTCAAGGAGGAGATAGTTCGGGGACAAAACAAATATATTCCCACAAAGGGGAAAGGTTGGAAATTGTACTCCCTATACCCAAGTTCAGGTCATTTATATAGATCAAAAACAGCAGTGGTCCTATACTGACCCCTGGGGAACACCACTGCACACTTCCCTCCAGTCAGAAAAACAACCGTTCACCACCACTCTCTGCTTTCTGTCTCCCAACCAGTTCTGTATCCATGTTGCTACTATCCCTTTAATACCATGGGCTTCCTATTTTGCTTACAAGTCTCTTATGTGGCACTTTATCAAACGCCTTTTGAAAATCCATATAACTACATCAACTGCACTACCTTCGTCCACCCTTTCCGTTACTTCATCAAAAAACTGTTGTCAGGTTTGTTGAGAGAGAGCGGGGTAGTGGGATTGAATTGGATAGCTCTTTTCAAAGAGACGGCACAGACACAATGGGCTGAATGGCTTCCTTCTGTGCTGTATAATTCTATGATTCAGTGGTAGTGATACATTTTAGTCATTTCTGTGAAGGTCTTGAAATGAAACATCGTCTTGACGTGAACGGAACTATGTATATCAAATGCATAGATGACAACAATAATAGTAACAACTTGGGTAGGGTGAAAATTCTGAAAGCATATTCTCATCTGTCCCATGTGCAGGTTGCGATACAAGTTGCGGAAAATGCTCATTTACACAAAGACAAGCTGGAGTACATCATGCAGCAGTTCTATGACATTATCAGGACGCCAGAATCGAGCATGAAAGAACTCTCCATCGCCATACGTGGATACGGACTTTTTGCAGCTGTATGGTTTGCTCTTTCATTTCATTTTTATTTAAGATTTAGTGTGCCCAATTATTTCTGCAATTTTCTCCCCCATTAGGATACTCCTCTCTGCTCCTGATCCCCAGTCACCTCTTGATGGGTACAGTGCGACAACAACAAGATTACATTTGTATAGTGCCTTTCACGTTGGGAGGACGTCCCAAGGTGCTGGGCGTCCTCCCGACGTGAAAGGCGCTATACAAATGTAATAGTACAGTTCCTTTCTCTTTGACCGTGCCTTCAGCTCCCCTCTCGACTCTCTTCCCCCTCCTCGCTCCCTCCCTTCCCTCCCCTCACCCTGACCATTTCCCCCCTCCTTGCTCCCTCCCCTCACCCTGACCATTTCCCCCCTCCTTGCTCCCTCCCCTCACCCTGACCATTTCCCCCCAATGCTCGGGTCATGACCCAACTGTGCAGCGCCTTGGGACGTCCTCCTGACGTGAAAGGCGCTTTATAAATGTAATCTTGTTGTTGTTGTTGTTGTTCCATTGGCACTGGTTGCCTGTCAGTACCTGCCTAAGTGCCCATTATTCACAAGTTGAGTTGAGTTACCAGCCTTGTTTGAGGATATCATATTCGAGCCTAACCTCTCCCCACTCGGCTGCTACACATGCCCACAGTCATTGGGGGGGTGCAATATAGCCACAAAGGAGTAGCAGAACTGGGCGTGACATGAGGTTCATATGTTGATCTTTAATCTCTACAATTTGGCTTCTGATTTAGTCCCGGATGGTGGAATGAAAACCACTTCTATCAAGTAGCGTGGAAGTGAAATGAATTTGGGAAACATCAATCCAGTTGCTGGTGTATAAGCCTACAACAGGATGAAAGTACATAATATGTTGAAATGTTTCAGACTTTTGCAGTACTTATTGTTAAGTGTAGTGATTCTTTAATAATAATAATTATTTGGTCACTCAATAATAATTTGGTCACTCAATTCATGACTGTTTGTGGGACACTGCTGTGCCCAATTGGCTGCTGCGTTTCACCCACAAATATACAGTCAATTCACTTTACGGTATATTCTGTAAAGCGCTTTGAGACATCTAGAAAACGTGAAAAGCACTATATCAAATACAAGGATTACTATTTATATGTCTTTATAGTACTACAGCATCCTTGGTGACTGTTGAATCTTTATGTTCTTGTTGAATTATTAATAGCCCTGCAAGGCTGTGAACTCGAATGATGTGGACTTCATGTACATCGAGCTGATTCAGCGCTGTAAGCAGATGTATCTCACAGAGGCAGACACAGAAGATGATAATGTTTACCAACTGCCCAGTTTCCTAGACTCCATTGCCAGTGTCATCTTTCACCTGGACAAAGTAAGTAAATTACATTTTGCCCCGGAAAAATAGCAGACTGCAAAAAACACTGCATAGAGCAACATGTTTGCTATTGTTTAGCAGCTTAAATATTCTCCAGTGAATAACAATAGAAATAAATAAGAGCAGACAGCAAGTAATGACCGACTTTGCATGTATTCGTGAAAATGTTTTATGCCATTTTCTACTTTCATTCCACCTCCCAGATCCCCGGTGTTTACACTCCTGTGCTGGAGCGTCTGCTGGTGGTTCAGATTGATAGCTTCCCACTCTACAGTGCAAGGATGCAGCCGATTTGTTGCCGTTCCATTGTTAAGGTGTTTGTTGCACTGGCGGGAAAGGGACCCGTTCTCTGGAACTTTATCAGCACTGTAGGTCAGTCTCACGTTTCCACATCCGCAGCCTCGTTTGCAGTTACAAAAAGCAGATGAGAATTATTGGTTCTCTGTAACTCGTGTGTGTCTCTTTACCTGCATGTATACAAAATATAGTAGATTCTGGATAACTCGACCCTGGCTTAACTCTTCACTGTCACTTAAGTTGTCAGTCATGTTGTCAATATCCCAACTGTTTCATAAATAAACTTAATAAGGCACACCTTTTTACTTGTCACTCTGCTTAGCATGTAACTTGTTGCATCTGTAGAAATTCATGTAAGCATTCCAATGTAGAATTGATTGGATAACACATCCTGTAAGATGCCGTCTTGTATCACAGAGGCCTCTGGTCTATTGGAGACAGCGCCTTGGCTTGCCGCCCTATCCTGTGACGGGTGCCAACTCCAGTTGGACGTATACCAGGAGGAATGGCTGCTGTCATAAAGTGAGACAGCACTGACTTTATGGAAGCATCTTAAAGCATCGTAAAGTCCCAGCCGTGTGTCTGACACATGCGGAAACACATCACCATGCTTAAGAGTATCCAAACCAAACTGAATGTTACATGCATATCAGCTATACATGGCCTAAGGTGCATTATTGAGGTAGAGAAGATGAAGCTTTGCTCAACTTTCTGACTGGATGTTCTTGATGTTAACCAAAATGGGAAAGTGTTCAATTAGTTAGCTTGATGAGCACAACATATGCTTTCTAAAAAGGTTAAACAGAGTTCATGAGATTGCGTATTTACACAATGTTGTCTTAGTGAGCTAACAATCTTCTGTATTTCAGTGCATCAGGGTCTGATTCGTGTCTGCTCAAAGCCAGTCCTGCTTCCTGGGGTAAGGAAACATTTTGGGAAATTTCAGCTCATTTTAAAAATGGTTATGGACAATATTTATGTATTCAAATCAAGCTGCCTATTAATTGAAAATGGTCAGCCATTCCCAGTAAATATATTTGTTCATTCTGTATTTGACATACATTATCATAATCATAAATTTTGTTTCGCCCACAAAATATACAGTCAATTCACTTTACATAAAGTATTTTCTGTGAAGCACTTTGAGACAGCTCAACAATGTGATAAGGCGCTATATCAAGTCCAAGGATTATTATTATAATCACTCTGTGTAAGAACTATACTCTTGTAATCATTGGGTGTTAGACATGTACTCTTGTAATTCTTGCTGTTTTTGATGGCATTCATTTACTCAGGAGGGAACAGGAAGGTCGGAGTCTGGGCTGCAGCAGCAATCTGCCAGTGAGGTAATGTGGACAGGAAAGTGGAGAGTCCCCTCTTACAAAGACTATTTGGATTTATTCAGAAGCCTGCTGAACTGTGGTAAAATGAAGGTAAACCAATATGCTTATTGTTGCGACAAGGTTGTCATAATAAGTGTTCTCACATCTGCCCTCGGAACCCGTGAATCATCTATTTCAATGTCTCTTATTGTTTCCTTCAAGGAGTTTGGGTTAGTTGACACACTACAGATGATTAATTTGCCCCTGCAGTCGCTTAATCGGCTGCTGTACGATGAGTTTATTAAATCAATTCTCAAGATCATCGAGAAGTTGGATCTGTCTGTGGAGAAGCAAAATCAGCGTGAAGAAGAGGTACTGGCACAAGATTTTTTTATGTAAGCTCATTCGTTGTGTACCTGTGTGTCCTGACACCATCAGTGAAAATGCATACAGGTCTTTGATTCATCCCACATTTCCAAATGTGTACACGTTATCATTTATCAGTGTTCTGCAAACATTTCCAACTTCATCAACAACGAGGTGTTGGAAGGTTAGTGTTTCATTGTGAGCTCTGGTCCTTGCAGGTCAGTGTGGCACACAACTAACATTCATGTAGTTCAGAGCTTTACTGGGACAGGGATTTTTCCCATTTGGCTCCTGTTATCCCTGCAAACTAAAACCCTAACTGTGGTACCAGCTGAGCATCAGTAGGAAGCTTGCCAGACAGTGTTCACAAAGGCAAACAATGTGGTTTCAGCTGATTAAACTCCAATAGTACCCAACACACACTGTGGGGTCCCCAAGCCTCGGCTTTCATCAACTTTCACCTAATGCTCTCCTGAATTAGGTAAGCAAGGTGTGTCTCTGGGGAGACTACACATTTGATTGCAGACACAGGAAAATTTGCATATGGAAGTGATGCAAATGAGGAACTCTGTCTGGTTTGGGGATATATTTAAGTACGACAATGTGATTCTGCATGTGTCAGGCTGATCAAAAAAAAATATTGTTTTCCAAGGTGGATTTGTGGCAATCTGGATCAGGGAAGTTGGTGGGGGGGAGGTGGAACTAAGAAAGAGAAAACTTTTCCTCAGCAATAGTTCCCACAATGGTTTTGCCCACAAATATATGGTCAATTCACTTTACAGCATATTCTGTGAAGCGCTTTGAGATGTCTAGAAGACGTGAAAAGTGCTATATCAAATGCAAGGATTATTATTATTATTATCCAGATTTCTCAAACCAATCCATGAATTGGTGGGAGCCACAGAGGTGATGGCTGTACAAAACTATGTGTCTAGAGACACACAATCTCTATCCCACTAATTTCTGTCCCATCTTCAGGTCGCGCCTGAAGACCTTCCTATTCGACCAAGCCTACCATCACCTCCTCTTCCCCCCAGCTTGGTATCATGCTCCACCACTGTCAAGCGCTCCTGGACGCTACCCCGCGTGAGGGCCGTTATATAAATGCAGGTTGTTGTTGTAGGGACAAAGCCTGGGTTGAGGCATGCAATGAATAACCAATAAGTAACAATTATCTTTTTGGGGGCGGAAAATAAAAATCAATTTTACTGGGAAATGAACCTTTTTTTGAGGGAGGGACATGCTAGCACAGGAAAAGCATAGAAAACATTTCGGAAGGCAACGACAGGAAGATTTACTGTTCAATTAAGTAATGAAGTGACTCTCTTTGATTTTGCTTTATCAGGGCTCGGGTGATGTCAGCAATGGAAATGTGATCCCCACGTCTGATCCAGCAGCAGATCTGCAACCAGTGAAACCTAAAGACTTCACCGCCTTTGTCAATCTGGTACAGTTCTCCACGTAAGTATGTGGAACTTCCGAGGAAATTTGTTGTAAACTCTTATGAGTGAGAAGAGAATAGAGAGGTACAGGAGAAGCATTCGCCTACAGAACACTCAGTCTCAACATTTTACAGTAAAACGTGTGAAATTCTTTGAGATGTCCTTCCAATATGAAATGTGCTTTCTGAAATGCAAGGATTATTATTATTATAGGATGGGTGGAGGCACGTGTGGAGTATAATCACTGGCACGGACTAGTTTCGGTGCCCCATCCTTACATGTAATGCCATGAATGCTTTAATGAAAGCATCCAAAAGAGATCAGTTCAATCCTAATTATTTGTGGTTTGTTAGTGGTGATGGATGTTGTGTACTTCACAAAGCATTTNAAAAAAAGCTAGTTAAGTATCATTTTCAATGTTTTTGACATACGTAAAATAATGGTTTGTTAATTTCTTGCTAATTGTCTGCAGTATTTAGTGACTTTTGTGGGGTTAACCCTTCACCGTTAAGGTGATGGGAGTCCTAGCTGAGAACACATCGTAATAACTACCTTAAAAAAATCCTCCTAATCTCCACCTTTACTGCTTTGCTAATTATCTTAAATTGATGCTCTCTAGTCACTGACTCAACAACCAGTGGAAATAATTTTTCCTCATCTTCTGCTGTCTTGTAGTAGTTTATAGTTGTAGTATTTTTATGCTTTTTTTTAAAACAATATTGCTGTGAACTTTTCAATCAGCGAGCTGTTATTAGAAAGACATGAGGAATTCTTTGATCAGTGGGTGTACCGATTTGGATACGAGCTCATCCTGCGATCAACCCAGTTTCCTCTTGTCAGTGGATTCTACAAGCTTCTATCAGCTACAATGAAAATTGCCAAGAAAATTAATTATTTTAAGGTAACAATGCAATGTATTTAATTTCTTTCTTCCTTATTCCCCCCCCCCACTGGGTTTTTGGTCACTTTGTAAAAAGAACTCTGCCTATATAAGCGCTCTGGGACGCCATTGGGTGTGGAGGGCGCTATATAAATGCAAGTTGTTGTTGTTGAACTGCTAGACGTGGATGAGTGGACAGGCAGACATCTGCCGTGCTGTTGTGTGATGATAATAATAATAATCATATTTGTTAGATAATAATTACATTTGTTAGAAAATAATATTCAAGATCAGGATTTTTTTAACTGGAAGTTATTTTGCCTTTATTTGTTTTTCTGCTAAATATATTTTGCAAAGGAGGAAAGCATGTGACTGCTGCACTGAGGACATTCTGCTGCTATGTTGGTGTATTTTTGCACTAATTATAGTTATAATGGGGTGGAATTTTTTTTTGCCAGGGTGTCAGCACAAATACTTGGAAACAATGTCACACGGATCCCGAAAAGTGTGCCTGCTTCGCATTATTTGGAAAATTTGGAAAGGAGGTAAGCACTGGAGTTTATCCCAGTTACTTGTTGAGTATTTTTGAAACTACAGAAAGAGATGGAAGATTTGCGAGATCTGATTCCTGAGAGACCAGGAAAATCCTGTGAGCACTCCCCACAGACGAACATGGTATAATTTTTGGCACCTTGACTGGGATTCTCTCCCATATGCATAATAATAAACCTTGCATTTGATTTATCGCCTTATGACATTGAAACCAATTTTATTTGGGGGAATGTTGGCCAGGACACCAGAAACTCTTTTTTAGAATAGTGCCAAGGGCTCTTTAACGTTTACCTGAACAGACAGATGGGGCCTCGTTTTGACGTCTCACCTGAAGGATGGCACCTCGGCAATGCAGCACATTTCCAGCACTGCATTGGAGTGTCATCTTAGACTTATATGAGTTCCAAGTCCTGACCAGGGGCTTTGAACCCACAATCTTCTGACTCAGAGGCGAGAGTGCTACCAACTGAGACGTTGACACTTGAATAAACAGAGGAGAGATAAAGTGATTTTATGAATTTAATAGGCAAAATGTAATGCCTCAAGAAGGATCTATGAAATGATAGAGCATCAAATTTACTTCAAGCGCTCCGAGATCCTGTCTGACAGGTAGAACACTACATAAATGCAAGTTGTTGTTGTGCAGAATGGGTCTTGAAGAAGGATGTGGAGATTGCAGGATACAAACAGTATGGAATAAGATGTTGGTGGACAAAAAAGGAGAAAAAAAAGTTTGTACATTATAACATTGCCCAGGGAAACCATGCACTCTCAGGATTTTCAACAAAACAAATGGAATGAGGCCGACTTGTTAATGGTGTTGATTAGAAAAGGTCACCTTAACAATGATGGATCAAAAGAATGTCATTTTAAAAGCTTACCTCTCCCGATTGTTAATGTAACTGTTTAATTTTATAAAATGCCATTGCAGGCTTGTTCATAATAATCCTGAACTGACACTGTTTTATTGGATCACTTCTTGCAGGTGACCATCAGAATGAAGCAGTACAAGGATGAGCTGCTGGTATCCTGCCTGAATTTTGTGCTTTCTCTTCCTCATGACATAATTGAACTTGATATTAAGGCTTATATTCCTGCTTTGCAGGTTAGTATAATCTTCCACACTTGACTTGCATCACTTGCCCAGAGAGACTATGAGGTCTAACAAAAGAAACATTTTGTTTAATTGTCAAGTCCCACAAACCCTTCCCTTTGCACAAATAGTTGCCTCTTGAACCCATACAGACTGTCTGCTTTAGCGACCGTCCCTTGTAACTTATTCCAAAACACTGTTACCCTTTGAGTAAGAAAAATTCTGACTTTCTTTTTTACTTCCTTATTTTTAACTTGAATTTCTCAGTGTTTGAAACCTTCATTATGTTCAACAATTTACACACCTGGCGAATTTCTTTTTGATACATGCGTAAAACCGTCACCAGTATACAAACCAAAAATTCCATGCATCCCATCCAGAGATAGTTGTTGGAATGGAATGCGCACTCTCTCCCTGGAAGGACACATCCCACTTCCGGAAAATATTAGGCGCAGGTGAACCCCAGAGTGTGCGTTGGGATACTGCTGGAGTCTAACCAGATAGCTTGCCATTGATATAGCTGTCCGGCAAGCTTTCCCACTGCTTGATCTGCTAGGACCACTCTACCCGTTAGGGCTTTGGCTTGCAGGGTTAACAGGAGCTGAGTGGGATGACTCCCTGCCTCCAGTGACTTGTCTGCCCTTGCAGGTCCTGCCGATGAGCCAGGCTGGCTGTGCTGTTATCAGCAGTGCCCTGGAATACTGTGGACCCGCCTGGCTCAGGACCCGGACTACTGAGATCGTCACAGAGGACTGGCTCAAATCCAACATTCTGTTGCCAAACATGTCATCTTGGACCTAGTTCAGCTCCAAGGAGACCCAGCTTACCCCCACCCAAGCAGAATAGTCATACCCAGCAAATTACCCTAAAACATTCACAGTATTATTATTGCTTTGAATGAAGACAGAGTAAAATGAATGACCCTTCAAAGGATTTACTGCACTTTTTATTCTTTCCCCTTTCAACTAAGGCTGCATTTAAACTGGGCCTTAGCCACACTCCATTGGCTGATGCTGGATTGGATGCACTAGAGGATTGGTCAGCTCATATACCAAAGCATATCATTCAGCCTCACTACAAGGACATTCTGCCACACCTGGATGGTTACCTGAAAACAGCAGCTTTCAGTAAGACGCTCTGGTTTGCTCGTCTTCTATCACTGTATTCAGCCTTGTTACTATGATTTGCATTCTTTAAATACGTTTATACAGAATGGGTAGAACAGAGGGCACGCGGGACATACAGGAGGCCGGAGCCAGTTGAGCGCAGGCTGTGGGTTGGGGGTAAGCAAGTCAGAGAGGTAGGGAGGTGCCAGGGCATGAAGGGTTTTGAAAACAAGTGTGAGGATCTTGAAATCGATCCATTTGGCAACAGGGAGTTAACCCTAACTCTAAGTGGAGCCTGGCAAAAACTAGTTTGATGGTGGTACAGAGTTTAATGCAGGTGAGTATGTGGGCAGCAAAGTTTTGGATCAGCTGGATCCCGTGCATGGTGGAGCTGGGGAGACCGACAAAGAGGGTATTTGAGAAGTCGAGTCTGGTCTGCAGCAAACGCACATTAACGGAATAAGATGCTGGCATTCAAGAAAATATCTGGTGGGAAAAAAGTTTGTACAATAGAATGTTACGCAGCAAAACTGTTGGAAATGGATGATGTGAGCAATTTCAAGAAGAAATTAGGTAATTTTTGTGAGAGTGAGAGGCATGGGGTATGAAATTGTGACTGGCTAGGGAGTTGATAGTGGTGCATGTTTCTGCAATAATTTTGCAATGATAAAGGATGGAAAACTGTTCTTATAGTGTATTATTGCTATGGGGCTGCAGCTTTTCAGCTGAATTATTCCTTAAAACGATGAAGGGTTTGCTTAGAATCAGAGAATGAAAGATGGAATAGAAAGGATCATATGGAATAGCCAGCAACAACAATAACAAGATTACATTTGTATAGCGCCTTTCACGTCAACAGCTCAATAAAGAAGTGAAGACAGTGGGGTGGGATCCAAGAATTAGCTAAACATTTTCATGAAGTGGCTTTCTTCATAACTGTGCGCTTGAGTGTAGAATCACAACTTTGCACCATAGAAGGAGGTACTACAGCCCACCAATCTGTGCTGATGCTGATTCCCACACTGAGGCTATCCACTCTAATCCCATTCCCAGCTCTTTGACTAGACCCTGTAATATTAAGGGGTATGTTTGCATGTTAAATTCTGATGGGTTTGTGCTGTAGTCCTTCATCCCAGGAAACCTGTCTGTGATCTAAAGGTCTGCAAAATGGTCATTGCAATTAATTATTTTGGAATTCTGGTGCCAGTGGATCACAATGGAAATGTAGGAATAAAAAGTGGATTTCACGGCTAATAGGTGTTTTAATTGCGAAATGTTTATCACCTTTTATTAGACGAGGCTCAGAACAACTGGGAAGGGATGAACATTAATAATCCGTCACGCAAAGGAGGAAGCAAGGTTCTTTTTCATCATACAAAGAAAAGCAAAGAGTTTCTTGTGGTGAGTTAAATCCTTCAAGGCATGGATTAGGTGAGCAGAGTGCATCGCTCAGGGGATAGAGTGAGCATTCCATTCCAGAAGTAAGAAGATTTCCATGCGTAGGTGACATGCACATTAGGAATTCTCAGTCTGATTTGTATACTCTTAAGCATGATGATGGGTTTCCATATGTGTTAGATACTCAGCCGACCAAAATAAAGATATGGTATATGTGTTACGTGTGTGTGTATATATATATATATATATATGTCTGAACTGATTAAATAGGACTTACATATCCAGACTGCACATGGAGTGAACATACAGACTCTTATCAAAGATGAAAAATCTGGGAGAGAATAGATGAAAAGAGCTTGAATACTAACAAATGTCTATTCATTCAGAATTATCAGAGCTTGTGTCTGTTGAACCTGCAAGGAAAACATAATGCATTACACAAATATTATGTCTCTTTGAGTGCCTTTTATTGCTGAATCTCGTTACTTTTTTTTTTGCAACCCACAGAGCGAGGATTCCGCCATCACAGCTGTGAGGCGCAGGATAGTGCGGCTGCTCGGGTCTCTCGGAGGACAAAATAACCGAAGTTTAGTAACAGGTGGGTATGAGGACAGCTGTGAACAGGGGCTTATCAGATCAAAGCACAGCAGTTCAACCAAGAAGGACGTTTCAAGCCTTCCGTTCAATGTATAGCTGTCCTAGATTGTTTTTTGCCTGGATTTTGACAGACATATTAGAAATATATCCAAGTCACTTTTTTAATCTGCCAGTTTCAATTATCCATTTAAGGACAGGGGTTGGGTGGGGGAGGGGAGAGAGAGATAGGGGTTCTCTCAGTCATTGAAGTGTTTTGCTTTTTAGAAGTTCATGAAAAGTTGGCATACATTGCAATGAAAATTAGTTACTTTTAGAAAAATATATTTTTAGAAATTTGTCTTTTTGGGAACAAGACTTTAGGTAAGTATTTACTAAGCAGAGGGTAGAATACAAGTTGGGTTATAGAGTGTATCTGCTTGCTTTTGTGCTGCACAGAAACCATCAGGGAAAGTTGGAGAACTACTTTTTTGCAGTAGATGCTTATCTATACTCTCTCCCTTGAACCCCTCAATTGACTATCTATGGAGTTATGAGGCAGTTGGCTCCATTCTTTCACAACCTTTTTTTCCCCTCTGCCCTTACTTATGTTGGCTTATCTCTGATTTTTATGTTATGTCCTTGTGTCCTCTTCAGAAAGAAGTTGTTTTTGGAGAAAGAAAACTCTTATCAATGTTTTTATTGTAAAGTTAACTTCTGCAAAAGTATTTCTGTGTTTGTTTTCCACCTGGCTGCCACAGCCGTTTCTGCAGAGGAAATGATGAAGAGGTGCATTGCCTGGGTCACAGAGAAGCCGCTGAGTTTTGCAGTTCCTTTCATGGATATGAAGCCCATCATATATTTGGATTCATTTATCCCACGTATCTCAGAGCTAGCACTCTCTGCCAGTGACAGACAGACAAAGGTAGTCAGTCAACCACACAATTTGCGTTCCATGTTGCATACCTTTGCTAAATTCACTCATTTAACATTAAAACAAACTGCGTCTAGATGTGAATATAAATGTTGGTTATATTCTGGTCGAACGTGATCCTTTTCCTTAGTGACTAAGTAACATTGCCAACTTGATAATTAAGTCGCTGCTCCTACAAGTAATCCCTATACTGACATGGGGTAACCACATTTTCACTGATTAACACAACAGTTTGGATTTTATATATTTAATATACATAGGATCATAGAAAGCTGACTAGTCAATTTCTTTTTTAAAAAATTCAGTCTTTATGTATTTATTGCTCCATTTTAAAACTTGCTTTGTGAAGCTACAGTTTCTGAAGTCTACTTTACAGACTAATTATATAATAATAATAATCCTTGCATTTGATATAGCACTTTTCACGTCTTCTAGACATCTCAAAGTGCTTCACAGAATATGCTGTAAAGTGAATTGACTGTATATTTTTGGGCGAAACGCGGCAGCCAATTGCGCACAGCAGTGTCCCACAAACAGTCGTGGATTGAAAATAACCAATTTATTATTGTTTTGTTTTGGAATGATTATTATTAGGAGTGTGGAGTAAGGAAACTTGCCCAAGGTTTTGCCCTCTGCCTGGAATTGAACCCAGGTGTCTCGCTTGCAAGGCGAGTGCTCTAACTACTGAGCTACAGGACTCCACATATAATAATAACAGAGTAACAATTTCAGGCAAGATAGATTTGTACAGCCAAATCCATCTAATCTCCCACCAGGTTATCTTTCATTTCACAAACTGACTGTAAGGAGGGCAGTTATGTGCATGTTGAAAGTGTGCTAGACAAGAGACTTAACACAGATACCCAATTAGATACAACATTTCGTAAATTAGTGCTAAACTCTTTTATGATGGCTTAAAATATATATTTGAGTTCCTGGTACATTAAAACAATTCCCCGGTTACAAAACTTGCAGGTTGCAGCTTGTGAACTGTTGCACAGTGTGGTTGCCTATACGCTAGGCAAAGGATCCCAGATTTCTGAAGGACAACAAGAAACATTGTACAAGCTGAACAGACAGTTGTTTCCAGTCTTGCTTCGTCTTGGTTGTGATGTAGATACGGTAAGAAAACAATTAGCCCCTAATGCAAGACTGTTCCTTTATTATCTTCGCTCCCGTCCTGTCATGAGCAGCTCCCTATCCACCCCAGCTCCTGGCCTTAACCAGACTTCCTGGTAACCTGTTCCAGGTGTTATTTACCCTCTGGGTAAAAAAATGCTTCTTGGCATCTCTTTGCCCTTTCCGACTCTATGAACTTGTGTCCTTGTGTTCTATTGTCTAAGTGCATTTGAAATTCTTCACATGATTTGATTAGGATGATTCTCCCTGCACTAGATTTACTTGGTGATGGAGTATGAGTGAAACCCTTGTCTTTCCTCTTGACTGCAGGTAACCAGACAATTGTTTGAGCCACTGGTATTACAGCTAATCCACTGGTTCACGAGCAATAGGAAGTTTGAAAGTCGGGATACCGTGGCGATGCTTGAAGCTATTCTGGTAATGATAGTTCATTTCATTTGAGCTGAAAGAATAATCTTGCGCACAAAGTGATCATAAATTTATAGTATTTGTACTTGTAAAATCCAGGGCTTCAGAGGAGCTTGGTGAATAGCTGAATAATGGATGTGTGGGACTGGAAATGCACTAGGTCATTCAATGATGTGCACATGGGCCAGCATTCAGTAAATCCTGTATAGTACTTTTAATAATCCATACATTTGGTATAGCAACTTTAAAGTTGGAAGGATGTCTCAAAGCACTTAACAGCGTACACTGTAAAGTGCAGTAACTGTTGTACGAGTGAACGCAGTAGCTAATCTGCGCACAAACAGCAATGAAGTGATTTGGGGGAATAAAAATATTTGGGTGATTATTGGCCAGGAAACTGAAGAAACTCCCTTTCGGTAGACAACAGCTGATATGGTTGGTAATGTTGGGCCATGTACGTATTCTTTTCTGAGGAGTTTAAAGAATTGTAATTAATTTCTAATTAAATGATCCCGTACAAATACACTTTTTACAGAAGCACTTTGAAATGATCGTGACATTACAGGCCCCATGTAAAGATTATTGTCATCATTATTATTATAATAATTAAGAATTCCCATTAACTTTTTAAGATTTTGGTACATATTGGTGTCACCCGCAGACATGGGTAGACTTCCACATGTATGCGGATGACACACAAATTTACTTCTCATCCAGCTGCGACTCCAGGTCCACTGTCTATCAGCTTGTTTGTCGGACATCAAGACCTGGATGAATGCAAACTTCCTGCAGCTGAACTTCAACAAGACGGTAGCCATACTCCTTAGCTCCTGTCAACTTCTCTCCTGCGACTCTTGAATGCTTTGAAGAAGATTTGCTGGAGAAAGTGCTGCTTACACTGCAAGCACTTTAGTTGGAGGCAGCCAGCTACGATTCCTCTAGAGTATTTTGTGAATATCAAAGAACCCAATACAGGCAGTAAATGGAAATGTTTAATAATAAGCTTGGACAATTCCATGTTGAACTAAGTGTGATTTGATGCTGACGATTATAGAGCATTGAAGTGGTTGCACTCAAACAGTGCAGGTAGCTCTGATTTATAGAGGAACCAAGCAAGTGGTATGATGACTTGGTGGTGTTGATAAGGCTAAATTAAAATAAGAAAACACTAACCTTCTCAGAAATGTTTAATTTATGTTTAGTCGACACGTGCTCTGATATAGGATGGCCTGAAGTGCCATTCTCTTTTCCTTGATTCTGAAAAGCTGCTGAGAAAATTGTGTGATCTTTGATAGGACGGCATAGTGGATCCCGTGGACAGTACCCTGAGAGACTTCTGTGGGCAATGTGTTCGGGAATTTCTCAAGTGGTCCATAAAACAGACAACCCCAGAGCAGCAGGCGAAGAGCCCAGCAAATACAAAATCTCTCTTCAAGAGGCTCTACAGCCTTGCTCTGCACCCCAATACATTCAAGCGACTGGGGGCAGCACTCGCCTTCAATAGCTTATATAGGGAATTCAGGCAAGTCTACTTCGAAACGAGTGTTGATATAATTGCTTGGTATCCGTTCTGATGGCTGAAGTAAAAGTATTTACTTTACCCTAGGTTTCAGGATCCTATGACGCTATTGTCTTGGAGTGCTACTAGTTTAATACTAAAACAGATATATATAAAACAATATCTGTCTCTTTGTAACTAGTTTGTCACAAAAAAGTAACTCTGCTCCCCTAGTTTGACTTACTCTGCTCTGCACCAATTTTGTAAGGTTAGACTGAGGTGGTTACTGGTTAGTGACTGGCTTGCTTAACATTTGGTGCATAGTTCAAAAATAGGAATAGATTGTAAGAGATTAATCATTTTCAATTCTCAATATACCCGTGGACTGAACCCAGAGTTCTTAAATTATTTCAAAAGGTACTTTGATGGTTGCTTGAACATTACAGATTGTGGGGAGTAAGCAGGAGAGTGAGACTACATTAGGTGACCAAATGGTTTCTGCACTGTAGCATTCTGTGAATCCATATCCAAGTTGAACATGTACCAGTACTGATACATTAATCAATTTACTTTCTGTTTTATTTGTGAGATGAAGGTCTTAATTGTTTTTGTGTGTTTAGGGAGGAAAGTGCCTTAGTTGACCAGTTCATCTTTGAAGTGTTAGTTGTGTACGTGGAAAGTCTTGCTCTAGCACACGCAGATGATAACTCACTGGGTAAGCTGTTTGCTTAATAGTTGCTACATCAACTATAAATAGACTTTCCTGCTTATTTATTTGAATTCAGATGGATAATATCAATGCTAATTACATCTTGATTTTGTTTCCAATTTCTCCCGATGTTTTTCTCTCATCCTCTTCTAAAGACGGCAATTCGTACTGTGGTACAATCTCACAAGTACTGGCTGCCCTCGAATAATTTGAATGCTGTAAGGCTATTTGACTGGGGAGAGCATACCACACATTTCACTTAATGCTGCTTGAACTCCTTCCCTATGAATAAGGCCAAGTTGCTGTTCAAGTGAATTAGGCCAAGTAATTCTGCCTGAAGCTCATGGAAATCAGGTTCGACCAAGCGGTCATATCATTCGGGCATTAGGGGTTGATCCATGACATCCGTATATGTAAATGAAATTGATAGCTACAAACTAATGTTTATGTGCCTTTGTGCAGGTACAGTTCAGCAGTGTTGTGACGCTATTGATCACCTGAATCGGATCATTAAACAGAAAGCTTCCGCACTGAACAAACCCATCAAAGGACGTGTGCCAAGGTTTGTGTTGTTGCCTTTATCCTAGAATTGGATTCCATTCATGTTATGAAAAGGCTGCTGAAGTTGCACAAATTATTCTGTTAGATGTTTATTCAATGTGTTTATAATAAAAGTTTGGTTGCATGCAAGGTGCTGTGTATCAAGGTGCAGCATGCCTGAGAACTGTCAACCTGTGGCAAGTGCTCATTAAGCAATTGTTTTACAGGTTATGGACAAAGCGTGAGAGATAGTGAAAGAATCTGAGAGAGAAAGACTCAAGAGTGAGAGATAGCAATGTAGACATAGACAGGGAATAAGAAAGTCAGGGAAAGGAAGAAAAAAATACAGAGTAGAGTTTGAGAGAAAGATACAAGAAAGAAATACACCAAGAGAAAGTCAGACAGAGAGTAGGTATTATTGTCACTGTATAACTCTTGATGGAAAGAAATTTGTTTGTATTGTAGCCAATTCTGTATGCTACATGATGTTCCATTATCTGCATTGTTAATATATCCACAATGGGCCAGACCAAGTGCAGGTAACTGTCTACTCGATATAAATGCAAGTGGTTGTTATTGCTCCTCTAAGAGTGTAACAAAGGCACATTGTTGTACCAGTGTAGGAGTGTGCAGAACTGTGGTACAAGCTGTCATATGAATGATCTGATGCTTTGAAATAACCAGAAAGCTTTTTTTAACTACAAATGAGAGTACTGATGTTTCCTTTTATATAACTCCGTTTCTCACAGAGGTTTTCCTCCTGATCAGCCTGTGTCTTTAAAGGAGGTTGTGATGTGGCTATTGACTCAATGTGGACGACCCCAAACAGAGTGTCGACACAAATGTATGGTACTATTTTACGAGCTGGTTCCCCTTCTACCAGGTTTGTTTTAATTCATTTTTAAGCTTATTTGGTCTTTTAATGATAAACGTGCGCTTACTTCCACTTAACAAAATACTCCAGAAATTACTCTTAGCAAATGTTTTTTTCTTTCCTAGCTCTTTAATAGTGTGATTATACTGTTCCCATGTCAACAATACTGCAGTGTGGAGCCTCTATCGTTTTCCGTTCCACATCGCCTTCAAATGGTACATGTGTAGAACAGCAAAATCATACCATTTCTTAAAAGAGTCATTAAAGAGCCACTCACGTTTTCCAAGTGGTTTCGGGAGAAGGATTCCACTTGAGTTCCAATGCTCTGTACAGCATTTTTCGATTACCTTGTCATAAATTGAACGAATGAGTTGTACCTGTGGTTAGGAACTGCTTATAACTGCTGTGAGTTCCTTTATTTAGGAAATAAGACACCGTCGTGTTGGTTAGCTGATGTTCTGAAGGAGAGAGGGGTTTCGTTCCTGATCGGCAAGTTTGAGAGTGCTGGTAGTGATCACGCCAAATGCTCAGGAATCATTTACCAGCCGACACTTAAAGATCTGCAAGAACCATTCAGTGTACGGGCTGCCCTGCAATGGATGGACATGTTACTGGCGGCTCTTGACTGTTATAATACGTTTGTAAGACTGGCCATGGTCAAACCCAGTGAACTTTTAGGTGAATATTCATTTGTGTGCACATATAGAAATTGTTCCTTTCGTTACAACTCCTTTGCTGGTCACAACAGTCCAATTAGAAGAGTTGCTATTGAAGATTGCCGTTTATGTATTTATTTAACCAATTTATAACACCCTCCTTTAAACCAAGAATTTTCGCTTTGGGGCACAAATCTCTAATGAGACTTTTTATCAAATGGATTTAGAAGATAAAAATAAACAATCTCCATCACATTACCATTATTTACGCATTCTCTTACATCCTCCGAATGTAAGACATCCTGCCATGTAGGGATCAATGCAAGTTGCTTAAACATCTGTAAACCTGTAAATTGATCCCACAACCTTAATAATAATCTGAGGTGAAAATCCTGCCAATAGAGGCTGCCATTTCTGCCTACAAAATACAGTCACTGCACATTATAGTAAAGCCTGTGAAGTAGCTTGAAATGTGCTTCCAATGTGAAAGGACCTTTATCAAATGTATAGCATAGTATCAAGCCCATGAATTCTAGAATTATGACTCAGAACTGTTTTTAGAAATGAGAACAGCATTCGGTATTTTCTGATTATTTGATACTAGCCAAGAGTACAATGACCCCCTTTTTACATCCCAGTCCCTCTACTAGCAGAATGGAAATACTATTGTGGTTTAACGTGGCAATCAACATTAAAACAAAATTGAATATATTTGATGTTTTTCTTCCCCTTACTCTATTGCTTGTATCCTTCGGAGCCCCACTTATTTAATTGATTGCCTACAATGTGCATATCCATAAATACCCAGCTGCAATCTCCCCCAGTTCACATGGCAACATTTCCCCCTTCCTTTGCAGGCACCAGCCAGGAAACTGGCTTCATGAAAGCTATGAATTTCTTCTTGAAAACCCTTGCAAGGCATGACATCACGGCGGCAGAGGAGTGCTTTACGTTGGGGGTAAAGGGTGTGCTCTTCAGCCCCAGAGAGAGGGAAGAGTACAATTACTGTAAATGTACAATCATAGTCCGCATCATGGAGTTTGCCTGCCTGATCCTGGAGGGACTGCAACAAGATTGCTGGAAGGTTAGTTACTTGAACATTTGCTAAACGTTTTGTGTACCAAGGACCACCCCTTTGTTATTAGGCGATAGTACAACAACAACAACAACAAGATTCCATTTATAGAGCGCCTTTCATGTCGGGAGGACGTCCCAAAGCGCTGTACAGTTGGGTCAGGACCCGAGCAGGGGAGAAATGGTCAGGGTGAGGGGAGGGAAGGGAGGGAGCGAGGAGGGGGTAGAGAGTCGAGAGGGGAGCTGAAGGCACGGTCCAAGAGAAAGGTCTTGAGACCGGCCTTGAAGGAGGAAAGGGAGGAGGCGGCGAAGGCACTGGGGGATAGAGTTCCAGAGCCTCGGGGCTGAGAGGCTGAAAGCCCGGCCACCGATGTTAAGGCAGTTGGGGCGGGGGATGTGGAGCAGACCGGAGCCAGAGGAACAGAGGGTATGGGCAGGTAAGTAGGGGGATAGTAGATTAGAGAGGTAGGAGGGTGCGAGGCCGTGAATGGCCTTGTAGGTGAGGATGAGGATCTTGAATTCGATCCTCTGGGGGATGGGGAGCCAGTGGAGGCGAGCGAGGGTGGGAGTGATGTGGTCGCGGAGCCTGGTGCGGGACAGTACACGAGCTGCAGAGTTCTGAATGACCTGCAGCTTGTGGAGGGAGGTGCCAGGAAGGCCGGCGAGGAGAGAGTTCCCATAGTCCAGCCTTGAGGTGATAAAGGCGTGGACCAGAGTTTCAGCAGCGTGAGGGGTGAGGTAGTGCCGTAGTCTGGCGATGTTCCGGAGGTGATGGAAGGCGGTGCCAGTTGTGGAGCGGATATGAGGGAGAAAGGACAGCTCAGGGTCGAACAGAACGCCGAGGTTCCTGACTGGCTTTGAGAGGTGGAGAGTGCAGCCTTGGATGCTGATGCTGTCAGCGCCTGAGGTGCGGAGACGCTGACGTGAGCCTAAACCACTCAAGGACAGGGCCTTGAAGGTTGAGGTGGGAGGACAAGCGGTGGAGGAGGATAGTGTGGTCGACCGTATTGAATGCTGTCGATAGGTCGAGGAGGACGAGGAGGCAGAGGGAGCCCTGGTCACAGATGGTCACGATGTCATTGGTGACCTTGACCAGGGCAGTTTCTGTGCTATGGGCAGCACGGAAACCCGACTGAAGGGGTTCGAATAATGAATGGGTGGAGAGGAAAGAGCGCAGCTGGGAGGCGACAACTCTTTCAAGGACCTTGGACAGGAAGGGGAGGTTGGAGATGGGCCGGTAGCTTGATAGCTGCGACGCATCAAGGGAGGGTTTTTTCAAGGTGGGAGTGATGGTGGCAGTTTTTAAGGGAATGGGAACAGAGCCAGAGGAGAGGGACAGGTTGACGATGTCTGTGATATGTGGGGCAAGGAGGTGGAGCTGGGAGATAAGGAGTGGAGTGGGGATGGGGTCAAGGGAGCAGGTGGTGGGTTTCAGGGATAGGATGAGTTTGGTGACAGAGGGTGGGGAAACGGGTACGAAAGTGTGTAGGGGAGGATGGGTAGGAGTCGGAGTGTGGGAGGGAGGGGTGGGGGTGGGTGGAGGTTGGAGGGGAAGTGACCGCGGAGCGGATTCCCTTGATTTTGGATTCAAGGAAATCCAGCATCTCCTCACAGTGAAGGTTGGAGGAGATGACCTGCGCGGGGTGGCGGGGGCGGAGGAGTCGGGATGTGGTAGAAAACAGAAGCCTGGGGTTGTTCTTCGCCTCCAGGATTATCCTGGAGTAGAAGGACGACTTGGCCGAGGCTAGAGTGGAGCGGTAGATTTTGAGGAGGTCCAGCCAGATTTGTCGGTGGACCGTTAGGCCAGATTTGAGGTAGGTGCGTTCAGCGGCCCGCACCTGGCTCTTCAGTGAGCGGAGGTGGGTGGTGAACCAGGGGGAGGAGCGAGAGTAGGAGACAGTGATGGGGGCAAGAGTGTCGAGTGTGGAGGAGAGGGTGTTGTGGAGGAGGGTGAGAGGAGAAGAGGGGTCAGTGAGGGTTGAAGGCCAGAGGGAGAGGAGTTCAGAGGACTCCAAGGCAGCGGTTAGGGATTGTGGGGGTAACTTCTTCCAGGGGCGGTAGAAGATGGTGGTGGGTCTGGTGGAGGTGGGGAGGGGGGTGGAGGTGGTGAAGGAGATGAAGTGGTGATCGGAGATGGCCTTGTCGGTGATAGTGACATCCGAGACACTGAGGCCCCGGGTGATCACCAAGTCGAGTGGGTGGCCGTGACTGTGAGTGGGGGAGTTGATGTGGAGGGAGAGGTTGAGCGAGGAGAGCAGGGAAGAGAAGTCCGAGGAGATGGAGCAGGAGGGGGTGAAGTGCAGGTTGAAGTCGCCCAGGATGATGAGGCGATCAGAGCAGAGGCAGAGAGATGCAAGAAGTGTCGAAATATCGGAGATGAAGGTGGGAGAGGTTTTAGGGGGCCGGTAGAGGAGGAGGATTTTGAGTGAGAGGAAGGAGGGGTGGGAGAGGGTGAGGTGCCCGAAATAAACAGAGTACAAATAAATAGTGCGAGTCTATTATTATTAATAACAATATTAACAATATTAAATATGTTTTATTATTAGTAACAGTAATATATTTGAAGGCGCCAAGACCCTCATCCATGCGTTCATTACATCCAGGCTCGACTATGCAAACTCACTGCTTGTCGGCCTCCCCAACTCCTCCCTCCAAAGACTGCAGATCATCCAGAACTCTCCAGCCAGTGTCCTCTCCCGCACCAGGCACCGCAACCCTATCACCCCCATCCTTGCCCAACTCCACTGTCTTCCCATCACTCAGAGGATACAGTTCAAGGTCCTGGTCACCTTCATCTTCAAAGCCCTCCACGACTTTGCTCCTCCCTACCACTGTGATATCCTAACCCCCTACCAACCTGTCTGCCTCTCCTCCTCCCTTGCCTCCTTCAAGACCTGTCTCAAGACCCGTCTCAAGACCCTCTTCGACCGTGACTTCGGACAATCTCCTACCCCTACCCTCCCCGCTCCACCCCTTTTGATACCAACCACCAGCTCGGGTGTGGATCACTGACTGTCCAGCACCTTGGGACGTCTTCCTGACATGAAAGCGCTATACAAATGTAATTTATTGTTCTTATTTAATAATTTTTATTGAATTTTACCTTTCTCCACTGTGGGCGAGCTTTAAGAAACACTGTGGAATACTTCATCCTGGAAACCTACCTCCCTCCCTCCCTACTTGTAAAGTCTGCCATATCTTTTCAACTACACTTTTGATCATTCTTTTCTTCCCCTTTCCTCCACCATCCTCCTTGGCTCCCCACCCCACCCCCAAACTCGGGTGCCCAGCCAGCTTTGTGAAGCGCTTTGAGATGTTCTCCCAATGTGAAAAGTGGTGCATAAATGTAAATTGTATTGTGTTGTATTTCAGGTGCTGGAGAAAGATTTACTAAACTCAGACCTGTTTGAGCTGATAGCAATGGTGGTGATTGATCCGACCAGTATTGGGTTCAACATGGCAGACGTGCAGGTGATGAAGAATCTCCCTAACGTCTGTGTGAAGCTCCTGAATGCGGTGATGAAGTCGCCTTTCAAGGAAACGTTAGTTGACAGCGTGAGGAAAAGAATCACGGCACAGAGGTAAGAGAAGAGCAGTGGGGGAATACTAAACAAAACAGCACTGTCGGGGATAAACAGCACCGTAAGTTGTGGCATCACCACAACTTGCATTTATATGGCACCCTTCATGCCTGGTGGTGTCTCAGAGCATTTAAATAGTGCGTCCCTGGTAGTGTCTCAGAGCACTTAAATAGTGCAATGTGAAGAGTATCCTCCAGGGAACAGTGACCCACAAGGAACAACCCGTGATCTTATTGGAGCTGAGTTCTCGCAAGTTGAAATGAGGATACAGGGTTTTTCTTGCAAGAAATTCATTTTGTTTTCTGAGGTTCTTTTTTCTGATGTTTGGTGCCATTTAACCAGTGGTCTTCCCTCCAAACAACAACAACAAAATTATATTTGTGTAACATTTTCATCCCCCCCCCGCCGCCCCACACACCTCTTCACAGTTAAATATGGTGCAAACTTCATTCCAGATACACTCCAGCTGCTCAATCCATTCTGAAAACTGTAGTCATTTTAGCAGAGCATAGAAATGTACAGGATTGGAAAAGACTGTTGTCACCAAGGGCTTAAAATATAGTATCAAAAAGTCAGTGTCCATAAACTAACATTTTATCTGTATCTCTCATTATAATGGTCCTGAAGAGGAAACAGAACAAATGCACTTCTTTTCCCTTTTTTTTTACTCTCTCTCTTCTCATTCTCCATCTTCCCTCTCTCCACCCAATCGAGAAAGTACACGAGATACACAGATGAGCACCCTGATCATCATATAGCTTCCTATGATATTACTGTGACAGATAACAACAGCGACAACAACAACTTGCACTTATATGGCACCCTCCACGTAGGGTAGCGTCTCAGAGCGCTTAAATAACTCAATAAGGAGACAGATGAGCAATGTAAATTTTAAACAGTAGTGTATTATTTAGTGAGTGAAACATAGACGCTTTCTGCACAGGAGGACACTCAGCCCGTTGTGTCAGTGTAGCTGCTGCCTATATTTTCCACAACATTTATATAAAAAAACTGTTAATTCCAGTTTTCCATCCCTCTCCCCTTAACCCCTAATGTTTTTGCAGATCAGGTATTTGTTCCAGTCCCTTTTGAAGCAACTTGTGAGGGAAGAGATTGCATGAAGTGTCTATTGTGGGAAACAAATAATTTGTTATTTCTAATGTGAACTGTTTAATGTGTGTGGCAGCATTGAAGCTCTGTGCAATGTGGATCTATACAGTCCTGGTGCTCGGACAGACCATGCAGGATTAAGGTCCATCCTATCGGCGTGTCAACAACTCCACAAGGCTGATCTTCTCAACTCTGCAATCGATTGTGAGGTACAAGGTCTCCAGTCCAGTGGGAATTATTCATCAATGCACTTGCAATCCCTGTTCAAAAATGCATTATCTAAAATGATTTCCAATGGGGCCTCAAGAAGAGGAACGCATTTTATTTCTGTTCTTAACCCGAACATTTTTGCTTAATATGTCACAATGTTCACCTGCATCGATAGTGTTTCCAGCAGTAAAGGTATCTATTTCCCCTTTCAAAAAGCTCCAGAATAGTCTGAAGGTCCAGCTCCCATTGCATAATAGAATGGTCATGCGCTGCTCCCCTTAACGTGCATCATTTCAGCAGTCGAGGCAACAGAGCGGTGGTTACCCTCCAGAATAGAAATGAGCTGCTAAAGGGAGAGAAACATTCAAAGGGGCTTTCTCTATGGGCTGTATTCCCCCGATTTAATGCAGACTATGCTATTATTGTGAGGAAAATCCTTGCTCCTCCAATTAATTCGCTTCTGGAAATAGTACAATAACTGTAGTAAATTCCCATGTCCAGAGGGAGTCATTTTTATTCAAAGTACTCCAACTAAGAAATAGAATAAAATATCAACCAGTATTATAACTCTTTATTCATTACAGAGAAAGGATTGAATTGCAATGGCATTATGTCTAATGCAGATATTTCAAATAAGAAATTCTCGCTCTGGTCTTCAGTTCTTATTTGCAAATGATCTCACTCAGGAATATCTACCAAGTTTTATATACTTTCACCCACAAAATATACAGTCAATTCACTTTCCAGTGTATACTATGAAGCGCTTTGAGATGTCTCAAAAGATGTGATAAGGTGCTATATCAAATGCAAGGATGATTATTATTATTACTACAATCCAATTTGAAAGAAGTTTTTTTGTGTGTACTTTGGCACCTTGAATGCAAGGCTGGTAGCTCATCTGGTTCAAAGAAATTCTTTTTGATTTTGTTTTCTCCAGGCTGGAAGTCTTAGCTCATCGCTGAGCTTGAAGCTTTTATCAGTTGTCTACAAAGGAATTGCACCTGGTGACGAAAGAAAATCACTTCCATCAATTGATGTCAGCAGCAAGCAGTTGGCCGATGGTTTGCTACAGCTCTCCTTTTCCCTCGGCGGACAGGTCAGTGCTGTGTGATTTCTAAACATTAATGGGGAGAAATTCCCTCCAGATATTTCTATTTATCTATGTATTCTTATTTATGTAGCAATGCAGAGAGTCCATAATTTTGCAAATTATTGAATTCAGAATGAGCATTAAACTGTATTTAGGCACAGGCCTTGGTGATGAAGTGGTTGGAGTTGCATCTTATGGACTGGGAGCTCAGTGGTTTTAATCCCAGTTTGCTTGTCTCAGCCCAGATTGCAAAGGGAGGCTAAATTGGCCTCAGGCCCTCTCAAAAGGTATTGATGGAAATTGCAACAACATGGATAGAAAGTCAAAGAATAGTTATCAGTGAGTGGGAGTACTACAACAACAAACACTTACATTTGTATAGTGTCTTTCATGTCGGAAAGTCATCCCAAGGCACTAGACAGTCAGGGATTTGGACCCGAGCAAGTGGTTGGGATCGGGAGTGGGGTGTGGAGGTTAGGGAAGGTAGGGGTAGATAGGGGTAGGAGGGTGGACGATACGCAGTCGAAGAGGAGGATCTTGAGACGTGCTTTGAACAACAACAACAAAATTACATTTGTGAAGCGCCTTTCACGTCGGGTGGAGGGGGTTGGAGGGTGGCTGAAGGCATGGTCAAAAAGGAGGGTCTTGAGTCGTGCCTTGAAAGAGGCAACAGAGGGAGCAAGGCAAGGGGATTGTGGGATGAGGTTCCCAAGAGTGGGGGCAGAGAGGCTGATAGCCCAGCCACCGATGGTAGGAAGGGTCGGGCAAGAGACCTGGAGCAGGCCGGAGCCTGCTTAGCAGAGGGAGCAGAGGGCAGGTTGATAGGGAGTCAGCAGCTCAGAGAGGTAGGAGGGGGCAAGGCCGTGGAGGGCCTTGAAAGTGAGGACGAGGATTTTGAATTCTATACTCAGAGGGATGGGGAGGCAAGAGAGGGAGCGAGGTGAAGAGATTGTGGGATGGAGTTCCAAAGGGTGGGGCAGAGAGGTTGAAGGCCCAACAGCCGAAGGTGTGGCGGCCGGGTAGGGGACTTGGAGAAGGCTAGAGCCCGCTGAGTGGAGGGAGCGGACAGGTTGATATGGTATGGAGATGGACAGATGAGATGGTCTGCTTTAATTATGCAACAATAGCAATTTAAGTTGTGACATATGTTTTAGTTTGAAAGCGTATTTTCTGTAATTTGGTTTTCAATATGAATGGAGTTGTGTGATTGCCTTCACTGAGTGCTGCAGTTAGAATGGTTTGAATCTGCTAAGTTGCTGTATTTCCTAATCCTTGTAGTGTGAGGAGCTGGTTTCTTTGCTGCTGAACACAATGGAGCTCTCTGTGCCTCTGTCAGGAGCAACCCAGAAAAATTTCATCACCTTTTCCCACGGTGAATACTTCTACAGTTTGTTCTCGGAAACAATCAATGCTGAATTGCTGAAAAGTCTCAAGTCTGCAGTGACCCAACTGATGAGATCTGCAAGCGAAAACCCTAAAATGGTGAGTGCTGCCCAGGTTATGTTTTGCGTAGAGAACCTATTTTTAAACATTTGTTGATTTATTGGTAAAATTGTGAGTTGATACATAAGACTTTTTTTTTGTGCTTTCTACCAATTTTCTCCCTTCTCCTGTTTGTCTCAAGTTTTCTTTTGCACTTCTTGTCATCTTCGCAGACATAGGATCATTGTCTTGATACGTAAGACTGTGAAGGAGCTTTGGAAAACAGTCTCTGATTCACTGTTAACTTGGAAGCCGGTTTTCCGCAGTATCCAGAAAGAACTGCAAAAAATCGGGATACTTTAAAACATGTTCATGTAATGCCCTTTGTTGCAGGTGAGCACTGTTCTGAACGGAATGCTGGACCAGAGTTTCAGGGACCACACTGTGAGGAAGACCCAAGGCGTTCTCCTCGTCAGTGCTGTGCTCACAAACTGGACAAGACTTGAATCGTGGTGGTCAGAGAATTCGAGCGCTGAGAGCAAGATGGCTGTTCTGACACTCCTGTCTAAAGTGTTGCAGGTAACGCCACGCTGGGCATCAGCCTGCAAACCTGGTGAACAATCAAGACAGTGCACAGTTCTTCTATTTTAGTCAAAAAATTTAAGTGTGTGTGAAAAAGAGAGAATGTATGTGTTGAGGGGTGTGGGCATGGGGTGGGGGGAAGAGATCTTGCTTGCTTGCTCACTGGTTAGCGACTCAAGACTTCACCATTTCTCATCCTCTTAGGAATAAGACCATTGTCTTAAAATGTAAGATTGTGAAGGAATTTTAGAAAACAGTTGTTAATTCAGTCTTAATTTGCAAGCTGATTTTCCACAGTACCCAGAAAGAACTGTGAAAAATCAGGATACATTAAAATATCGCCATATAATGCTCCTCGTTTTTATATGGACTATTACCCTGCACTATATAAATGGCTTCATTGAAGTGAATATAGTTTGAAAATTCTTATCATCAGATCACAGATTTGATGGATTTAAAGTATCTACACTATTTATAGATACAGTTACTGTTCTGTGTGTGATTTATTTCAGATTGACTCTTCAGTCTCCTTTAGTTCCAATCATGAGGCATTTGCGATGGTATTCCACACTTACACCACTATACTGACAGACTCAACCCTGGCTTTAAATTTAAAGGTACCCTTTTAGCATTTCGTTTTGGGATAGCTCAAAAAATGTGCTGCATTAGATTGATTTTGTCCACCTGTATAATTTTGGTCTTTAACAGTTCTTTTATTTTGTTGGGGTGTAAAATTCTCTTATCAGAGTTGACTAGTTATCCAAAGTACAGTATCTTGAAAGTACAAAGTACCCGAATACCCAGGCTATTGAGTCAGTGACTAGTTATTTGGGGCTGACGACTTATCCCAGGGGAAAGGTATCAAAGTTTCACTATAATAAAATAAAATGAACACTGGAGATTTTTATGAAATGTGCATAAGTACTAGAAAGTATAGCACAACTAGCGTTTCTTTAATGAGACTGGTTTCTGTGACTTTATGTTTCACCGTGTTGACCAAAGGTATTGCTGGTTAATTTTTGATTGAAGGGTTCAGAACAATACTTTAGATAAGACAGTAGAACAAGGGGACAATGTTTAGAGTTATAAAGGCCAATTTCAGGACAGATACTACAAAGTTTTTAATGAATTGTGTTTTTAAGTAATTAATGACTGGAATAGGTTGTCAGGAAAGATGGTTGAGGTCACGACACAGGACTCATTTAAAAAGCAGCTTGATGCTGTGATGGGAGAATGAAAAGGTAGATATTCTGGAGGGATAAGATCCAATGAGCCAAAGGGCCTTCTTCACCCAAACCAATCTTGTGAAATTATGCAACATCTTTTCTGCAGAGCCAAGCAATGATCATCCTCCCATTCTTTGCTCATCTCCCTGAAGAAAATCTTGCAGTGCTCAGACATGCCCTTGACCAGTTTGTAGCTGCCCATTTCCCTATGAAATCAGATGAATTTCCCAAGGGTACGCTGAAATATAACAACTATGTTGATGCCATCAAAAAGGTAAGTGTTGCTTTATAAAGAGAGCATGATCGTTTGGGTCTATAATAAATGTAATAATCCTTTTACATTTAATAAGCGCCTTATCACATTGTTGAGATGTCTCAGAGCGCTTCACAGAATATAATAATAATTCTTGCATTTGATACAGCACCTTATCACGACTTTGAGATGTCTCAAAGCACTTCACAGAATATACTGTAAAGTGAATTGACTGTATATTTTGTGGGCGAAACGTGGCAGCCACATGAATATTACATGACTAGATTGATGCCTTTTTGGAAATAATAATTTGATCTTGAATTTAATCCTGAACCAGATAAAAGTGAGTGCAGAAAATCTTCTTTGCACAAAGGGTTGTGAGAATGTGGACTGCTCTGCCCAAGAAGGCAGTTCTGTTGATGCAGAACTGATTGGAGTGCTCTAAAAGGAATTGCTCTGAAAGTGCTGCCATGAATTCACAAACTGCTTTTGAGCCTGGAATTTCATTACAATAATATAGCCTCACCTACAACCTATAAGTCAACACAATAATAATAATCCTTACGTCTGATTCAGCATCTTATCAAGTCAGGAAGATGCCTCAATGTGCTTCACAAGATTTACTATAAAGTGTAGTGACTGTGTATTTTGTAGGAGAATAACAATGTCCAACGAACAGCCATTAAGTGAATGATCGATTTTATCTGGGACGTTGTTGGCCAGGATACCCGGAGAAATGCCCTTCTCTTTCTGAATAGTGCCATGGGATCATTGCCTAAATAGAGACAGACGGGGCCTTGGTTTAACGTCTCATCTGAAGAAAGGCACCGCTGCCAGTGCAGGGCACCTCCGGCACTGCATTAGAGTATTAGCCTAGATCAGGGTTTTCCAACCTTTTGGCTGCTAAAAGCCAGATACCCTATTTTGGGAGGAGGGGGAAATGAAACTGGCCCATGGGCTGCCAGTTGGACCACTTAAAAGTGTTACACTGGCTGATCCTTGTTCCCCGCAGATCTTCAGGCCATTGTTCTCATTTTCATTTTTTAAGTGTTGTCAATCAGAATGTAGGGAGGGATATTGTTTTATATGTACCGAATGATTGCTCAAATTATTGCTGTGCTCAGATCACTCTTCTTTCAATACATCTTTCAGTTGCTGGATGCTTTGGAGCTATCTCAGAGTCCTATGCTGTTGAAACTAATGATCGCGATCCTGTGTCGTGACAGCAGGCATGTCATGGAAGAGGGATTTCAAGTCTGCTTCCAAAGATTGGCAAAAACGTACGGATTTCATTCCTTCACACCACCTACTAAATGACGGGAGGCTGGAGGTTAACTCTCCCTTGTGTTTTTATAATCTTCTCGGTGACTTAAATTGATTTATTAATTGACAACTATTTTATAATAATAATTAATAATCCTTGCATTTAAAATGGCGTCTTATCACGTCTTCAAGACGTCTCAAAGCGCTTCACAGAATATATTGTAAAGTGAATTGACTGTATATTTTGTGAGCAAAACATGGCAGCCAATTGCGCACCTCAGTGTCCCAAAAACAGGTATGGATTGAGTGACCATTTTTTTTAAGGGATTATTACCCAGGGAAAAAGCAATCCAGCAATCGACTAACATCCAGGTTCCTACTTACTACTTGGTAAACAGAGGCGAGTGGAGTAAGGAAACTTGCCCAACATTTCGTCCTGCCCAGAAATCGAGCCCAGTTCTCATGCTTGCGAGGCGAGTGCTTTAACCACTCCACATTTTCATTGTTAATTACATAATAAAGAGCACCTGTAATTCCCTCTGTAAAAAAAATATTTTTACACGGGTTGCATTTGAGACCCTATTGTGAACCTGTGGGCAAAGTGAAGATGTTTTGCTCTGTTTCAGGGGTAGCTGTGAGAAACAAGTGGCCCTGTTGGAAGCAGTGTACGGGATGTTCGAGAATGAAGGGGGACTTTCTAACATCGCCCGGCAATCTGTCATGGACCGTTCTCTCCTCACTCTTATTACCCATTGCAGTCTAGATGCTTTAAAGGAGTTTATCAGTAAAATTATAAAGGATGCAATGGGTATTTTACAATCCAGATTTACAAAGGTACAGTACAATACAAATTTACCCTTATTATAGCACCTTTCATGTCGGGAGGACATCCAAAGGCGCTTAAAATGTTACAGCAGAATGGAGTGGTATATGTAATTATTTCAGATCAATAGTACGGTATGTATTTACTGTGATTGTAGTGTAAATTATTAAATTATTAAATGTTGTTTGTTTATGATGACCTATCCCATTTGGTATCCTGCAGCTGTCTTTCATCCCATATCTTAAAAGTTCAGGTTTAATGTGAGGATGTGAAGATAGAGCAGGACTGACTGATGAAAGCTTTCCTCTTGTTCTAGACCAGCGAGTCCAGTTTTGATAACCAGTTGACAAGGAAAATTGGTTGTTACAAGCTCTTGGAAGTCACGTACATACGTCTGCCAAAAGATGACATCTACTCCGAGGATTCGAAGATAAATCGGGCTTTCCATAGCTCCAGCAACATGGAGGGCAATAAGCTACTTTCAAAGTCTCTGCTGAAGTAAGGCTTTGTGATTGCTGAAACAGAAATGACACTGAAGAAAGCAAAGTTGTTGTTTTCCACGTGTCCATAGTTTGACGAGCCATTTTTTTGCCCTCTGATGCTGTAGAGGTACATGCTGTTATCTTGTACTCCTCATCATTACTTCAGCCTCCAAATTTGAGTGATTAGAATCCATAAAGGAGAGAATCGGTTGGGTGGGGGGATCTACTGTGAATTAAACTATACCTCTTGTGATGCAGGATTTTTCTCCCAATCTGTGCTGCATCCCATAGTTCTGGAATAGCATTGCAGAATTTTTTTTAATTCCCTTTCTCAGGAGTCTTTTGGGTTAGGCTTACTAAGAAAAGATCACTTCACAGCTCTAAATCAGAAGGTTGTGGGTTTAAGTCCCACGTTGGAACTTGAAATCATATAGACTAAGCTGACACTGGAGAGGTGTTGCATTGTCGTAAGTGCCGTCCTTTGGATGAAACGTTAAAACAGGTCCTGTCTGCTTAATCAGGTGGACATCAAAGATTCCATGGCACTATTTGAAAAGAGAAGGGAGTTTCTCCTAATGTCCTGGCCAACGAATCCCCCAAATAAAATTGGTTACTCACTCCATGGCAGTTTGTGGGATATTGCTGTGTGCAAACTGGTTGCTGCATTTTGCCCACAAAATACCTAAGTCAATCCACTTTACAGAATATCCTGTAAAGAGCTTTGAGGATGATAATAATAATAATAATAATCCTTGCATTTGATATAGTGCTTTTCACGTCTTCTCGACATTCACAGCACTTCACAGAATAGACTGTAAAGTGAATTGAATGTATATTTGTGGGCGAAACGAGGCAGCCAATTGCGCACAGCAGTGTCCCACAAACAGTCATGGATTGAAATGACCAATTTATTATTGTTTTGGAGGGATTATTATTAGGCGTGTGGAGTAAGGAAACTTGCTCAAGGTTTCGCCCTGCCTGGAATTGAACCCAGGTGTCTCGCTTGCAAGGCGAGTGCTCTAACCACTGAGCTACAGGATTCCACAATTGTCTCGAAGATGTGATAAAGCACTATATCAAATGTAAGGATTGTTATTATTATAAGGCACAAGACCAAATGTAAGGATTATTATTATCAGATCTACCTACTGTGTAGGATGAATAACAGCAATGCTTTTGTGTTTTCTTCTGTCTTGCGGAGACTCTGCTATGATGCGTTTACTGAGAACATGACGGGCGAGAAGCAGCTTTTGGAGAAGAGGAGGCAGTATCACTGCGCTGCTTATAACTGCATTATGGCTGTCGTCACCTGTATTTTCACAGAGGCTAAATTCTATCAAGGTTTTCTTTTTAGTGAGAAAGCTGAGAAGGTAAGAGAAGGGGAAGGATTTAAAGCAGAGGTCGTTAAATGAAAATACAAACGAGGTCTAAAATTGCTAGATTCATAACAAGATTCATTTAAGATACAAGCCCTGTAGATGCCCAGTCTCACGCCAACTCATTTGAATTTTACTGTAATTTAAACAGCCTTCATGACCTGTGTGATTCACTCCCTCAAACACCAATCTAATTTTCTACTTTCATGAATCTGATTTTGAGGAAGCTATATAAAGTGTTTATTGTATTGTGGTGAAAGGATAGTGGTCGATCACTCTACCCTCATCCACCTCCTCTCACCTCAACCTCCACGACGCTGTCCTTGATTGGTTCAGATCGTACCTCTCATGCCGCCTGCACTTCATCTCCTCAAATGGCTTCTCCTCTAGCCCCCGGGCCTCATGTGGCATTCCTCAGGGCTCTGTGCTTGGTCCCCTTCTTCAACATCTATACGCTCCCCCTTGGGGATATCATCCGCAGACATGGGGTTAACTTCCACATGTATGCGGATGACACCCAACTCTAACTCTCTGTCTCCACCCTTGACTCCAGGACCACTGCTATCCTGACAGAATGTCTATCAGGCATCAAGTCCTGGATGAGAGCTAACCTTCTTCAGTTGAACGTCAACAAGACCGAGGCTCTCCTGATTGTGTCCCGTCAACGTATCCTCACCTCAGGCGCTGATAGCATCACTATCTATGGTTGAACACTCCACCTTGCTAAGCCAGTCCGGAACCTTGGGGTCTTGTTTGACCCTCAACTATCCTTTCTACCCCACATTCGTAGATCCACTCTGCCTTCCCCCACCTCCGCAACGTCACCCTGCTCCGACACTCTCACACCGCAGGGCGCTGAAACCTTCATACACACCTTCATTACATCGAGGCTTGACAAGCAAACTCACTGCTTGTTGGCCTCCCCAACTCCTCCCTCCACAGGCTGCAGATCATCCAGAACTCTGTAGCCCATGTCCTCTCCTGCACCAGGCTCCATAACCCTACCACCCCCATCCTTGCCCAACTCCACTGGCTTCCCATCACACAGAGGATACAGTTCAAGATCCTGGTCCTCACCTTCAAAGCTCTCCATCGTCTTGCTCCCCCCTACCTCTGCAACCTCCTAATCCCGTACTATCCTGTTTGCTCCCTCCGCTCAGCGAGCTCCGGCCTGCTTCACGTCCCCTGCCTTGCTCGCCCCACTATCGACGGGCGGGCCTTCCGCCACTCTGCCCCCACCCTCTGGAACTCCATCCCGCAGTCCCTCCGTCTCGCCCCCTCCATCACCACCTTCAAGACCCACTTCAAGACCCTCCTCTTCGACTGTGCTTTCGATCACCCTGCTTCCCCCCCCACCTGACCCTCAGTTCGGGTCCGTAACTGTCTGTCCAGCTCCTTGGGACATCCTCCCGACGTGAAAGGCGTTATACAAATGTAATTTTGTTGCTATTGTTGTAGTCCTTCAAGCAGGCCATGAGCAGTGAGTTGGCAAAACAGATGCTGGGCTGTATTAAACGGGCAATATTGAGCCAAAATAGTGGAGTAATTCTGCCAATTTATAAACCCCTGGTGCGACCGCACTTGGAATATTGTGTGCAGTTCTGGTCACCACAATATAAAAAGGATATTGCAGCGATTGAGAGAATACAGAGGAGGGCAACCCAAATTATTAAGGGGATGGAGGGACTGGATTATGAGGAGCGATTAGATAAATTGGGCATGTTCAAGCTGGAGAAGAGAAGGTTGAGGGCCGATATGATTACAGTCTTTAAGATTCTGAAGGTAATAGATGATGTCGACTCTGATAAGCTGTTTTATCTTGCACCGAACAGTCGAACCAGAGGACACGACCTGCAATTGAAGGTAAATTCAGAACAAATTTGCGGAAACATTACTTCAGTGAGGGATTAGTAAAGTTATGGAACAGGCTCCCTAGGGAGACGGTGGAAGCAGAAAATGTTATTTGTTTCAAGAATAATTAGATAGGTTTTCTGCTGAAAAATAATATCTCGGGATACAATGTATAGTTTGAGACAAGAAATGTCAACCGACTGCCGGGAAGGTGGAAGGCAAACCAGATAGACCTTGGTCTTCTTTCGCTGAGAAAATTCTTATGTTCTTAAATTCTTATGTGCCCAGTTCTTGGTTGGTTGCAAGGCCTTTGCTTTTGGAGTCCTTGAAAGAATTGAAAACAGGAAGTGTGTAGAAAATTGAAGTAAAGTTTAGCTTTCCAAGCTACTTCCTTACAATACAGTTACACACTGTATGATATACTGTGGGTCTATATATAGTTCAGGTACAATATAGGCAGTACACGTTTGACTTTAATATAGATTGCACACAGGCACAAAAGTCCCCTGGTGTTCTGGTAACTGGGAATTACCTGTGAGATTCAGTGCTCTTAGCAGTGACTTGCCAATCCAGAGGTGTTGACTGGCAGTAGGATTAAAGGTACCTGCCAGCAGTATTAACACTTAGGGACATCCTCCTGATGTGAAAGGCACTTTATAAATGAACATTGTATTGTATTATAATGTAGCAAATGTAATATTATAATGTATAAATTATAATGTATAATGATTTTAAGGGTCCAAACCACTATGTTATAACAAGATCTGACCGTAGTTTTGTATTTTGAACTTGAAAGCAGCTGGAGTGAGTGGCTCGCTATTCGCTCTGTTGACTTGTGTTCATTGTTGCAGTGATTGTGACTAATGTAACGAGTGTTTTCGCACTGTCGTAACACAGGCACCTGTTTTAGAGCAATATTCGGTGAAGAGAGCCTTCAGCCTTGTTATCGTTGGCTGTTCCCTCTTTCNTTTTTCGCCATAGTTCTATTTTTGGGGGCAGATCATATGTGGTGAATCATTTTCTGATATTTTGATTTTACAGAACATCTTTATCTTTGAGAATCTGATAGAAGCTCATCGCACCTACAACTTCCCTGTAGAGATTGAGGTCAGTAAAATTCCTTTGTACAGTAAGAGAGTTTGCACATTTTTTGTGAGAATCTCATTGGCAGACTGTCTTTAGAATACGCTCCTGATACACTGGTGGCAACTGGAGGAGGTGGAAGGAAAGTAAAGAGCAAGGGAGTGCAAGAAGTGAAAATGTAAAAAATAGCAAAAGGGAAACCTAAGAGAAGTTCATAGAAATAAAAGAACAGGCAACCCAGCAGGGATATAGAAAAGGAACACATATGCCAGGAGAAATGTTAAGTGTGAAATGAGAAGCCTGAAACCTGCTCACACTTAAGTAAATTGTATATATTGTAGTTTTTCAATAACATCCTGAATGCATATGACTGAGCAAACAGTTTTCATTGCTCATGCAATTTTGTGCATTACAGTTATCTGGAGAGAAGATAACGTACACTGGGCAAAAATTACTAAAGATGATATGTATGGTGTACAGGCAGAATCTGTTCATAGCCTCCTATAAACTAATTAGTGATAAGCAATGATGTGCTAAAATGTCTCATTCAAGGTCCCGTTGGAAAAGAAAAGAAGGTTTATTTCTATTCGGAAAGAAGCAAGAGAAGCAGGAGATGGAGATTCAGGTTTGTGTGGACTTCTTTTCAAATAATATGGATGACTGGACTTAATTGGATTCTGTAGTCAATTACTAACTTGCACAGCAGAATATCTTTTCTAATAAGGAGGTGCTTATTATTTTCCTGCTACTTTTCCACTTTAAAGTGCTCCGAGACATTCCTCCGTGTGAAGGACTCAATATAAACAACAAGTTATTATTATAATAATCTTTGCATTTGATATAGTGCTTTTCACGGGAGGACGTCCCAAAGTGCTCCACAGAACACACTGTAAAGTGAATTGACTATGTCTGTGGGCGAACGCGGCAGCCAATTGCGCACAGCAATGTCCCACAAACAGTTTTTAGTTTTGGAGGGATTATTATTAGGTGTGTGGAGTAAGGAAACTTGCCCAAGGTTTCGCCCCCTGCCTGGAATTGAACTCAGGTCTCTCGCTTGCAAAGCGAGTGCTCTAACCACTGAGCTACAGGACTCCACAAAGTCCACAAATTATTGTTGTTTGATGGTCTCTCGGCACCATGCACTATCTCAAACCAAGATAATGGACAAACTCCCTGGTTCTAACTCATTATGTAAGGGGATAGCTGAATTTACTTACTGAATTGTATTTTTTTTGGTAAGGCATTTAAATTTAGTGATATTTTCTCTTTTCTGCTTCCCTCAGTCCCACTCGCCACTCCCCAGTGGTAAGGGCAGATAGGCACTCTGCTCCCTGAGCTCTGCGTTAATAGTCGCTTTGCGATATGTCAGAAGATCGCAAGCCGGCAGGTTGCCTCTATTTTTCTTTCTCTTCCTCTGAGCATAGCGTTGTCACATTCTGTACGACAATCTCATTTTGCAAAGAATTATATAAAGCGTTACAGCATAGAGATAGACCAATTAGTTCATGCTGATGTTTGTACTCCACACAAGCATCCACCTTCTTTTAATCTCCCTGCCCACATCCCACTATTCCTTCCTCCCTCATTTACACATCACATTTCCACATCTGACCTTCTGAGCCCAAGAGTTTAGATAGCGACTGGTTCTTACTCCTTTTTTTCCCTTCCTATCTCAGGATACAAGAGCTAATTGTATTTAGCATTTCCTGGTATTGGGTCAGCCTGGCTCAGACAGTAGCACTCTCGCCTTTGAGTCAGAAAGTTGTAGAGATTGCGGGTTTAAGCCCCACATTGGGTCTTGGAACTCATATAGTCTGTACCGATACTCCAATGTAGTGCTGCATTGTTTGAGTTGCAAACCTTCGGATCTGGGCCTTGATTTAACATCTCATCTGAAGATAATTCAACTCAGAATCATGGATAAATGAGTTGTGTTGTACGAAGAAGAGGAAAAAACTCAACAGAAATTCATGGCACAAACATACAGAGGAATATTACTGAAACAGTTGCACTGTCTGGATGCAAAAGATAAAATCGCCACCTCTTTCTCATAGGCACACAAAATTGGGAGTTTTCACTACTCTTGTGCGCATTTTAGTAAAGATCTAAGTGTTGCCTATCTTTTCATTATCCAGGTGAACCTCAGTACTTGTCCTCTCAGTCGTACATGGCAGACAGCAGCCTCAGTGAGGAAATGAGTCAGTTTGACTTCTCTACTGGTGTTCAAAGCTTCTCGTATAACTCACAAGATCCCAGAGGACATGCAGTTCGTAGCAGGAGAAAGGTGACCAAATACTTTTTTGCCGGATGTATGAATCTGAATGCCAGGTTACATTACATATCCTTCGAACGAGATGGTAAACCAGTTTAATATGCACCTAATCTCAAAATGGTCATAGAGAGTATTGAAAGAATTCTTGGATATTTTATAGACCCTGAATGCATTGGAGCAGAGTAGGCATATCTCTAAATAGTTGTCTGGATTTTGGAATAATCTGGTATTTTAAGGATAGTTGAAAATAACAGATATGAGAATATTGAGAGATTTTCCACATCCCACGTTGGGACTTTGAGCTCCTAGTCTCGAATTCAACGCAGTGCTGAGGGGAATGCTGCATTGTCAGAGCTGGCAACCTTCGGGTGAGACTTTAAACCAAGCTCCTGTCTACTTCTTCATATGACATTAAAGATCTAATTAAATTTCCATCTAATTGTCCAGCTGTTAGGGGGGTGGGTGGGCCGTTGGATTGTGGGACACAAATTATTGACTGACTGCAAATCACTCTTGATGAATCAATTCAACATTGCCCACTCTTTGTGGTAAAATTGTGCTATAGAATTGTTCGCTTCTGTGTTTCTACGTACTGTTTTAATCGTGCTCATTTGCACATGGAGTTTGAACCAAATGCTTAAGTAATATTACATTATCAGCCAAGTTGTGGTCTATTGGCTCATTTGGAATGCAGATAAAAGGGGAGGGTAAAAGCATTCAGAAGATAGCAGCACAAAATGTGTTTTGTAAAATGCGTCCTTCTAGGGAACTCATGTTTACAGTTGCTTGAAGGAATTTGACTTCAATTCAAGAACTCATCAATAATGGAGTTTTCTTGGGTTGCTGTGACATGCATCATTTAGCCTGGAGAAATAACACTTTACATCCTGTGGTGCCTTTTCCAGTGTGAGGCACCACAAATGCCACTGTTTCCTAATGGCTGCTTTTTAACTTCCTACGTAAATGGATCGAAGCAATGAAGAAAACAGTAACAAGGGCAGATAACACTGGTGAAATTGTCCACATCGCATCCCTGTGGGGGTGGATTGGGAGAGTCGCTTTTTCACTTCACTTTTGAATTACTGCAGACCACAAGAAACATTTAAATAAAGCGTGTTTATTCTTTTAGAAGGTTTAAGAAAGACTTGTCCGAAATGTTTTGAACGCAAGCCTGAATATGTTTTAAGCTTTAATGATCAATAGCAAACAGGGAACGTCAATGGAGATATTTCTGAACCCATACTTAAAACTTTGTTTTTCTATGTTCTGGCAGGAACAGGCAGAGTTGAGTGTTGTACAGAGTGATATTATGGAGCTTGAGATGGATGAGCTGAATCAGCATGAATGCATGCCTGCCATGATAGCGCTGATCAATCACATGCAGAGGAACAACATCACGCCACAAGTTGAAGAGGTCAGGAACCCAAACACAATATAAACCGAATTAACTTGCTCGTTCCCAATCGATCAGTGAATAAATCCATGTTGTAGATAGAGGATTAGAGAAACTTTTATTCTGACATCCAAGTGAGTTTCAGAAGGATCCATTTAATCCTGGTACGTTCTTTTAAAGGTGGTGAACAAGTGAATGGTTTGCTGTTCTAATTAGAAACTTCATTTTTTTTATTGGGGTCTAATATGAGTCAATTCCTGAATGAGGAATGTTGAGTGAGGACTTTCTTCTGGTAAGCGGAAGTACATTATGCACATCAGATCATGGGAACCCCACTTAGGAAGTAGATTATGCTGGGCACGCCCGTACGTCATGTTTCTTTATTAATAATCATCTCTGCATCAAAATAGAGCACACAGCAAGATTGCACATATTCCTTTGAAGTGTTTCTTTATCACTAATTCAGAATTCCATTAAGATTATTTGCTTATTAGTCCCCATTTACATAGAATGTACAGCATGGAAACAGACCATTCGGCCCAACTAGTTCATTTGTTGTTCATACTGCACACAAGTCTACACTCACTCCGTACTCCCTCCTATGCCTTCTGTTCCCTTCTCTCTCATTGTTAACCTTGCAAACTGTTGAGGCTCTTGGATTTTTTGATTTGAGATTGAAGTGACTTCTCTGTAACTTTCATTCCACAGGGTAAAACTCCACAAGAGCTTCCACCGTGGATGAAGTTCCTGCACGGAAAACTGGGAAATTCCTCAATACCCTTAAACATCCGACTCTTTATTGCAAAACTCATCGTTAACTCTGAAGAGGTCAGTTCATTTTACCTCATTTTGATTTCTTCAGTACCATACAATAAAGCAGTTCCAATTATCAGTGCCTCTCATGCAGCAGGACATCTCAAGATGCAGCATAGTGCTGGATCTTCACCTGAACTGTGGATGGGAGCTGGGGAAGGGGTGGGGGATGGGTGAGGAGGGGAAAGAAGACCGAAAGCATGCTCAAAGAGATACGTTTTTGAGACGTGCCTTGAAAGAGGGATGGGGCGGGAGTGAGTTGGAGGGACTCCGAGACGGAATTCCAGAAAGTGCGTGCTGAACAGTTGTGAGCCCTCCCACTGATGATGGGGCAGATAGGGCAGAGGACATGAAGAACGCTGTGTTCACTGAGCGATGGGGGCGGCTGAGGCTATAGAGTACATTTCTTTCACTGCATTATAATCACTGCGCAAAGCCAGACATGAAACTGCACTGACCTTCAGAATAATATTCAGTTCCCACTCAACCCGTGATCTTGATTGCCTAGATAAGACCAGGGAACATAGTGGTGGTGCTCAATCCTCACACTTAGCACAGCATGTTGTGCTAAACACTGTGTCATAGGGCTGCCATCTTTATTTTCAACCAACCTAATAATCTCGGTATCAGAATAATAGCGCACAGCAAGATTATACGTATTTTCTTCTTTATCCCCTGTCATAATGTAAAATGTCTTTTCTAAAGTTTTGCACCCTTTCCTAATTTAACATTTCAAAATTATATCAAGTAATTTAATGGAAAAAGTGAATATTTTGAATAGTTGAAAACAGTTGTTGCTCAGAAGACTCAGAAACCCAACAATTTGGAAGTACAGTATTTTATGTTTAAAGGTAAACTTAGCTTAAACAGCAGAAGACTTATGTTAATGTATGCAAACAGAGGTTGACGTAGCTCAACAGAAGTAATTGAAGAAGTTTCAGATCAGTGAGTTAACTCTATGAGCTGGGCATTCCCCATACTTCCTGATTTTATTACTATTATCAAGTAATTTCAGGGCAATTTAATAATAATAATCCTTAAATTTTGCATAGCACCTCCTTGTATAGGAGGATGTCTCATAGCATTTCACAGAATATACTATAAAGTACAGTCTTTTGTGGGCAAACACTCACAACAATTTAGGCAAATTTGACAGAAGATTCTCTTGAAATTAACCAAGTGCGGTTCTGCAGCATGAGCCCAGAGATCCTTTGTCTGGTCTTGCTATACTACCACATGCTGCTCCATGGTATTTTGATTTGACCCAAGAAAATCTTTGAACCCACATCGCACAATGGGGTCCACTTTGAGGATTTCTTAAGGCAGATTCCTCAATAAGCATCTGAGTCGTGCAAGTGAGGTTTCCTTCCGGTGCCAGCCCATGGAACCGAACTCTAACAGAATCTATTTCTGTAAATAAGAGTACTACAAATGGGGATCCCATTGTTCTTAACGCCTAGAGTTTTAGCCCATTCGGGTTCATCTAAATTATTTAAATATACTGTGCATAAAACCTCATTTCTTTTCCAGGTTTTCCGACCTTATGCCAAAGAGTGGCTGGGCCCTCTACTGCAGCTGGTAGTTTCTGGCAATAATGGAGGTGATGGCATTCATTACATGGTGGTAGAAATCGTGGTAACAGTTCTCTCTTGGACAAGTGTGGCTACGCCAAAGGTACAGACTGACATACTTGGGCTGTTTCACAACAACATCAACAACTTTCACTTGTATAGTAACTTCACCTATGATGAACCTCCCGAAGCTCTTCACAGATATACAGCAGATACTGTAAAGTGTAGTGACTGTGTAGTTGTAGGGTAGGAGAAGATCACAAAGTTAGGGAGTGGCCAGGACGTGAAGGGATTTATGAAAGACAATAAAGATCACTGAGTGAGGAGGAGAAGAAGGAAAATTTTAAAATCAAAGGCACATTGAAAGATATGTGATTGGAAGTATTTTAAAGGCAGCTGTGCACCACCGTCTCGGGCTGGAGAGGCTGACATCAGCTCCTCTGTTTCACAAATTTTCTTTGCTTCTACCTGAGTTTTCATTCATAAATAATGGGAAGTGAGAATAGCAAGGTGCTAAAGCTAATAAAAAAAGTAGCTGAGGCCCAAATCAATTGTGGGATTCAAGAAAAAAACAACACTTGGAAAGCAGAATTATTAAAAGGATGTGGAAAGGAGGACGTTGAGACACCTATNAAAAAAGTAGCTGAGGCCCAAATCAATTGTGGGATTCAAAAAAAAAAACCAACACTTGGAAAGCAGAATTATTAAAAGGATGTGGAAAGGAGGACGTTGAGACACCTATACGAGTATGTAGAGACATGGAATGGTCTGTGAGTTGCTTTGACAGGTCAAATGGCCACCACCTGTTGCTAAATTCCTATGTTCCTGATTGCTGAATAGAGCAAAACCATGAACAACAACAACTTACATTTTTTTGAGCACCCTTCACATGGGTAGCAGCAATAAATGTATGCATTTTTTCAAAAAAAATTATGGTTTGTTGCTGTTTAGGGAAATATGAAGGATGAGATTCTAGCAAATCGCCTGCTGGAGTTTCTGATGAAGAATTCCTTTCATGAGAAGACGGCGGTGTTCAGACACAATCTGGAAATCATTAAAACAGTGGTTGAATGCTGGAAGGATTGTCTGTCTGTCCCTTACAGGTGAGTGGTGGTTCTCTATGTTATGCTGGTCTGTGCATTTATTTGTGAAAGGAGATGGTTTGAGTTTATATTTGATCAAATTTGATTGAATTACACCTGAAAATCACTACATCAAGAAAAATGTTATGAGGAACATTTTTTTAAATTTTCGATAAAGTCAAAGGTAAAAAAAAATTAATAATTAATTGCACGAGGAACGTGGCAGTTCAGATAAATATCTGCAATGCTGTTAAGCCTGACTCATCTTCTTTTCTTCTTATGAAGAGACTTGAGTTTTCAGCGCTTTGCTATATCCCCCCCACGTGAAAGGCGCTATACAAATGTAATTTTGTTGTTGTTTATGATTTCCAATTTCCATGCTAGGTGTAATTGTTTTTTGTTTTTGTGAAGTGTGTCTTTCCTCTATTGCAGTATGTTGGCGCCCTCCTGTGAGTCTGACAGGTCTTTGGTGGTGTTTATTTTTTAAATCAAACTTTTTTTAAAAGTTATTTTTGTTTGTTCATTTTGCAGCCTGATATTTAGTCGATTTTCCAGTACTGATCCTAACTCCAAAGATAACTCTGTGGGCATTCAGCTACTTGGGATAGTCCTGGCCAATAACCTGTCTCCATATGTCCCCAAATGTGAAATTGGCTATGAAAGGTAAGATTTACAAATGGTTCTATGTGTAACATGAGAGTGAACCGGAGAACACCGCAATGTAAAAATCTGACATTGGTAACCGGCTCAAACCCTCTTGTTCAAATGTTTCAATTGAGCCTCTTGCCAGTGAATAGTACCAAACAGACCCCAAACTCAATGAAGCACAAATCATTGCGTCAGGGGATTGCGACTGTATGTCGTTCACAAAAGAACAACATTTTGTATTTATGTAGCAGCCTTCACGCAGGATAATGTCCCGGAGTGCTGCACAGTGACTGGAGGCAAAAGAGGAGCGAGAGGTGACCTATGCGAAGGGTGCAATATAAACGCAAGTTTAGGTTTCATGCTGGTATATAAATATGGTTATAGAGAGGCTGAGGTGGAGGGGTAGGGTCAGGGAGATCCCGAGTTGATGGCTTACTTACTGAAAGCTCGGCCACTGATAGTGTTACAGAGGAAGCACAGCAGGCTCATGTTAGCTAAGCAAAGGTGATGAGCAGTGAAATGGAGCAAAGCTTTAGGAACACAGTTTAACTCGCCCTGATATTAATACAACAGGGAATCACAATAGGCACTCCTGAGCTCAGGCTGTCCTCCAGCCACTGTAAAATCTCATTCTCTGCAATATCTTCTGATTCTGGTCTTCTAATTGCTCCTCACTCCCATCATCCAAACATCAGTGGTTGAGACTTCAGTTGCCTCTGCTCCTGCTCAATGCAGCTCTCTCAAAATCCCTTTGCTTTGCTCCTTCACTCCCTGGCTTCAAAACCCTCTTTAAAAACGTATCTCTTTAACTGTGCTCAACATCCTGCCCTTCTTGCTTCTAGATCTCCATCATTTTTGTAAAGTTTCTTGAAATGCTCATCCTACATCTTCACCTAAAAATCCCATCAGACTCTAATTCCGCCCTATATCTCTGATCTTTTACTGCCCAACTGCACCCCAGCCTGATCAATGATACCATCAGCGGCCAATTATTCAGATTCTACACCACTGACCTCTGGAACTCCCTCCCTCTGCCCCTCTGTTTCACGCCCTCTTTATCTGTCTTCAAATCTTGCCGTAAAACCTACCTCTTCAACCACGCCTATCGTCATGTCCTCCATTTCCCCCTCTTCCCTATTTCTGGGTCCAACCCTGTTGCTACAAAGTACCACAAGATATCCTACGTGAAGGACGCAATATAAATGCCAATTGTTGCTTACGCAAAAGGCACTGTGTAAATGCAGATGCTTGTGTAATGATTCCAAAGCCTGTTGTGCTAATTGTGATCGCTTCAATATATTGCTGTTTGAGCAGGTATTTCCAGAGGCTGGTGTATAACATCTCCCTAACGCGTTATAAGGAAGTGTATGCAGCAGCAGCAGAGGTTCTGGGACTCGTCCTGCATTACTTTGCAGAAAATGAGAAGGTGAGGACCATCAGTCTAATAACCCAGTGATGACTGTGTGGGGCGGAGAGCTTTTTTGATCAAAACTTTTATAATAATAATATTCTTCGCATTTGATATAGCGCCTTATCACGTCTTCAAGATGCCTCAAAGCGCTTCACAGGATACACTAAAGTGAATTGACTGTGTATTTTGTGGGCGAAAACGCAGCAGCCAATTACGCACAGCAGCGTTCCACAAACAGTCGTGGATTGAGTGACCAATTTATTATTATTTTTTGATGGAATTATTACCCCCGGAAAAGCAATCCGCCAATCGACTAACAACCGAGTTACTACTTACTGCGCGATAAACAGAGGCGTGTGGAGTAAGGAAACTTGCCCAGCGTTTCACCCTGCCGGGAATCAAACCCAGGTCTTTTGTTTGCGGTGAACACATTCCTAGTATGCCTTTGCAATCTACTAGAAGCAAGGATCAGTCAGTGCAGCACTTTGTCCCACACGTCGGGACTTTAAACTCATGTAGTCTAGGCTGACTGTATTGGAGTGCTTGGGGATGTCCTGCATTGTTGGAGATGTCATCGTTCAGATGAGACGTTAAATTGAGTTCCTGTCAGTCTGTTCAAGTAGGCATTAAAGAACCCATGGCACTACTCAAAAACAAAAGGGAGTTTAACTTGGTGTCTTGGCCAACAATCCCCCAGATAAAATTAATCATTCACTTCATCCCTATTTGTGAGACAATTGCTGTGAGCAAATTGGCTGTCGCGTTCACTTACAAAATACAATCTCTACACTTTTCAGTATATCCTGTGAAACCCTTTGAGATGGCCTCCTGACATGAAAGATGCTGTATCAAATGCCAGGATTATTTTTATTTTAACTTTCTGTTCCTTCATTATGTTGTCAAGTTTAAGTTTTCTTCAACTTGTTGCCATACTTCTGTTTTGCAGCAAGTGGACGGGCTGGTTCACGATTTAATTGCTAAAGAACTAAAGCAGCTTCAACAATCAAAAGAGGACAAGTTTATTGTGTGTTTGAGTAAGATTGTGAAGAACTACCCTCCTTTCGCTGACAGGTAAGAGGTTAAACAATTGTACCTTTTAAGCTCAGCCTGAGAGTGGAGTCCAGTCTTTGAACGCAACCTTGAGCGAGTGCTCTAACCACTGAGCTACAGGACTCCAATGAAGGTTGAGGTGAGAGAGGTGGTGAAGGAGGATAGAGTGATCAAGGAGGATGAGGAGATAGAATATCATTAGTGACTTTATTATTTATTAATCTTATTTATCTGTAAGACAAAGTGAGATTTTAAATTTATTTTGCATTTAAAGTATTTCTTTTCTAATTATTTGTGGTTCACAATCTTTGTTACTTTCCATAGAAAGAGTCCTGTAGCTCAGTCGTTGTGGAGGACTTGTGGACTCCTGTAGCTCAGTGGTTAGAGCACTCGCCTGGCAAGCGAGAGACCTGGATTCAATTCCAGGCAGGCCAGGGTGAAACCTTGGGCAAGTTTCCTTACTCCACACGCCTAATAATAATCTCTCCAAAACAATAATAAATTGGTCGTTTTCAATCCACGACTGCTTGTGGGACACTGCTGTGCGCAATTGGCTGCCGCGTTTCGCCCACAAATGTATAGTCAATTCACTTTACAGTATATTCTGTGAAGCGCTTTGAGATGTCGAGAAGACGTGAAAAGCGCTATATCAAATGTAAGGATTATTATTATAGAAATCAAATCTCACCTCCCTCCCTCTCTCCCTGCTTGCCCCCTGCCTCTCACTGTAACAGTGCTCCGAGACGTTATTCTACATGAAGATGCCATGTAAATTAAAGTAGTTGTTGTTTGCTGTTGTTATAGAAGGTTTTTGAATCAAGTGTTCTACCTGTTACCGAAACTTCACGGTGTGTTGAAGACTCACTGCCTCGAGGTGGTGATGCATCGAGCAGAGACGATAATTGACATCTTTCAGGAACTGAAGAACAAGAACTTTGTGCAGATCATGAGTTACTCGTGAGTAGAAAGCTGGTCTAATGCCAGCCAGTTTGTGTTGACATCCTCTTTCTTTTGCTGACTATACCAATTTATTTTCATTTCCGCTCCCAGTACAGGCACTTTCTTCCTTACTTGCCTCCAGATCTGTTCATGCCAACTAAAAGCTAGTCAACCTGCCTCGAGTTCAATGGCAGTGCCACACGAGCCAGATACCAGGATGTGTATGAGAACACCTTCAGTTCAGCAAAGTGCATTGTCACAGCATGGCACAGTAAATGAAAGTATAAATACAGTATTGCACAATCCATTTGAGCTTCTTTGGATTTTGTCCTAGCACAGAAAGTATTTTGGTGAGCCAGGGGACTGTATCCCAACATAGCACAGTGTGCTGCAGCTTAGACCCTTCTTTCTTAGCCACTATGCCCTGAATCTCTGGATCTCCTAGCCTCAATCCCACTGTCTTGCCTCCTCTTTGCCCATCTTCAAATCACACCTAAAGACTTTCCTCTTTGACTGTGCCTTCAGTCAACTCCCTTTACGGCTTGTGTCAAGACACACCGATATTAAGCGCTCTGAAGCATTACCCATGTAAAGAGTGGTGTATAAGTGCAAGCTGTTGTTGTTTTCTTTATTTTCTTAGCCTAAAATTTTTTTCCTCATTATTCCAACACTTTGTTGATTATCTCTTACATGTCTTTATTTATGGAATGGTAAATAGCACTAAATGTTCTTACACAATAAAGACAACCAGGGAAGCCCAAAAATAGACAATGTTTCCTGGAAACATTTTTGTATGTATGTTCACGGGTTACTATTGGAAAACCTCACTAACCTTGGTCAGTTCTTGTTCTTAAGGGATGAAGAGCGGCAGAGGATATGTTTGGACATTGTGTACAAGATCATAGCCAAATTGAAGGCGGAAGAAGTGAAAGTATTCCTCGTTCCAGTAATCGCTTTCATTTCTCATCCATCTCCTGTCTGTCGAGAACGAATGTACGACATCCTGATGTGGATCTATGACAATTACAGGTACACAAACCTTCTTTGAGTAGAAGAGAAATCTTCACATTCATAAACAAAGGGAACTTTGAATGGGTGGATGTGGGTGTTTCAACTTTGTTGCAGCCATTACTAAAAAGCCTCCATTGTTCGTTATGAACCAAATGCAGTAAAGAAAGCAACTCTGGAAAATACTAGGATAAATTACCATTTAAATAATAATCCTTGCATTTGATATAGCGCTTTTCATGTCTTCTAGACGTCTCAAAGTGCTTCACAGAATATGCTGTAAAGTGAATTGACTGTATATTTGTGGGTGAAACGCGGCAGCCAATTGCGCATAGCAGTGTCCCACAAACAGTCGTGGATTGAAAATGACCAATTTATTATTGTTTTGTTTTTTGGAGGGATTATTATGAGGCGTGTGGAGTAAGGAAACTTGCCCAAGGTTTCGCCCTGCCTGGAATTGAACCCAGGTGTCTCGCTTGCAAGGCGAGTGTTCTAACCACTGAGCTACAGGTCTCCACGCAGTTTTGGAGATTTGATTTTATAACTGAATTTAAATTTGAAATTGCTAGAGTGAATTTAATGAATAATTTATTTTGTATTAGATAAAATGCTAATGAATGTTCTACTTGTTGCACGTTTTACATATTCATTTGGTAGTAGCATATTTGTACAAGGCGTGACTAAAACATCTAAATAATTAACCTAGAAAGCTTGCTTTAAGTTTTGGGGCTCCCTTAGGGATCCATCGCTCAGAATTTCCAAAATGAACAAGTGTATTGTACAGTATTTGGTTTCTTTATATTTTATTTGTTATATGTATGTATAATATGGGTGCTCCAACCATTTCTTTCCCACTCTGCAGAGACGCAGAGAGCCAGTCTGACCCCGACTCCAAGGCAGTGTTTGTAACAACAAAGGACACATTACTTCAGGGACTGACTGATGACAATCCTGCACTGCAGTAAGTGACTGGTCACAACATTCACTTGGAGCTCTTATAAGTTGCATTCAGTATCTTTTGTAGATTTTTTTTCTTTTGAATACTTTTAAAATGGAATCTTAAAGAAGAAATTATCTTATTTTTCCTTTTCAGATTGTATGTCAGAAATTTCTGGGGTCATGAAAACAGGCTTCCCACAGGAACCCATGATAGATTGATGGCTATTCTGAGGTCGATGTATTCCAACAAGATAGAGACTCAGTACCTTAGTATAGCTACCAACCTCTTGCTTGAAATGACAAGTCGCAGCCCAGACTATACACGGGAAATGTTTGAGTATCCACTGTCTGAATGCAAGTTCCAGGTAAATATACAAGGCTTGTTGGATACAGCAACTTAATCCAGAATCTTGCTGGATTGATTTTAAATCTTTTCAGAAATTTGCCAATTCTTAGAAGTGTACTATTCTACAACAAGAAAATTAATTGGTTTGCTCATAAGTGCCCAAAACCTTCTTGAAGGACTGCTAGAAGGTGATTGATGTGGCCCCATCAGAGATGCCACTAGCTTGATCACTGGTGGGATTTCTAGGTTGAAAAGAGGAATTGGCTGAACAGTCATTCTCACGATCAGTCTCAGGCCTGCCAGGAGGCTTGAACAGGTTGTGGTGTTCCAATGTTTAATGGACTAGATTTGTTGTAAAGATGCAGGACAGTGAGAATGTGCATCAGCCTGGCTCAGTTAGTAGCACTATGGCCTCAGTCAGAAGGTTGTGGGTTCAAGCACCGTGTCGGGAATTTGAAATCTTAGTCACGATTGATATTCCAATGCAGGGCTCGGGATATGTTGCATTGTTAGAGATGCCATCCTTTGGATGAGACGTTAATCCGAGCCCCCTTCTGCTTGCTCAGATAGACGTTAAGCATTCCATTCGTTACTTGAAAAGAGAAGGGAGATTCTCCCAATGACAATCCTGGCCAAAAGTCCACCCCCAAAAATGTGGCGTTTGCTTCATGGCTACTTGTGGGAGATTGCCGTGCATAAATTGGCTGTCACGTTCAACTACAATATACAGCTAGTCATTATACTTTACAGTGTATCCTGTGAGATGCTTTGAGACAGCCTTCCAGAGTGAAGCTGCTATATCAAGTATATGGATTGTTTATTATTATGCCTGTGAGTTTGTTAATCCGGTTATTATATTGTGTTTGTTGTGTCATATTAAAAACGATAGACTTTAAAAAGAACATAGGACCTGGAATAATTGGATTGTGTAGAAAGTGTATAATTGACCCTCCCACAGTTCATGATTCATGCTCATCTCATTTTATCCAGCGATACTAATAACCTTACTGTTGCTTTAGGATTATAACATTGATTCAAGTTGGCAGCAACGCAGCACGATTCTCACTCCCATGTTTGTGGAGACTCAAGCTACGCAGAACAGTAGCAGAAGCCAATCACAAGAAGGTTCCCTGACTGCTCAGGGGACAATAGGTGGCTTGGTCAGGGGCACCCAAACTCATTATGAGTTTACTCCGACTCAGAATCCAGGTGAGCGGGGATCAATTCTCTCTCGTATCTGTTGCTAACTTTTCTGTCCAGATGAACTTGTAATTATTACACGTTGACTTATTGTTATATTGCATGGAATTATTTTCCTAGGGACTGCTAAATTCTGTCTGTACCTGTAGGGTGACTAATGTGCTTTCTTTTTTTTACTATGTACTATATATATATATATTCTTGACTGTATTGCTCTATATGTATTTGTTACTGTAATGTTCCTTTTCGCTCTATGTGTGTGTCAGCCTGACTCAATTGGAAGCACTCTTGCCTCTGAGTCAGAAGGTCATGTTGGGGTTTGCAACTCATAGTCCAAGCTGACACACCAATGAAGTCCTGGGGTGTCCTGCAGTGTTGGAGATGGCATCCTTTATATGAGACATTAAACCGAGGTCCCGTATGCCTGTTAAAGAACCCATTGCACAATTTAAAAAGAGAAGGGAGTTTCTCCTGATGTCCTAACCAACAAAATCTCATCGAGATAAAATCAGTCACTTACTTCATGGCTGTTTTGGGGCCATCGCTGTGTGCAAAATGTCTGCTACGTTTGCTGACAAAATACACTGCCTCTACACTTTACAGTAAAATCCTGTGGAGACCTTTAAGACGTCTTGAAGACCTGATAAATGTGCTATGTCCAAATTATCTAATCCTGACAGGAGGTGCAAACATAACTCTTGTTTATTACACATGTAAAGGACAAGCATTCTGATGTTTCTTCATCAATTATTTCTCTTTTTAGATGCGCGGAATTTTAATTGGCTAACGGGGAACAGCCTGGATACTTTTGCAGAATACTCACTCCCGTCCCTCGCCTCGGAACCAGGGTCCTCCTCACTCCTGGTGTTTTCTCGGTGGAGTGAGCGACTACACAGACCAGCTAAGAAACCGGTTGGTCCGGATTTTGGGAAGAAAAGACTTGCTTTGCCCGGAGATGAGGTTGACAGTAAGACTAAAGGTAGCATAATTGGCCATATTTTCTCGCTAGATTTCTCTCCATCTTATAGGTCTTGTTATGGATAAGAAAACAGAGCCATTGCAATAGAAGTTTAGTGGTTTGCAAACCACTGCAAGGGGTGGTGGGAATGGCGATTTGTGGCTGTGATTCCTTGTGTGGCTGAGTTATAGTTATTCTACATCACAGGGATAGTTGACCAGAGGGCAGACATCCTACGACTGAGGCGTCGTTTCCTCAAAGATCGGGAGAAGGTGAGCCTCATCTTTGCCAAGAGAGGCATCCGGGAGCAACGGGCAGAACAGGTAAGCTCTTCTTAACATCCTCTTAAAGGTGTTGGTATAAATGAGAACGTTATAATATCCCAACCCGCAATGCAACAGGTCTCAAACCAGGTCAGCGCTTCTGCATTGTGACGTTGCCAATTACGTGACCGACAATTTGACTGCACATGCGTGAAGAAAGTCATCCGGCCTCCCTCCCAGTCTAAATATCAGATTATTAAGTTGCCACCGACGTCACTCCCTGGGCATTACATAAATATACAGAAACCTGTCAGCCTCTCGATACACAGCCCAACATACTTGACTCCCCACCACCCTCACCACCCCCCCCACCCTTTGCAGGCATCTTACCATCTTTCATAGGGTGAACTCAGTGGTGAGATTGCAATGCTAAAATAAAATGGCACTGCGCATAGAAAATTGTTACATATATTGCGTTTCATTCAGTCTCACACAAAGTAATCTTTTCAAGTAAAAATTAAATGTAGCCAATTTGAGGTTATATGTACAGCTATGGAAATATTGTTGATTGCCCTCCGTGACACAAAACACTTCCTGGTGTTTGTCTTAAAATGGCGCTTTCACAAGCCTGAAACTGCCCTCTCACCCTGCTGTCTTGATGATCTTGGGAGGGGGAGGCTTTCAGTGATGTCAATTGCTTACCGGTTGCTTACAGCTGTGATTTGAACAAAAAAAGCATTTAAGAGGAAACTTGATGCGTACATGAGGGACAGGGGAATAGGAGCGGTTGGTCTGCTGTAACAAACTAGCAAAAGAGTTGGCCAGTTTGCATGAGATATCCCTGATGATTCTTTTTGTTGCTTTCTTCCTGATTCAGAAATTAAAACGGAAAAGAGGATGGAACGGGATGCGAAGGTTACTCTGTACAGAAGTTATCGTTTTGGAGATCTGCCTGACATTCAGATCAAATACAGCAGTTTAATTGCTCCCTTGCAGGCGCTGGCCCAGGTCTGAATTTGTAAATCAAATCTTTAGTAACCAACCCTCTGAGGTCCTAAATAAATCTAAATCAACTGCCAATTCCTTCCCTTATTCTCTCTTTGGCTGTTAACCAAAGTAATAACAGGTAAAACATTGAGCACTGCCTGGACTGGGTGGTTCTGTAGGAAAAAAAAATGATTATCCAAAGATCAGACTGCCTGTCCCCCACCCCAGGCAAAAAAAACAGGAGTTGCATATATTTTGATAATCATCTGAATCTCATTACTATTGGGCTACAGATAATCAACCTGTTGTATTGATAGTAATTTCAGTACCCTAAATGCCACTCATGCTTAGATTAGCTAATTTAGCACACGGAGGGAATCAAACCAAGGAACTTTCCTTTTCTATCTGTAAGGTTCAGCTACTCACTGCATAAACCTGCTGATTCTTGGTGGGAAAACACAGTCTTGTGTTCTTAACAAAAACTTGCATTTATACAGTGCTCTTCATGCAAAACAACAACAGCAACAAAATTACATTTGTATAGCACCTTTCACGTCGGGAGGACATCCCAAGGCGCTGGACAGACAGTTACGGACCCCAAAAAACAAAGTGTTAGAATGCTGTGATTGTACGATCTCTGCAAGGTCCTGGGTTTGAGGCATCTGCTGGGTAAATCTTATCAGAGACTGAACTCTGGGGCAAGGTTGGGGAGTGGTAAGAAAGTGACAACAGAAGTTTAGCATCATTTGCAATTGTTTTACAGAAAGACCATTCACTTGCTAAGCAGCTCTTCAGTGCCCTATTTTCTGGAATTCTTGAAGAAGTGCACAAGTCTAAGACTGCTGAAACAAAGGATATTTCAAAACAGCTTGTGGAGAACTTCAATTATTTACTTAAAGCTACAACCCTGAATTTCCCACCATTTGTGGCCTGCATTCAGGTAACAACTTGTATTTATATCGTGGCTTGCATGTAGCATGTGGAGTCCTGTAGCTCAGTGGTTAGAGCACTCGCTTTGCAAGCGAGAGACCTGAGTTCAATTCCAGGCAGGTCAGGGCGAAACCTTGGGCAAGTTTCCTTACTCCTCACAGAGCCTAATAATAATCCCTCAAAAAAAAAACAATAATAAATTGGTCATTTTCAATCTACGACTGTTTGTGGGACATTGCTGTGCGCAATTGGCTGCCGCGTTTGCCCACAAATATAGTCAATTCACTTTACAGTGTGTTCTGTGAAGCGCTTTGGGACATCCTCCCGACGTGAAAAGCGCTATATCAAATGCAAGGATTATTATTATTATAGAATAATAGCTTGGGGCGTTGTACTGAGATGGTGCCAGACACCTTGGAGGGAGGGATGATGTGGGAGGGAGGGAGTTGACTCTAACCGTTGTCAATAAAGTAGTTTGTAGGTGTTTTTTTAAGACTGAGGGGAGAGAAGATGGAAGGGATGAGGGAGGGAGGTTCAGAGGGGTTGGTGATAGTGCCTGAAGGTTCGGACACTGATGAGATGCTGGAAAATGTCCAGTATCACTGAGAAATGGATTTGAAATAAGTTTACGTTCAATGCATTTTAGACCTAAGATGGATTTCTAATGTCTTTGTGAGTCACAGGAGACTAATGGGCACGGTTGCTGTCATATTTAGGACTGTTGTAATAATCTAAATCTTGCAAAGAATCTCCTTGGAAATGAATAATTTAAAAAGCAATGGCAATTTGGGCAAAATTGGATGATTTTGTATTTATTGTGCTGATAACATACGTTATAGAAATGGAATATGCCTTGAGGTAAGATGTGAATTTGAACCTATTTGGAATACAACAACTTGCAGTTTACGGTGCCCTTCACGCAGGATAGTTAGTATCTTGGAGCGCTGCGCAGTGTTGGTGTTTGACTCCGAGCAAGAGGGGAGTGGGAGGTAACTATAGGCCCGATCGAAAAGATAGGTCTTCAGGTGGGATTTCAAATTAGGTAAAGAGAGGGTGAGCTGAGAGATTGAGGATGGTTTGGGGGCTCAGCAGTTGAGCAAAGGGGGTAGGCAGAGAAGTAGGGTTTGAGACAATCAGCAAGATAGGGAATTAATTGGGTTTGAAGGGATTGTACGCAAAGGTGAGGATGTTGAATTTGATCTGTTAGGAAACAGGAATGGAGCCTGGCGAGGATTGGGGTGGTGGGGCGGAGTTTGGTATAGGTGAGGATACGGTGGTGCACTTTTGTATTAGTTAGATGTTGTGGGTAGTGGCACTAGGGAGACCAGCAAGGATTGTGCTTGACAAATTAATAATAATAATACTTGCATTTGCTGTAGCGCTTTTCACGTCTTCTACACGTCTCAAAGCGCTTCACAGAATATGCTGTAAAGTGAATTGACTGTATATTTGTGGGCGAAACGCAGCAGCCAATTGCGCACAGCAGTGTCCCACAAACAGCCGTGGATTGAAAATGACCAATTTATTATTGTTTTTGTTTTGGAGGAATTATTATTAGACGTGTGGAGTAAAGAAACTTAGCCAAGGTTTCGCCCCGCTTGGAAATGAACCCAGGTGTCTCGCTTGCAAGGCGAGTGCTCTAACCACTGAGCTACAGGACTCCAAATCAAGGTGGAAGATGACAAAGGCTTGGACGTGGGTTTCAGTGGCATTAGGTGTAAGATAAGATCAGAGGTGGGCAGTGTCATAGAGTTGGAGAAAAGCAGTACTGTTCAGGTTCCCAATGCGGTGTAGGAAAGACAGCTGTGGATTGAACTGGATGCGCACTGGTTTGGTGAGTTTGTGGAGGTCGGAGCCAGAGGAACAGTTCGTAGTTGCCGGCATTACATATCGTTCTGTAGGTAAAAGTAACAACATTGATTATTAGTGCTTGATGCTTTTGAGCATGTATAAGAAGTTTGTGAGCATGTACTATAGCAGATTGTGTGGTTTTAGCGGAGTAATTTCATGATTGTGGTGGTTTGCTTTTATTTGGCTAGGATATGAGTTGCCAACACAAAGATCTGCTGGGTCTTGACTCTACCAGTGTAAGATCAACCTCCTTAGCCAGCTTGCAACAGCCGATGGGAATTCTGCTTCTGGAGAAGAGTTTGATCCATTCCACCACAAACGAAGAGCCACCGACAAAAAAAGCGCGAGGCAGACAAGAGCTCCCGCCTGACACAGACGTAGCCCGATGGATAGAGCTCGCTACGTGAGTGGGAATCCAATTATTTAAAAGCCAAGAGTATCAAAACTCGGAATTCTTGTCTCTGCCCAACAGTCAGACAGTTGTGTTGGTTCAACCCCCATATCGCGACTTGAGTTTATAGTCCAGGGGAAGCACTTCATTGTCAGTGAGTGAGACATTAAACCGAGACCCTGTTTATTAATAACAACAATAATAATAATAATAAACCTTGCATTTGATATAGCGCCTTTCACATCGTCAAAATGTTTCAAAGCGCTTCACAGGATAAACTGTAAAGTAAGTTCACTGTGTATTTTGTGGGTGAAACACGGCAGCCAGTTGCGCACAGCAGTGTCCCATAAATAGCCATGGAGTGAGTGACCAATTTTTATTTTGAGGGACTGTTGGCCAGGACACCGGGAAATACAACCTCTTTTTGAACAGTGCCATGGGATCTTTAATGTCCACCTGAACAGACTGACAGGACGTCAGTTTAACATCTGAGCTGAAGGATGTTTACCTGTTTGGGTGGACTGTAAAGATGCCATGGCACTGTTCAGAAAGAGAAAAGGCAATTTCTCATGGGTGGCCAGGCCAGCAGTGCCCCAGTCAATTCGTCATTCATCTCAGGGCAGCTTGTGGTGCTGGCCCAAATTATATACAATCAATTCACTTCACAGTATATTCTGTGGCGTGCTTTGAGACGCTACATCAAATGTAAGGATTATTATTATCTTCTGTGAAGCGCTTTGAAATTCTCAACGATGTGATAAAGTGCTATATCAAATGCAAGGAATATCATTATAGTGTGGACTAACAGCAGCATACATGCTTGAACCCTGATCCTTTTGCAGGTTGTACAGATCGTTGGGAGATTACGACGTCCTCCGTGGCATTTTCAGTGAGAAGATTGGTACAAAGCCACTCACCCACACAGCGCTGCTGGCTGAAGCGAAGAGTGATTATGCTGAGGCTGTACGGTTATATGATCAGGTAGAGTTAATAGTAAACATGCAGACCGTCTCGACTGATGTACTAACAGTGCCTTCATGCCTTCTCTGCTTAGGCACAGATGTCGCCTTTCTACAGCAAAACTACACTAAAAGTTCTGTTTGTAGAGGGTGGGATGCACATCCAGCGTCCATTTTTATTTGTATCACAGCATCTATATGTGTAGAATAAACAGGGTTTTTTTTAACCAAAATGTTATTTTATTTTCATATTTACCTATGCGTTTTTCTGAACTGTCTGAGAGTAAGTGTTGGATCATTTTATCACTGATATTAATGCTATGATTAAAACAAATGAAGTGCAGCTGCTATGGGATAACTGTATCGTACTGTATGTGTACGAATGATATATTTATTGCCGACAGGGCGCTGTCATTATAAATCTGCCATTCTCCATGTTTTTACGACAGCAAGCATGACCTCTCTTGGATTGAATAAGTAAACCCAGAACAATACATTAGGATGCACCAACAGCACAGACATGAGTTGAAGAGGGCAATTTCAGGACAGACACCAAGAAATGTTTTACTTAGAAAGTAATCAATGACTGGAACAGGTTGCCAGGAAGACACTGGACTCATTTAAAATTTACCTTGATGCTGCGATGGGAGATCCGTAGGGCGGATGTTCTGAAGGGATTAGATCAGATGAGCCAAAATTTCCTCTAATTTAATCTTGTGTGAACCTGGTGTGTGAAGGCAGATTAGCTGCTAAATAGTGGCAAGACACTTCAATGACAAATTGTGCTGTTTGTAGAGGTGATAATGGAGTTAATATGAATGTAAATTTGTATTGTATTGCATTGATATCAATATGCTTTGATAGGCTTTGAATACAGAAGAATGGATGGATGGAAACCCCATGGAAACAGAGAAGGATTTTTGGGAAATTGCAGCGCTGGAGTGTTACAATCACCTGACAGAGTGGAAGGCGCTGGAATACTGCTCCACAGTCAACATTGACGACAAAACACCAGCGGATATAGAGAACATATGGAGTGACACTTTCTATCAGGTTAGTGAAGTACTTCAGATTATGGACACAATGGTCGCACTCCCCAAGTGTAAAGACATACAGTACCTCCTCACTGCAGAGCAAAAATAATACGTTCAGCCATATAGGAATAGAACATATACCATAGGGCCTCCCTTCCCGTGTTAATAATAATAATAATCTTTGTGTTTGATATAGCCCCTTATCACGTAGTTTTGATGTCTGAAAATGCTTCACAAGATTTTACTGTTAAATTGAATGGCTGTATTTGCAGGCAAATGTCCCAACAAACAGCCATGAAATGAGTGTCCAATTTTAAACCAATGTTGGACTTGAACCCACAACCTTGTGACTCAGAAATGAGAGTGGTTTCAACTGAGCCAGGCTGACACCTAAACTAGAATGCTTCAGTTTTCCTTTTATCCTGCAGTCCGCTGGAACCAAATTAGGCAAATCTAGTTACTAATATTTAATTGTTCTCGTTCCTCTGTCCACTCCCCATAGCTTGATATTGTCCAGCTTTTCACACTTTTAAGATGTGAATGATTTTTGTTTGGTGGATTTAAATTTTTAATTGAAAAAGGTTGATGTTGCGAATGATGTCGGTGGTTCTAGAAACATAGAAACAGGAGTAGGCCATTCAGCCCCTCGAGCCTGTTCTGCCTTTTTGTAAGAACATGGCTGATCTGTACCTCAAGTCCAGTTACCTGCCCTTGCCCAAATCCCTTAATACCCTGATCTAACAAATACTTATCTACCTCCATCTTGAAAATGTGAATGAATCCATCATCCACAACCTTTTGGGTAGTGTTCCAGATTTCCGCTACCCTTTGGGTGAAAAACTGCCACCTAATTTCACTCCTAATTGGCCTAGGTCTAATTTTAAGATTATGCCCCCTTGTTCTGAATTCCCCTACCAAAGGAAATAGTTTCTCTATCTGGGAGTGGTTACCAAACTAACACTGCTACAACAACTTGCATTTACATAGTGCTCCTCACGAAGGGTAGCGTTCCAGAGCGCTTAAGGGAGGGAGATAAATGAATCTCTGAAACTGATTGTGTGTGTTAACTCAGACTCCTTCTAGTCTGTTTTTGGAACTTCTCTCCCTCTCCTTCCCCCCCACCCCCACAATGCAATTAGCACTCAGTAATGGCAGAAGTGAACAGAACGAGACAAAAGGAATTTTAGTTCTTCGTCAAAGTGGATTCTCATAGCAAAGATTTCACCTTAAGTTAAAAAGCGTTTTAGTGGACCCCACATATTGCCTCTTCCTCTGACTGCCTTTGTAGCCACTGAGTGTTACTCCACATCTCTTGTTCACTGGAGTTTCTCTATCTATGTCTGCATACAAAGACTCCTTGTTTTTGTAGCACTATCCACATCTGAAACTAATCCGCAATATTTGGCCCCACCTTCCCTCAATTTTCGTTCACGGGTCCGCCTGGCTCATTTAACACCAGTCTGACCTCAAAAGCCTAAGGGTTCTGCATTTAAGCTCCATGCTGGGACTTTTAACTTATAGTCAAACTCAAGTTCCAGTTAGAGCTGGGGGAGTGCTGCATTGTCAGATGAGACATTAAACCAAAGTCATGTCCACCTCTTTCTAGGACACTGCTGTATGGAAATTGGCTGCAGTGTTCACCCAGAAATACCCAATCAGTCCACTTTACAATGAATCCTGTAAAACACTGTAAGGATTGTTATTATAATGCAGTAGGTGGGTAATTAGATCAGTTTGTGCAGGACAATCATGTGCATTCATTTTCTATTGTGACATTTTCCAGACGCACCTGTTTATTATCCCTCAAAGTATTTTCTCTGTGTGTTCTCCGTGTCGCAAATCACCTTATCAGACTCACTGGGACAATCACTGGCACCATGAAATTGCCTAAATCTTCACTCACTCCATTAGCTGAATTGAATCGGTGAACTGCTTCAGTATCTGTAGCACACTAATCCTCTGAGGTTCAAGCTAGTCCTTGTTCTGAATTTGCTCAGCAGCCTGCACCGATTCCCCAGGTTAGCACGGTCCCTATTGCAAATCAGCCCAGGAGTCAATTAGCATCTAATTAACTGTTGTGCAGAACCATTTGGTTGCAGCATCCAGACATGAGCAAAAATCTTCAAACTTCAATAACACTGAGGGCACCTTTTGAACACCTGAGGGTGCTCCAGAGGGAAGCAGGCAATGTAATTGGCTCCAGAGAAGCTGAGTATTCAATCTCAGAGTCGAGGCAGGCCTTTGCTCAGCCCTAGTATTCCCACAACAGAGTCCACAGCGCTTAGCATTAGGATAAAACTTACATCAGTGTATCAAAAACGCATGTCGACTTGAGTGCACTTGAGTTGCACTTGATACTATTGGCCACTGGATGGTGCTGACACATTTTAGAACCATAGAATTTTTTTTGCGCAGAAGACCATTTGGCCCATCGTTTCTGTACGATAAGTATTTTTGTAAACATCGCAAGAGAGATTCTGATGAAGAATGATTTACCACTCACTTAATCTCAATCCTTCCCGAACATGAAACCCACCATTAGTGGGAGTCCTGCAGCTCAGTGGTTAGAGCAAGCGAGACACCTGGGTTCAATTCCAGGCAGGTCAGGGCGAAACCTTGGGCAAGTTTCCTTATTCCACACAGAGCCTAATAATAATCCCTAAACAATAATAAATTGGTCATTTTCAATCCACGACTGTATGTGGGACACTGCTGTGCACAATTGGCTGCCACGTTTTGCCCACAAATATACAGTCAATTCACTTTACAGCATATTCTGTGAAGCGCTTTGAGACGTCTCGAAGATGTGAAAAATGCTATATCAAATGCAAGGATTATTATTATTACAACATCAGCCTGTTTCTTAAATGGGACCAAAGTCCTGGCCTGTACCATACCTCTTGGTAACCAGTTCTAGTTGTTTTATTGTTGTTGTATTAATCATTCTTTTCATAACAAAATACTTCCTGGAGTCTGTCATGAAATTTCTCCTCACAGCCCTGAATCTGTCCCTGTTGTCTGAAAGGGTAGATTGCTGGTCAGTAAAGACACATTCTGCCCAGCTCCAAAGTTGCCTTCTTATGAATCAAGATATATCCCTGGTTGATGTTATATTAAATATTTCCAGCTCTGCCTTTAAAAACCACCCAATTTTTTTATCTGTACTAAGCTAATGAAGAACTATTTGGGGACACCACAGTGGTAATGTGCATCGCGGATCAATATAGAATGGCACAGAGCTCAGTTTTTTCTACCCCTTCCCTCCCCACAAAACAATCTTCACAAGGAGGAGAGAAGTCAGGTATAGTTGTGCTGTACGGATGGTAGAACACTCTGCTTGGGCACTGATCAAAGCAGGTATTGCTGGAGTTCTGGGAGCATTTTGTCCATTGATTATTGAAGACTAGGTTTTTAAAATGAAAAAAGGTTTTACGTTTCTGCGAAGATCAATAAACATTATAAAAGCATGGAGTCCAGCTGGGGCACCCTTTCGAGTTGTGAGAATGTGCTGTTAAAACTTCCGTTTCTCCCCTCTTTCAGGAGACGTATCTGTCCTACATGATTCGCAGCAAAGTGAAGTTGTTGCAGTCGGGTGAAGTGGACCAGTCCTTGCTGACATTCGTCGATCGTGCCATGAAGGTGGAGCAGCGCAAGGCTGTGATTGAAACCTATTACAGCCAGGAGCTGAGCCTGCTGTACATCCTGCAGGACGATGTGGACCGGGCCAAGTACTACATAAACAACTGTATGGAGGTCTTCATGCAGGTCAGTGAGCACAGCTAACAGCTGATGGTCAAGCATGGTTGAGGGATTATTTGGGAGTGCTGCATTGCTGGATGAGATGCCATGAAATGGCATAGATCCATGGCATTATTTGAAAAGTGAAGGGAGTTTCTCTTGGTTTCCTTGCCAACAATCCCCCAAATAAAATTGGTCACTCACTCCATGGCAGTTTATGGGTTTTGGTGGGCACATTGGCTGTTGCATTTGCTCACAATATACACAGTCAATCCACTTTACAATATATCCTGTGAAGAGCTTTGGGATGCCTCCACAATGTGATCAGGTACTATATTGTGGAGTCTTGTAGCTCAGTGGTTAGGGCAGTTTTTTCACAAATGAGAGACCCTGGTTTGATTCCCGACAGGGCGAAATGTTGGCCAAGTTTCCTTACTCCACACGCCTCTGTTTGCCTAGCAGTAAGTAGGAACCCAGTTGTTAGTTGATTGGCAGATCACTTTTCTGGGGTTAATAATTCCTTCCAAATAAAAATAATAAATTGGTCAATCAATCCACAACTGTTTGTGGGACACTGCTGTGCAATTGGTTGATGTGTTTTGCCCACAAAATATACAGCCAATTCACTTTACAGTGTATTCTGTGAAGGCCTTTGAGACATCTCGAAGATGTGATAAGGCACTATATCAAATGCAAGGATTATTATTATTATATATTAAGTACAAGGATTATTATTTATGTGTGACAGCAAAGCCATAAAATGCCCCATTAATCTGGAAGATTGCTGGTCAGCACAAGAAAAATAGCTTTGATGGAATGGGGGAGAGCAATAGAGATCTTTCTTGAGCTAAATTGCTGATCATGGATCATGTATAATACTAAAAGTGAGCTAGCCTGAAATCTTTAAAAAAAAAGCCCCTTTTTGCTAATTGTCAGCTTGGTTCAGTTGGTAGCATCCTCGCCTTTAAGCTTGTCAGTTTAAGCCTCATGTCTGGACTTTGACCGTGCCTTCAGCTCCCCTCTCGACTCTCTTCCCCCTCCTCCGTCCCTCCCTTCCCTCCCCTCACCCTGACCATTTCCCCCCTCCTCTCTCCCTCCCTTCCCTCCCCTCACCCTGACCATTTCCCCCCTGCTCGGGTCATGACCCAACTGTGCAGCGCCTTGGGACGTCCTCCTGACGTGAAAGGCGCTTTATAAATGGAATCTTGTTGTTGTTGTTGTTGTTGGACTTGAGCTTGCAGTCTGTTGGTGAGCAATGCATTATTGGAGATGATATTCTTTGGATTTGATGTTAAGATGAGGTCCCATTGTCCTATTGAGTTGAATGCTAAAGATTCCACAGCACTATTTGGAAAGAAAAAGGAAACTTTCCTGGAGTCTTGGCCAACAGTTCTCCAAATAAACTCACTTCATTGCTGTGCGCAAAGGAGCTTCTGTGTTCTCCTACAAATACGCAATCACTACACTTGAGAAGTTAACTCCATCGAGAATTTTCAACATTGCAGGCTCCATATCAAGTGTAAGAGTTATAAAGGATTGTATTATTGTTATAAGTAACCTTTTAATGTTTACAAAGAAGATGAGTATTTATGCTACATGTCTTGATGTTTCTGATGGTGGGAAGTGGAAATGTCACACTAGTGCATGGGAAGGGGTCATCTTCTGAGGCTGAAGTTGAGACAGTTTTTCAGGAGACAAGAAGTAGAGAGTTTTACTCTGCACCCAATTGTGCTCAGTGTTGACACTGGGTACCCAGGACATTTTCGAAATATCTTCCATTCAGTCTTAATTTGAGATAACTCTTGACAACACAAAGCTAGTCTCCACACCTGTACTGGTGCTAGCTCATCCAATGGAGCTATATGCTCCAATCCCAATTCCCTGCTCTATCCCTGCTCCCTTTGTATGTGTTCCTCTTCAAAGACTTCTCTAATTCTACATGTGGCTATGGACTTGGCTTCAATGTGGCAAAACATTCCACATTCTAAGTCCATGTCAGAATAAGATCTATTTTCTCTGAAGCTCAACAGCTTGTACGTTATGTTAAATAGACTACCCTCAACAGATGGATTGATATTTCTCATCATCTTACAATGATTTGTGGTTAGATTTATATGTGACACATTTGCTCCATGTGCCCAGATGCACAAGACGCCCAAGGATGTTTCTCACCAAATAATGGGAGCCTCAGTCTCTGTTTGACATTAATTTCATTTAAAAGATGGTCGAGAAAGGAAATCTGAAATCCTGAGCAGATTCCAAATGCAGAATTGGTGCCTTTGAAGTCGCAGTTTATTGCGTGATTGCGTGATGTTCATTGAACAATGTTTTATACCTTTTGTTTTCCAGAATTATTCCAGCATTGACACGCTGTTACATCAAAGCCGGCTCACCAAGCTCCAGTCCCTTCAGGCAGTGACAGAGATGCAGGATTTTCTCCACTTTATCTCTAAAGAATGTAAGATTCATCAGCTGTTGAACAATAATTGGGAAAGCAATAACAGCAATTTCATAGCAAAGTCTTTTAATATTTCGGATGAAAACCTCACTTACTAAATACCGAGTGCCTGAAACCTCTGACTCTTAACCCTAAGATCATTGCCTTAAATTTTGTTGAAAACCCGAATGGCAAACCCCCGATTTGCATTAACTTCCATGCAATCGTTTGTGGCTGCTCTTGAGATGCCACTATGGAGTCTTAATCTCAGGAACTTTTTCAAAGTTCTGCTTCCTCACTCAAGTGATCATTATTTATGTGTGAGTCACGATAGTGAGTGTTTGAAGGCTAGTCAACCTTGGCGGTGGTGGAGCTTGGGATATCACAACTGAGCTCATTCATGTCCTGTGATGTCTACATCACATCCACTTGTTAGTTGAAACAAAATTCCCCACTATTTCCTCTGGTGGGGAAATGCAGAACAAGGAGGCTTAGTCTAAAAATTAGAGCTAGGCCATTTAAGAGTGAAATCAGGAAGCATATTTTCATGGAAAGGGTAGTGGAAATCTGGAACTCTCTCCCCCAAAAGGCTGTGGATGCTGAATCCATTCAAATTATATACAAATTATATGCTTTTCTCTCCACACAATATACAGTCAATTCACTTTAGAAAATATTCTGTGAATGCTTTCAGACATCTCAAAGGCGCTACATCAAGTGCAAGGATTATTATTATAAATTTTGCAAAACATTGGGCAGATTTCACCCGCTTCTGTTTACCTATAGTAAGTAGGAACCCGGTTGTTAGTCGACTGTCAGATCACTTTCCGAGAGTAATAATCCCTTCAAAAAATATTTGGTCGCTCAATCCACGATTGTGAGACACTGCTGTGTGCAACTGTCTGCGCGTTTCGCCCACAAAATACAGTCAGTCCACTTTACAGTATATTCTGTGAAGCGCTTTGAGATGTTTCGATGACTTGATAAGGCGCTATATGAAGTGCAAGGATTATTATATTGGTCTTTAAAGTTCATAATACAATGAAGTGCAGATCAGCCGTGATCTAATAGAATGGCGGAACAGGCTCGAGGGGCTGAATGGCCTACTCCTTTCTATGTTCCTAAAAGAAGAAATGGATAAAGATTAGGAACAGGAGCACTGGCTAATTATTTGCTCCTTAACCCAGAACATTGAGCACCCCATCTATAGTCATGACTGACATTACCTGACTCAGCACAAAATGAGATTTAACTTTCTGTTCTGTATGGTCAAGTGCACTGGATTCTGCATTTACACACTAGGCTGTCTGGTGAAATGTATCTATATGTTAAGAATAACTTTTTCTTAAAAATTACACTCCACATCTGTATATACGACAAATGGCATTTATATAAAGTTCTCGTGGTGTGTTTTCCAGATAATTTCATCTCTGAAGTCCCACTCCGGAAACTGTTGAGAACATGGACAGGCCGATACCCTGATGCAAAAATGGATCCTATGAGCATATGGGATGATGTCATCACAAACCGGTAAGAGAGAGTGGGGGTCGAATAAAAATAGACCATCCAGCTTTCTGTACACATCTTCACTGCCCAACAATCCTCTAAATAACTGAGTTGCTCAATTATTCCTGATTATCGGTAATAATAGTAATGCTTACTTTTGGTACAGCACCTTTCACAATGGGGGGGATCGTCTCAAAATGCTTCGCAGGATATACGTCCTCCCGCCGTGAAAGGTGCTATACAAATGTAATCTTGTTGTAAAGTGGAGTGGCTGTGTTTTGTGCAACCATGTTGTGAGCAAATTGCCTGTCGTCCCGTTCGCCTACAAATATAGTCACTACCCACGACAGCAAGTATCTGTGAGGCAATATGAGATGCTTTAACACTTGGCACTGTATCAAATATAAGAATTATTATCATTAATATTACAGTGTTTACCGAATGTGTAATTGCACATTGTTTGGGTGTGTACAGGCCGTGGTAGACACACTCCTGTTGTTGTCAGTTCCTGTGCGTGATGCAAGTGTTGCAAGTGACATCAGCAGTGCTTCTTGTGCAGAACGTAGATACACAACCTGCAGCAAGTTATTTCAGTGGAACCTCCTGTGCATAGCAATCGATTAGCAGGATGTGACATCAGCTGAGACCTGATGACCCGGAAGTCAGGACTTTTATGTCAAGAGGTCTGAGATATTGGGACCCAGATCACTGTGGTTTATAATCGGACTGTCCTGCATTCTACACTGTTTGTTGCAGGTTTTGGTGTGGGGACGTTTTATAACTGTTTTTGTTTTGAAATATGGCAGATGCTTCTTCCTTGACAAGATCCAGGAGAGACTCGTGTCTGTACAGGCCGACGAGAGTATGGAGGTGGACAGAGAGGGAGAGGTCGAGACTAGAATGGAGGTGGACAAAGAGGAGGAGGACATCAACATGGCCATAAGAAGCTGTAAATTTAACATGAAGTTAAAAATGGCAGAGAGTGGGACAAAACAGGTACAACACAACGTCTGGCATTTACACAGCGCAGCTGGCGGCGAATTGCTGTGATTTTGGCAGATAGATCACAGTGATTATTTTCAATCCTGTACATTTCTATGTTCTCATTTTATTTCAGCTTGGGTGGGGGTGGGGGGCTGGGGGTGGAAAGAGAAACGTGAAACCTCCCACAATCTAGCTATCTTCTGTAAGTGAACTGTTGTGGCATGGCAGTGATTCAATTACCGTCACAATCATTATTTCTCTGTCTTCCTCCCTCCCCCTCAGGCATTTCTACATGGAACTATACAAATCGAAGCACAGAAGAAGGTCATTTGGCCACTGTGTCTGTGTCGGCTCTTTTAAAGTGCAATTCTTTCAGTCCCATTTACCTGCCCTTTCTCCATACCTCTGTAGTTTACAAGGAAATAAATTAGGCAAAAAGGAGGATTTCAAGCAAAGTCATGTTTGAGGACCTATGGCCAACTTTAAATGGAGGCCATTGTAAAACGTCCAGATACGGAAGGTGGCATCTGAATGACAGTGTGGGTCAGTGCTTACAGTTTGTGTTCCTCTTGTTTCAGAACAACTTTGCAGTGGCGATGAAGCTGCTGAAAGAGCTTCACAAAGAATCAAAGGCCAGAGACGATTGGGCTGTGAAATGGACGCACACTTACAGCCGCCTCAGCCACAGACGCAGCCAGAGGCAAGCCAGGCCCGAGCAGGTCGTGACCGTGCTGAAGAGCATTCCCTTGCTGGGTAAGGCCTGGCCTGGGCACTTTGTCATACTATCACTTCAAAACAAAATCTTTACAATAGCAATATAGCCACCTCATAGCTTTCCAACTGCATAGTCACCCTTTTTAACCATTTTAATCAGACATGCTTTAAAAAGGTATGCGTTTCCTCCCATTAAAAACATTTATAGAGTTGCCAGGCAAGTAGAGAGACCATCGAGTGCAGCACTGAGAGTCACTCGGGTTTACACTCAGCTAGACAAGGTCAACAAAGGCAATAGTGGGTCAGGCACAGTTGTCCGTCAGCGCGTCAGAGAGCAAAGCAGTGGGTTTTCCATTCCCCCCTCCCCTCATCCCTATCCAGATTATTCCTCTACTGGAAGGTGCACCTGTGTCAATGTGGAAAAAGAACAGAATCGGCCCCGGCTTTACCTCTGCAATTGAATAGCCAGTCACTAAAAATCAATCTCAAGGCTGACACACTACTTGAGTGCCTATGGAATATGTCTTTAATAATAATAACAATCCTTGCATTATATATAACGCCTTACCACGTCATGGAGACGTCTCAAAGCGCTTCACAGAATATACTGTAAAGTGAATTGGTTGTATATTTTGTGGGCGAAACGCGCAGCCAGTTGCGCACAGCAGTGTCCCAATAGATAGTAAGAGGACTCAGGCGCCTTCAGGAGATGAAGAAGGGAGTGACGAGAAAACTGTAACAACAACAAAACAAAACCTCATGAAGTTCAATTGAAGAACGAGAAAACATTCCACTGGCACAGCTTCAGCCGCTGTGTTACAGAGGTTCGTTGTGAGACAAGCTGCCCGTGAATTCCAGTCTGTGGTCGTGCTGAGGGATACATGGGGTAACACCAGGCCACGGCTCAGGAGAAAACTATACCCATGTTAGCGGCTGAATTGAGAGCAACGCAGCATAGAAGCCTGTTACCCTGTCAGCCCAGGAATGGCATCTTTGCAGAAGAAGATATAAAAGGCAGAGGAGCAAAAATAAAACCATGAAAGACAAGTCACGTGTTTTTCTTTCATGTTTATCTTAGGGGTGGAGTGCAAAAAAAAACTCCTGCACTCTTCAGGGGAATTGAAACGTGTTTTAACAGCTTCAGGTGTGGGAGCAAATTTCTCGTTCAGTGTGCAAGGTGCTGTGGGCGTGAATGTGCAGCCTTACTGTCTGTTGGAATGCTGCCGGCACATTATATCACGCGACATAAATTTGCCAGGCAGGATTGGTAACTGGCGAGAAACACTGTGTGTTCTGGTCGACTTCTGCTCCCACCGTGAGCTCAACAACAACTTGCATCCATGTAGCGCGCTTTGAGTGCGGTAGTGTCTCTGGACGCTTAACAGTGGTGGAGTTTGAAGCCAGGCCAGGGAGAGACAAGAGGTGACCATAAGCACGCTAAAAGAGAAAGATTTTAAGGTGCGATCTGAAGACAGTCAAGGAGGGGAGAATGGGAAGGGATTGAGGCAGAGGCCTGGTGGCTGAAAGCCAACAATAGTGGAGTAAAGGGATGAGGTACATACAGGAGACCAGACACAGCTAAGTGAAATGGGTGGGTAGAGGTGTGGGGTCTACTCGACATATGCAAGGATTTGTGATTCACAAGTTACAAACCCCTTTGCAAATTTCCTAAATTAAATTAGCCTGCCTTTTCCTCCCTGCCCCCCACCCCCACACACACCCACATAGAATCATAGAATTATATAGCACAGAAGGAGGCCATTTGGCCCATCATATCTGTGCCAGCGCTTTGAAGAGAATCTTCCAAATTAATCCACTCTCCCGCGCTCTCCCCATAGCCCTGCAAACTTGTCCTCCCCAAATATCACTGAAACACCTCCTTCAGAGGAAGTGAATGATCTGAGCAATTGGAATGTCATTTGAAACACTGTTGTCTCAAATTTGTCTTATTTTCATACAGTTGAAATCAATGTGGATTATCTGAATACCCACACACGTATTCTCCGGGACCAGAACACACTTCTTGGTTCAAGCTACTGCATCCTGGCTGACGCTCTGAATAAGGAGCCCACATGCCTTCAAAGAATCAAGGAGGACCAAGCCGAACGTGTAATTGAACATTCTGGCTCCAGCAGTGAGGAAATACAGGAGGTAACAATTCAATTCTTCATTCGCATTTCTGCCACACATCACAGGATTCAGTCTGCCTAGGTCCAGACTGTTGGAAACTTCATGTGAAAAAAAACTCCTCTGCCCCCGGCGAACTGGCTGACAATTCCTCCAGATAAAATTGGTCTTGGTTTCACAGCTTTTTGTGGGAAATTGCTGTAAGCCAAATTAGCTGTCGCATTTGCCTTTGAAAATTTTTTACAAAAGCGCTTTGAAACGTCTCTGCAACGTGATAAGGGACTATATTAAATGCATGTATTATTATTATTACTACTACCATATGACCTGTACATCTGGCTAATGGGCACAGAAGTGCAGAATAAGACTCTGTGACAGGCATTAGAAATGTAGTGAGTAACAGGACTCACTTTGATGGGATTTGTTCTTGTGGTGCAGGTTGTGATTGGATTACACAGAAAGACCCTTCATTACCTAGAACGTGCTGTACGAAAAGCCGAGGAAGAGGTGCAGTCCCTCGCTGGGGAGCACGTGGACATCGCCGGAGTGATTGAGGCGTACGTGAATTTGGCAAACTTCTGTGATCGGTGTCTGCGAGAGAAAGAAGAGAGTGCGACGGGTGAGAGCATAAGCAAGTTTTTAAACCAGCTCTGTACCGGAAGTGTGACAGTAACCAGCTCTAAACAGAATTGCTCTGTTAAAAAAAAGCCTTTGTATGAAGAAATAATAATAATCCTTTCATTTACGTTAGCACCTATAACTTTGAGACTTTCACGGGTAATTGCTCTGAGGTGTAGTGACTGTGTATGTGTAAGCAGGTCCCAGAAACAGCCTTATGTTTTGCACACAAAATGCAAAGTCAATTCACTTTACAGTATATTCTGTGCAGCGCTTTGAGACGTCATGAAGAAGTTATGAGTTTTATCAGATGCAAGAAATATTATTATTTAAAGTGAATGGCCAATTTTTCTGGAGAATTGTTGACCAGGACACTGGGAAAAACATTTCCCTTCCGAATCATATCATGAGTACTGCATTGTCATTGGTACAACCTTTAGATAAGAAGTTAAACTGAGGCCCTGTGCACTTGCAGGCAAGGGGACTTTGGTTAATGCTTCACCCGAAGGATGCCACCTCCAACCATGCAGCATTACCCCAGTATTATACTGGAGTGTCAGCCTAAACTATGAGCTCAAGTCATGATATGGGGGCTTGAACCCACAACCGACTAACCAAGAGGTCAAAGTGCTGCAAACTCAGGCTTTCACTACATTTATTCTGCAGCACTTAATGCACCTCCCTCAATTCTTCAACATTCTCAAAAGTGGTGCTGAGCAGGATAAAGCAATCAAATCTTTGGGGATATTGGATAACCTACTTGTATGTGTGTGTTTTGTTTTAATTGTTTGTAATAAATGTATTTGTTACAGCCATCAATTTCTCTGAGCAGCAGACTTTTCCAGCTTGTGTTGTGGAAAAAATATTAAAAGCGATGAAGTACAATTCAAAGGAGGCCAGGCTCAAGTTTCCACGATTGTTACAAATTGTAAAATTATATTCGGCTGAGACTCTGGATCTAATGAAAAAAGAGGTAATGAAATGTGCTGAGTGACCGATCGGACTTTCACACGTCAGAGATTGGAATGTTCACCTAGCTTTGCCTTAAATTTCACTATCGTGCAGTTTTGCAAAATTCAGCCCTTAATTTGAAGGTCGTTACCTGGAGTTTTACGTAAAAAATGTTTTAAGTCAGTCGCCATAAATGGGGTGTTCGAATGGAGCGGCAAGAGATCAGAAAAGGAGAGGCAGAGTGAAAGAGCAATTTAAAATTTAAAACCTTGCTTTGTGCATCAGATTTCTGGAGGTGGTGGTAAGCAAAATTGGATCTATTGATCTATGCTTACTTTGTTTCTCACAATAGTCAATCCTACTCACAAGATCACAAGATTGGTCTGGATGAAGAAGGCCCTTTGGCCCATCCGATCTCATCCTTCCAAAACATCTACCTTAACGCTCCCACCATTACAGCATCAAGCTGCTTTTTAAATGAGAACAATGTCCTGACCTCAACCACCTTTCCTGGCAACCTGTTCCAGTCACTAATTACTCTGAGTAAAGAAAGTCTTCCTTGTGCCTGTCCTGAAATTGCCCTTTACAACACTGTATGTTTACAGTACTTTACCATATGCATACTAAAGTATTGATTTAGGTTTACTTTTTCAATCCCATTTAAAATTTGACACTCCTCTATTCTGAATTTAACAAGTAGAGCAAGGGTCCTGCTGCTTTGTTTAATGTGGAAGCAAATTTAGTTGGAAAGTATGGTAGAAGATGATGTTCTTGTACGATTATCAGGTGTCCTCCGTCCCCTGCTGGCAGTTCATCGGCTGGATCAATCAGATGATGGCCGAACTTGACAAAAAGGAAGCTGTTGTGGTACAGCACATCATAGAGGAGATTGCAGATTCCTACCCACAGGCTATTGTCTACCCACTTATGATCAGCAGTGAAAGCTATACCTTTGAACAGACCGCACGTGGCAACACAAACAAGGAGTTTGTGGAGAGGTGAAAGAGATGCTGTTAACTGGTCACTAGTTGATTAAGAATAATAATCCTTGGTATGGCACCTTATCATATCGTTGAGACATCTCAAAGCACTTCATAGAATATATTGTAAAGTGCATTAACTGTGTAAATAATAATAATCCTTGCTTTTGTATAGGTACTTATCACGTCAGAAGGCTGCATCCAAACACTCCGCAGGATTTATGTAAAAATACAAATGCAAGGATTGTAACGTTCAGTGATTGTATATTTGTAGGTGACCCATTTGCACACAGCAGTGTCCCACAAACAGCCATGAAGTGAATGACCAGTTTTGTTTGGGGGATTGTTGGCCAGGACACTAGGAGAAACTCCCCTTTTCGAGTAGTACCATGGGATCTTTAGCGTCCACCCGAACAGGCAGATGAAACCTTAGTTTAATATCTCATGTGAAGAACGGCACCTTTGACAATGCCACACATCCTCAGTGCTTCACTGGAGTGTTTACCAGACTGTGTGAGTTGACAGTGACTTCTGACTCCAGAGGCAAGAGTACAACCAACCAAGCCTGAAGCTGAATTTTATCTTTTTCAAACATTGTCTCCAGTTAGTATTTCTTTGGCTTCCTTCATTATCTTAGACTTAACAACCCTCCAAATCAGCTCCAATGTGTCCAAATCAAACTGCCTTTAAACCCTCCTATTTGTACCAGCCCTAATTCATCAGTATTCCTTTGGAGATTAGTTGACCAGTAGAGACATTGACCACTGGAGAGTCCATTTAACTTTCTTGAACTTGGGAGTTTATACTAAAGTTACTATATTGTGGTAGTCTTTCCTTACTTAATTACCATCTCATACCTTACAGATGTTTTCAACCTCTGTACAGTTTCCCATTCTGCTCCACACACATGACCATTCAAAGTGCAAAAAGTACACACAGAGGAAAATAAAGGGGATGTTATTGCTCAAAATATCCTTAGTTGTACATCTGTTTTCATCTGTTCTTAGAAATCTTGCAATTATACACTCACTTATAATAATGATCCATGCATTTGATCATCACGTCAAAATATATCAAACTGCTTTACAGAGTTTATTGCAGTGAATTAGGTGCGAATATGTGGGTGAATAAATGTAGACTTTAGTCAGCCTGGTTAACTAATAATAATCTTTACATTTGGTGTAGCGCCTTTCACGTCGAGAGGATGTCCCAATGCGCTTCACAAGATATACTGTATTTTATGTAGAGTTTGATACATTTCAAAGTGATAAGGCATTTATTTCTGTTTTTCTCTAGATTGAAGAATAAACTGGATAAAGGTGGTATGGTTGAAGTTTTCATTAATTCCTTGGAACAACTGAGTAATCCAGACATGCTCTTTAAGGTAACATTCAGAATTCAGTTATATGTTATGCTTAATTAAATGCAAACAATGCAAGATATATAATGTAGAAACGGGCAATACATTATGCACTAGATTCACAGGCCACTTCAGTGCAATTAGAAATAAAAATAGGGATAAATGAATCACTTGGGGCCCCCAGAGAGGTCATTTGGGTACTGGTGGAGTCCAGCCAGCTTAACAGCATAGTTTGCCATTGAAAGTTTGTCCTGCTTGTTGGCCTCCCCAATTCCTCCCTCCCATCAGCTGCAGATCATCCAGAACTCTGCAGCCTATGTCCTCTCCCGCACCAGACTCCGCGACCCAATCACCCCCATCTTCGCCCGACTCCATTGGCTTCCCATCACACAGAGGATACAGTTCAAGATCCTGGTGCTCACTTTTGAAGCCCTCCATGGCCTTGCTCCCCCCTACCTCTGTGACTTGCTAACCCCCTACCAACCTGCCCACTCCCTCACTCAGCAGGCTCCGGCTTGCTTCATGTCTCCCGCCTCGCCCACCCCACCATCAGTGGGCGGGCCTTCAGCCACTCTGCCCCCACCCTCTAAAACTCCATCCTGCAGTCCCTCCGCCTCACCCCCTCCCTTGCCTCCTTCAAGATCGGTCTCAAGACTCATCCTCTTCGACCGTGCCTTCGGACACACTCCGTCCCCCCCTGCCCTCCAGATCCGGACCCTCAGCTCGAAACACTGATTGTCCAGCGCCTTGGGACATCCTCCCGATGTGAAAGGTGCTATACAAATGTAATTTTGTTGTTGGTGGAGTCCAGCCAGCTAAACAGCATAGTTTCCCATTGAAAGCACTGTCTGGCAAGTTTTTCGTTGTTTGTCCATTTAGGACGACTATGCGTTAGAGCTTTGGCTTGAGAATTAAACCTACCCCAGTGACTGGCCTGCCCCAATAAATCCTACCGAGGAGCCAGGCTGGCTGGTTTGTCATCAGCAGTGTCCTGGAATGCAGCGGACTTGCCTGATTCAGTAACTGGACTACTGAGATCACCATAGAGGGTTGACTCGATTCTGACAATCCATTGCCAAGCATGTTACCTTGGAGATAGTTCAGCTCCAAGGAAACCTGTTTATTTCCCCTACAAGGAGGAAAGTTAAAGCTCAAAATATCCTCAAAGTGAGGATAGTCGAAATAAACACAATGTCCTGACTTGAGACTCAGGAATACTAACCGAGTTAGGTTGACACCAGCGTGAACAAGAGGGTCCCAGTCAGTGCAGCACTAGATATACTACAATCAGCCTCAATCAATTAATAACATGTCTGATGTGTTTACTTTTTAAACAGGATTGGGTTGATAACTTCAGGTCCAAACTGGAAAAGAAAGAGAACAAAACTCAGCTGAAAAACCTTTACAGTGAGATGTATTCAAACTTAGCAAATGCGGGCGCCCCAGGCATTGGTGCATTCAGAAGAAGATTTGTTACGGTTGGTAAAAGCGACTGTAGTAACATAGGTACTTGAAGTGAGACTCTTGAGTCAAAAGATTATGGGTTCAAGCCCCACTTTGAGACATTGAACTCACACAATCACGGCTGGCACTCCAGGGCAGTTTGGCGGGGTGGGGGAACTGTTAATATTGGAGGTACCATTCTTTGAATGAGACATTAAACCGAGGTCTCCGTTCTGCCTGTTCAAGTGGACATTAAAGATCCTGTGGCACTATTCACAAAGAGAAGGGAGTTTTTCTGGGTGTCCTGGCTAATAAAACCCTCCAAATAAAATTGATCAGTGCCTCCATGGCTGTTTGTGGGGCATTTCTGTGTGCAACTTGGTTGCTATGGTTACCCACAAACACTCAGTCACTACACTTCCCAATAAAATCCTTTGAACAGCTTTGAGACATGATAAGGCGCTATATCAAATGTAAAGATGATTATTAGTTTTATTGTTTATGAATGTATAGACCGGGAGTCTGGATCTTTGTGTCATTTCTTTCTTTGGAAACATAATTCTTCATAATCATCCTTTTCAAACTTCAGGGTTTTAAAAAGAAGATTGACCAGCATTTTGGAAAAGATGGGTTACTTCTACTGAATATGAACCTAAAAGCATTTAATGTTGCTGTAGGACAAATAATGGAAACCCAGAAACCGGAGCCACCCGGAAACCTCAAAGAATATTCTCCTTGGATGAGTAATTTCAAGCCCCAGTTTCTAGGGAATGAATTGGAAATACCTGGCAAGTGACATCCTCTTTACTGTAATAACAACCGTGATGGGGGGAATGGTAGGGTGGATGTTCTGGAAGGATGAGATCACAAGGGCTGGAGGGCGTTTTTCATCCAGACCAATCTTGTGAACGCTGCTTTTCTGTGATTTACTTTCAGAAGGGTTCACGCTCAGGGAGGTGGGGTGGTGGGCGGAAGGCTACCTATAGACATCCCCACTTGGATTCCTTGTTATGGAATTATATTAGAAATTGCCATAAATTACACCAACCCCACCTCCCCCCTCCCCACTGTTTGAACTTTTTAAATTTTAGCTTTCAATTATGATTTCAAATGTTTGTAATGTATACCTATCCAGTCATTTTATAAACTTCCCCATTTTGCTGAAGTGGGGAGGAGTTGAATGTTGTAGGCAGTGTTGAAAAGTAACTCTAGAGTTTAACCGTTCACTTCAGTGAGGAGACCTCATCGTGTTTAGGACCGATACAATACAGTTTATATTTGTGCAACACCTTTCACGTCAGGAGGTGTCTCACACTGCTGGCTACGCATTCAAGCTGGAGGGTGGAGTGTAGGTGGGAACTGAAGATGGTGGAGAGGGCAAAGATGACTGAAAGTACTGGCAGGAGGGATAGAGTGGGTAAAAGGTCTACAGCATATGTTTTTTTTTAATATATTGTAGGACAGTACGATGGTAAATGCAAACCTTTGCCGGAATACCACGCAAAGATCACAGGCTTCGATGAACGGGTATGAACATATTATAAATTCATAAATACCTGCAAGCAGATGTTGATAAATTTAGCACTTCCCTGTGGAAGATAGTCTGTATTGTTGGGATTATTCTTTTACTGTTGTGTTTTTTTATTACTTTGTTAATCATTTTCCAAAGCCGTGCCAGAATACAAAGAGAGCATACAACAACAGTCAGAAATATGTAGCGATAATTCAATAAAGATTACTAATTGTGTCTGGATCCAAAGCTAATGTGAAAGTATTTATCTGGGCAACAGATGTAAACATGTCTCTTTTGATGTGCATGAAATGTTTAGAATGAGTAATGTGGGAAAAACAGAATAATGGCATTTTCTGGGGTCAGGGTTGTGAAGTGTTGTACGGGGTATGGAGAAAGGGAGCACACATGCACGAGTAGTGTTCAGTGAAGTTTGGAGCCAGAGTGCACTATTAAACCTGTTCTGAAAACAATGATCAGATTGTGAGAAGAAATTCTTGCTGTGTGCTCGGAGGCCCTCTCCGGCTTCACTAATGCTTGTAGGCTATATTTGACAGGTGATATTCCCATGTCTAAGGTGCTAAAGTCTTGTCTTTTTATGCAGGTAAAAGTTATGAGTTCTATACGGAAGCCAAAGAGACTAATAATTCGCGGGAATGATGAGAAGGAATATCCTTTCCTCGTGAAGGGCGGGGAGGATTTGCGTCAGGATCAGCGGATAGAGCAGCTGTTTGAGGTCATGAATATCATCCTCTCTCGAGATGCAGCCTGCAGTCAAAGGAGTTTGCAGCTGAAGACATATCAAGTAATTCCTATGACGTCTAGGTACTGCTACAAACTTACACATTAAAGGCTGTGCAATGAAAACTGCCAGGTCATCTTTATACTGGGCAGAGTTTCTGACTGTTCGATTATTGTCAAATAAAAGGTGTGAAATTTTTTTTTTTTTTGCTTTTAAGACTTGGGCTGATTGAATGGCTGGACAACACTTGCACACTGAAGGATTTTCTTTCCAGCAACATAACTGAGGAGACGCAATCAAGGTAATGTTTTATGTGGTTATTTCAGTGTACAAACTGGTTAAGAAAGCCCAGTGGGAACCAAGTCATTCCTCAGGATAAATGTTGCACTGAGTCTAAAGGGCTTTAACACAATGAAGGCTTGGTAGATCCCTGAACTGACCTGAGCATATTCTGATTCACTGACGTAAAAAAATATATAATAATAAATAATGTAAATTTTAGAAATAGCTTTTGGTAGTCTGGTTGGTATTTAACAGTTTAAGCCACCATTTACATTATTATTTAAACTTAATTTATTATTAATAATAATCCTTGCATTTGATATAGCACTTTAATCATGTCATCAAGAAGACTTCATAGGAATGACTGTATAGTGTAGTGATTGTATTTTGTAGGTGGTCAAAGCAGCCAATTTGAACAGAACAATGTCCCACAAACAGCCATTTTATTTGGGGGATTGTTGGCCAGGACACTAGGAGAAATTTTCCTTCTCTTCGAATAGTGCCATAGGAGCATTAACATCCACCTAAGCAGGAAGACAGGACCCTTGCTTAATGTCGCATCCGAAGGATGACACCTCCAGCAATGCAGCGCACCCCCAGCACTGCACGGGGGGAGCTCAGTCCTGACATGGGGCTTGAACCCACAACCTTCTGACTCAGAAGATACAAACCTTCTGACCCAGAGGCGAGAGTGCGTACTATACCAGTCCAAAAATAATGCATAAAGTTCCTTTAAACACAACAGCAAAATAAATAATAGTTATTGTATCTTTAAAAATGTTACGTTTGCTGGTGTTAAAATTACTAATATTGGAACAAAATGCATTCTGTAAAACCTGCTCCACTGCACAACTTCNTTTTTTTTTATTCCCTAATTGCAATAAGAAGACAACAGGAGGTGTTGCCAAAGTACAGAGAATGGTTACAGAAGATGGCAGGAAGGAAAGACATGTTTCTGCGATATCCAACTATGTACCTGTGAGTAAATTCAAAAGTTAAAGAGCAATATTTACACCGCAGTACGATACAACACAAAATTATGTATCGCGCCTTTCACATCGAGAGAATGTCTCAAGGCACTGGACAGTCAGGGATTTGGATCCATGCAGACCTAATGCTGTGGACACTGCTGCCAGTCCATCATCTATCTCAGCAGATAACTGAGATTCCACTATCTATAAAGAAACTAACTACATAATAATAATAATAATCCTTTCATTTGATATAGCGCTTTTCACGTCAGGAGGACGTTCCAAAGCGCTTCACAGAACACACTGTAAAGTGAATTGACTGTATATTTGTGGGCGAACGCGGCAGCCAATTGCGCACAGCAATGTCCCACAAACAGTCGTAGATTGAAAATGACCAATTTATTATTGTTTTGATTTTTGGAGGGATTATTATTAGGCTTTGTGTGGAGTAAGGAAACTTGCCCAAGGTTTCACCCTGACCTGCCTGGAATTGAACTCAGGTCTCTCACTTGCAAAGCGAGTGCTCTAACCACTGAGCTACAGGACTCCACTCCTGTTTCCAGGCTAAATTATTCTCCTTTTTCAAATTTCAATGATAAACATATTGTACAATCTTTTTAAATTAATATTTCCATGTGTGGCACCATTGAAATGTGCTGGTATGCCATGGGAATGGATTGCATCTGATTATGTCAAATAATCTGCTGCTGTTCCTAATCACTGTCCAGAGACAACCTGATGAATGGTGTGGTGAGTCTGTGGATGTTGGGTGAGGTGTTTAAATAACCCGCCAACACGCAACTTTCAAAGTGTGAAATGTATAAATCTAAATGTTAATGTAATGTTACTTGTAAAGTAAACTTAACAGTTTATTAGTGCATAATGTTATATACCTTAGCAATTGACTATTCTAGCAAGGTGTTGAGTCCACTGCCTGGAGTGCAAGGAATAGTGTTTTTCTCATTGTGAGAAGAAATGAGATTGATCCCCTTGTAATGCTGTACGTTGTGTTTTGCATGAGGACTTGCTATCCACACAACAGGGCAGAGATCAGAGTAAGGATTATTGATGTTATAACTTTACTTTGACCACAGAAAAGCCAGTCGGACTGAAACAGTCACAGCTTTCAGAACTCATGAACAAGCTATACCAGGTGATCTGCTCAGGTAAGTAACGGCATCATCAGTATCTAAATTTCTCTGTATATACACTCTGCTTCTGATGAGATCTTGGGGTGGAGCAGAGTTTCCCTGAATGGCATGGGTGCATGTCAGGAAATGCAGTATCATGCTGAGACACTATTTTTGCCGTCTTTTTTCCCCCCGACGAGTGTTTATTTTAAACTTCCTTTCTCTGCAGAACAAGAAAGTNAAAAAGTGTAGCAAAATATTTAATGAGTCAGAGGCACAATATTCTTCTCTTGTATTTTTTATGTTATTGCAGTAGTTCTCCAGTTTACATCTTTCAGCTTTACGACTGCAATGCAATGGGAGCTGCAATTTGGCTTAATTAGGAGCTGGAGGAACTCGGCCCCAGAAGCCTATTGCATTCAAGAGGAGTTCCCCCTCCATGTGCTTTCACTTACTGGAAAGAATCCCAATTCACATATTATTATTATTATTTTAGTTTCATATTAAGAAATTCCACTAGAAATTGCCCCATTCTCAATTAAACAATAATGAGATTTTGCTTCAAAGTGTTCATCTTTGTGTGTTACAGATGTAGAGGGTTATTTTTGTAAAAAAAAGTCTTAAAGAAGAAGCAATGATTTCACACTGTGAGACACTGCTGTGCGCAATTGACTGCTGCGTTTCGCCCACAACATATGCAGTCAATTCACTTTTCAGTGTAAACAAAACACTGCAGATGCTGGAAATCTGAAACAAAAACAGAAGTCGCTGGGAACACTCAGCAGGTCAGGCAGCATTTATGGAGAAAGGAAAGTGAGTCAATGTTTCGGGTCCACGATCCTGTGTTTCGGGTACACCGACCTTTCTCCGTAGATGCTGCGTGACCTGCTGAGTGTTCCCAGCGACTTCTGTTTTTGTTTCACTTTACAGTATATTCTGTGAAGGTGCTATATCAAATGCAAGGATTATTCTTATTTATTTCATGTCCTAGTGAGTGTAGAAAATGAAGTTCACCAAACAAAACATGGAGAATATTTATCTTAACTTTTCCCATCCTGGTGCATTTTTCTTTTCCCTGAAAAATCCAGTGACCGTGGAATCAACTTGAGTTTCTTGTAATTATTTTTTTGTTTTCCTAATTGTTGTTGCCCCTCACTCATTCTATTCAGGAGAGCATTTATAAAGATGAGCACAACCCCCGAAGCATTCCTGGCTCTCCGCTCCCACTTTGCCAGTTCTCATGCGTTAATGTGTATCAGCCATTGGATTCTGGGCATTGGCGATCGTCACCTCTCCAACTTCATGGTTAACCTGGAAACCGGAGGCATGGTGGGGATAGACTTTGGCCATGCATTTGGCTCTGCTACACAGGTACAGTATCAATAACAACTTGTAATCGTATACCCGGCTTCACATAGGATAACATCTCGGAGCACATCACAATGACAGGGTCGGACACTGAGCAGAGGAGAGTGGGAGGTGTCCACTGGCGCGGTCGAAGAGGTAGGTTTTAATGCGGGACTTGGAGACAGATAGAGAGGGAGCAAGACGGAGTTGTAGAGGGAGGGAGTTCCAGAAGTTTAAGGTTGTAGAATCTGAAAGCTCGGCCATCAATGCTGGGGAGGGAGAGGGCAGAAAAAAGCAAGCCTGGGTTAGCCGAGCTGCGAGGGTGAGCAGAGGAGGTCAGAGAGATAGGAAGGTGCTTTTAGGAGGTTGAAAGTGTTCCTGTGCAAAACGTTAAGAAGGAACTCACTCCACTTTACTTGTCATTCCATTTAATACGTAATTACAGTAAGACCCACTTAAGTCTCATCTTTATAATTATATAATCTCCTAAATCGTACATGCACCCAATCAGTTTCCTATCACAAGCAGTTCATTTCTTTGCATCACTCGTATTAATCACCTCCTAAATCATAATACCACAACAACTTGCATTTATATAGCGCCCTTCTTGCGAGATAGGTCTTTAGGTGCGATTTGAAAGTGGGGAGAGAGGGGGCAAGGCAGAGGCAGCGGGTGGTGGAGTAGGGGGTCAGCAGAGCGGATAGATAGGGAGGTGCAAGAGCATGAAGGATTGAAAAACGAATGAAAGGATCTTGAAATTAATCCGTTCAGTAATTGGGAGCCAGTGGAGCCTGGTAAGCACTGGTGTGATGGGGGTACCGAGTTTTGTGCAGGTGAGTATCCGGGCAGCGGAGTTTTGAATTAATTGAATTTTGTGTAAGGTGGAGCTGGGGAGAGCAGCGAGGAGAGCATTGGAATAGTCCAGCTGGAAAGTTGCAAAGGCGTAGATGAGAGTTTCGGCTGCATTTGTTGCGAGGTATGGACGGAGGTGGGCAATGTGATGAGGTTTGCGTCACATTGCCCACCTCCGTCCGTACCTCGCAACAAATGCAGCCAAAACCCTCATCTATGCCTTTGCAACTTTGCAGGAAATTTGCGTTCATCCAAGCCTTGAAGTGTGTCAAACAAGTTGACAGGACATCAGCACGCTGGGAGTCACAGCTGGAGGAGAAGTAGATTTGGGTGTCATCCGCACATATGTGGAAGTTGACTCCATGTCCGCGGATGACATTGCCGAGAGGGAGAATGCAGAGAACACCACTCCCCTATTCTGCATTACTCCCGCACTGACCGGCATTGAATTGCGGGAAATGTCATCTTGATTTGTCAACGCACGCGAAAAAGAACTTAATTTCCCATGACTCAATGCTTCTCGGTAATAGCGAATGCGGCGACAGGTCAAGATGCATTGAATCGGGGGAAATGTAGTGACAAATTACCACAAGCAAATATAAAGATGTTTAGTTTTCACATATCACTGGGGGCTACAGTGTCCTTGTTCTTCAATACACTCCTGAGAATTCCAATACAATAACAGAAATAAATGATAGGAAACAGAAAATAAGCACATTTATAGACACTTCAGTCTATACATAAACTTAAACGCGTTTTAGCAAATAGACTGACAGTCGCAGGATCATGGCTGCTCTGCCACACTGACAATTGCTCACTCTGCACAGATAGTGTGTGTTGGTGTGGATCCTCCTGACCCAATCAGCCACTCTGGATAATTAGTCACTGCTCTTTTCCCTTGAGTGACAAGTTATCAGGAGTTTAATGTATATATTTTTTTCTAGGCATAACACAAAATAGATGCTGATTTTAAAGGATCACAGAATTAAGTAAACTCAGTTATTTCTCTCTTTCCCTTTAGTTTCTGCCAGTGCCAGAGTTGATGCCATTTCGCCTCACTCGCCAGATCCTGAACCTTATGCTCCCAATGAAGGAATCTGGCCTGATCCGCAGCATAATGGTGCATGGACTGCGAGCTTTCCGCCTTGATCCAGATCTCCTCCTCAGCACTATGGACATCTTTGTGAAAGAGCCATCTCTAGACTGGAAGGTAACTGGCTGGCTGCTGATGCCTCAGTGACACTGCAGTTAAATGCTGATAACGCAGGATACGTTTCAGCTGCAGTTTGAATGAGATCCAATGCTTCCTCCTATCTGTTGGGAGCCTTGAAATGGTGCAAATCATTAGTCATTCTGTGCCACCAAATCTCCATCCCTGAAGATCAAGAACAGAGGTTTGTTGAGACCAGGTCACGGGACTCATTTTNAAAAAAAGTTTGATGCTGTGAATGGAGGACGGTAGGATGGGTGTTCTGGAAGGATTAGATCAGATGGACCGAAAGGTCTTCATCCAAACTAGTCTTGTAGTAGATCTAAAGAACAATCCTGATTTAGAAATTCAACAACAACAAATTGAATTTATATAGCAATAAATATACACACACACCATTGGCTGCCGCATTTCTCCCACAAAACACTCAGTCACTACACCTTACAGTATATTCTGTGAAGTGCTTTGAGACGTCTCAACGATGTGATGAGATGCTGTATCCAATGCAAAGGTTATTATAATATAGCACCTTTCACATTGGGAGGATGTCCCAAAGCTTTGCAATTCATATTGCAGCACCATTTAACCCACTGCATTTGGTGAAGAGCACCGCGCCAGGCCTCCTCACACCATGTTGAAGTTACACCACAACATTGTGCCTTGTGGTCTCACGCTACCGCTAAGACACTTAAGTAGACTGCTGGGAAGCGTATGTGAGTGGCCTCTTTCTCTCTCTGACTATCCTTCCCTCTCCCCATAATCACAGGAAAGATCCCATCTCTCACTACCTCTTTGTATCACCTTGTGTTGTCTTCGACGTCTATCATTGTTTTGACTAATTCATGCTCAAGCTATCTTTTGCTGAAATTTATTTCTACTTTGTGCACTGTGGTCCCTGGGTGACACTGAAACTGGAGCTATGTTCGAGCCCTGGGATTTAATTAGGATCGCAGCATGTGAGAGTGCGAACTCTGAGTTGCCCGGAATGGCTGAATGCCAGTTTTAAGGCTGCTCTCCATCATGTTCCTAGACTCAGATGCGTTGAAGTGAAAGATAATAAGATGAATGCACGGCACCATCCCTGGGGAATGAAAAATCAATGAGAGAATCACCAGTGGGCTCCTTGTGGCTGGGTTGATAGTTAACAGCACAGGCTCAGGAGAGGAATTGTCAGCTTGCCAGCCGCCTATCTTCTGCTCTAGATGCCGTGTGGTCCACGGAGACCAAGAGGGATTGGGGATTTCATACCTTCAATGTGTCAAAAAAAAACAGTGCACCCTCATTATTAATCCAGGCAGGTTAGATGATCTGTTAAAGACAATCTGTGTGGAGAATACTGAGCTTGCTTAAAAGGGTATGTGGGGGGGTAACTTTTCCGAGAAGAATTTATTCGCTGTTGATTCTTCAAAGTAACGTTGCGTGATTTTCACTCTCACGCAGAACTTGGAGCTGAAACAAATGAAAAAAGGAGGAACATGGAACAAAGATGTTAACACAAGAGAAATACACTGGTATCCAATGCAGAAGGTGAGGTACGCCAGACGGAAGCTGGAAGGGGCTAACCCGGCTGCCATTACCAGGTGGGTTGGGATCCGTTTAGATCTAAAGGTTGTAAAATTCATTTTTGTTGCTTTTGTGGCTTGTAGGTTGCAAACCAGAACATTGGTCCAGTTTAAAAAGCGGGTTGATGCCTTGATGGGGGGACTGCAAGGTGGATTTTGGAAGAATGAAATTGGATGGGCCGAAGGGCCTTTTTCATCCAATGTGATCTTGTGACCTCTCTCCTCTGTGACACTGAGAGAAGAATGTCCCAGATTAGTCTGTGCTGAGTCAGCTGATCATTGCTCTGTACACAGTCAGCTGTTGTCATCTGCAGTAATGGTGGGAGCACCATAACTAGCATTTGGCATCAACAATCCACTGGATCGGGGAGGGGAAACAGTCAACCCGAGCCCCTGCTTTTTCAGGGGCACTAATGTAAAGTGCACGGGTGCAGTCATTGGGTTCACGGTAGGATTGAATTGGTGACATCTCCCTGTGATTCATTCAAAAGAACATCTGATCATCACATTCTAGGTTCCCAAAATAGTACCTCCATCAGCGTGCTAATACGCAGATTGTGACTTTGTTCAGTTTCATTTCCTATCTCCAAACCACCAGAAGTTTATTTTGGATGCTTTTGGGAATAAGTGTGTCTCTGTCTTAACGAGAAATTTGGCTTTATTATCAACTTGGCAAAATATAGTGCCTGCCTACATAGGGAAGAATGCATGTTTAAAATAGGGTATGCACTCCCCTGATAGCCTGGTGGGGGGGGAAAGGCTGCGTTGAGCCAAAAAGTGGGTCATTCAAACCTTGGTCTGTGCTGTGTTAGCTGAAGCTCTCAGAACTTGCAGTCTGCACTTGGAGCTTGACGATTGGCTGGGACCCACAGCCCCTCAGTCACTGCCAATTTTCTTCCTGATCCTGTCACTCTGTGATAATTAAAACATCAAGTTTATTTAGAAGCATCGCATTTTTTTGCCCTCAGCACAATTTGTGTTGAGATGTACGGAGACGTTTGAAAATTGTAGATCATCTCTTTAATCCCCCTGAGTCGAATGCTCTGGGCCAATTGTAGGACTCCCCAAGAACAGCCTCATGTTCAGAGATCAGCTAACTCAGCACAGACCAGGATTTGAACAATTATCTGTCTCAATGCAATCTTTACCCCCACCAGCTTATAAGGGGAGGGCGCTCCCTATTTTGAACACACATTCTTCCCTAAGTACTGACTCATATATACATTGCTATGTTAATAATGAAACTAATAAAATGGTTTCCTGCCTTAGCAAGGGATTTCAGTGTTGCTTTATCAATTTAATGATTTAGACCCAAGTTTGCCTTTCGTAATATTAGTTTTAAAATATTATTGTTACAGAGATGAGCTACAGCTGGGACATGAAACAACGGAAGCTTACAAAAGCTATGTGGCTGTAGCCATGGGAGACAAGGAGCACAACATCCGGGCGAGAGTACCAGAGGACGGGCTCTCTGTAGAGATCCAAGTGGACTGTCTCATTGACCAGGCCACAGACCCCAATATCCTGGGTAGAGTGTGGGAAGGCTGGGAACCCTGGATGTGATATAAATGCGACCAAGTATAAGCTACTGATCCACCGATGGATCATTGAGCGCAGGAAGAGGTTCTGTTTGAAGAGGTCTTGTAATTGGTCTCGGTGACAGCAGTTAGGAAGGGGCAATACACCCAGTTTCCTGCTCTCAATCTCTTTTCAGCAACCCGCTGTTTCGAGATGCAAGAGTGCACATATTCAATGAGGACAGGATTGGGCTGTGAAGTCTCAATGTCTAGACTCATCAATACTCAACGGTCATTACATGAAGTACCCATGGCCTTCCAGGTGGTAACATTTTTGTAATGCATGTACTAGCTGTTCTTTTTTAAATAATTACAAGAATGTCCTATCATGACATAAAGCCATACACTATGCATTTTCATTTAACTTTCATGCTGTGCTCTATTGATACTTGTAACTGCAGGTCAACCCACGGTCAGTACTTCATCGTCATAATAATTCCTTATTTCCTGACCACAGTGCAGTTTGCAAAACAAGTTAATTTCTTGTTTCATAACCGCTTATGCCTCCTGTTTAAAAGCATTTTGTTCTGCTTACAGCTCAATAAAGTGAATGGTTCAGGGAAATGTGTGTGTGCTCACTCCTGGGGGGAAGGGCCAAGGACTAGAAATGGAAATCTTCTAACTTCATCATTTTGCTTTCTGTAGCTAGATATTCAATATTTTGTTTCAATTCAATGATGTTAAGCAGCGCTCTGTTTTTCCATGTTTTTTTTAGACTGCGTTTAAGAACCCCCTCCTTCTCTTGCCCCCCATGGGTATGAGAAAGTAGACGGGTGACCTTAAAGGCTTCTACACACTCAACCTTGAGACCATGTCATGGACATAGGCATGATGGGAAACACCATTGCCAATATGGCCATTCCCAAAGTAAAAAATAATCCTACACTACTCTCTATCTCTGTCTCTCTCATTTCCTTCAATCGATTTCTTCTCCAAATATCTGTCTTCCCTCCTGAATTTGTTGACACAATTTGCTTCCACCACTTCCCTGGGTATTCTATCCCATGTATTCACAGCTTTCTATGTTCTTGTGAGAATTTGCGCTTGAATAATTCCCTCCCCCCATCCCTTGGGGAAGTCCTTGATTCCAGATTGGACCTCCCCCACAGCATTTCTCCATCCCATGAAGAAGAGCCTTGGTTCCACTCCGTAGCTCTCCCAGCAATGTTTGACCACATTCAGCAACACTTGCCACTTCTTCAACCCACAGAAACACCTCCTTGTGTCAAAGTAACACTCACAAATTGCAGCTTAAACTTTGGGTGGATCTCTGTTTGCAAACATCCTTCCAGTTGCTATTGCAACATATATCCGTAGTGTTCTAAAACGTAAGACTGAAGTGGATTTTACAGAATGTATTCCATGGTAATCTTGAAACAAAAGAATGTTGCTTTGGTACAGAGTTGGCACTGCAGTCCTTGAAGAGTTACCATATCAGTCTTGACTCCAATAAGAGACATCTGGGAGTGAGCTACAGGTTCAATTGAATCTAGGCATTCAGGTGACATAATAGGTTAACAGCATGACATCTGAGCCTGGAGGATAGATTATAGTCTTGAATACACTTCTTAATACTATGCAAGTATCTTATTTTTGTAATTCATACTATTTTGTTTGTGTGATCGGGGCATGGAGAGGAAAAGATGTGTTCTTTGTTTTGGGCAGCAGTGGGTATTTATGCGCTGCGCTGAGTTTCACTGATGGGTAATGCCGTTCATAAAGGAATATGCATGGTTTGCAACTCCTTTTCTGTTGACCTACTGAAAGTTGAATTTTCGTTTCGCTAGAGGGTGGTTTCTGAAGTTTAGACATTTCCATAGAAGCTTCCTCCAATTTAAATTTCTCTTACCAAATCATTGCTTGATTGCAATCCTGAAAATAACACTGACTTGTGATGGTATTAGGAAGGAACCCAGAACCTGAAATCCTCATTGAACACAATTAGGAGGATCTGGTCAGATCTTTTGTTTTTTAAAAAAAACACGGGGTGTCCACGTGCACTGCAGAATATGTGATGCTATCTGCATGCGCTGCAGAATAGCTGATCCTAATATTTAAGAAGAGTGAGATGTAAATCAGGGTATTCAAAACCAATTAGTTGAATCAAGGAAGATCCTTATCCTCATCTGCAAATTCTTTCATAATCTTGTTGCATTCTCCAATGGCAATCTTCTAAGCATACCCTCACTCTTCTAATATAGTCTGCTGCTCTTTCCTCACTCTCCATCCCCACCATCGGTGACTTGAACCTTTAGCCAATATGCTGCCATTCTCTGCAGCTGTCTCCAAACCTCTTCACCTTGCGTCTTCCTTCCTTGTGTTCAGCACTCTCTTATAAACAGTTCTTTAATCATGCCTTTTGTGAAAACCTTCAAATTCTCCCCTGCTTTTCAGACAGGGTCCTTGTTTCTGGATTGTTGACCATGACCTGACTGGAAAGTATGCATGTTTGTCCATCTGGTCAGGGCAGTAATTGTCCAGTCTGTGGAAACGATGGGTATGATGAGCCAAATGGCATTTAAACTGCATAATCCTTCATGAACGTTCACTGATCTATCACCGTGTCGTATTATTTATGAGGTTAAGTCCAAAGTCAACATACTTTCCTAAAGAAATTTTACTCAGTGCATTTGGCAATTCAGTTGTGTACAAAGTGGTAATTCAGCCCTTGTTTGCAATCTAAACCTTTCCTTGTAATACTGACGTGAATTATCAGTATCTGAAATCTAGTCTAATTGAGATGAAAGACACGATGGGTATTAATATAGTTCAATCTGATGTGTGCTATGTGGACAATGTAACCTTGTCACTAAGAATGTCAGAAGCTGCAGTAAAATAAAAATGATAGATTACAGAATCTTGAAATACGAGTTAAAATATACTGTTCCTTTGTGGCTAATCTGGTTTTATGCCTTTGTCATCTGATATAGGGTTATTGAATACAGTAGAGGAAGTGTTATTGAGCTCGCGTAGCTTTTGATAGATTCTCTGAGATAACTTGCATTGTACCATGACTTAGCAAACTCCACTTTGGAATTCAGTGTTTTGTACCCTTGTCAATAATATTCAATACCAGCTCGGGCAGCTCAAGAACCAGTGACATGTTTAAACACCAAAGGTTGTCTCTTGAGTTTAATTTTTGGGAGGAAATCATTGCTGGCCTTTTTCATGGCACCCATCTCGGTAATAGAATTATGGAATTTTGTCAGCACAGAAGAAGGCCATTCGCGCCCGTGCCAGCTCTCTGACAGAGCAATCCATTCAGTCCCACTTTACTGTTTTATTCCCATAACTCCTGTTTCTTTGGATAACAAAATGTTGGACAAGCCAATCAGTATTAAACAACATGCACATATTTATTTCTGTTATTTCTTAGCTGGTTATGAATCGGATTCTTCCATATTTACTATTGGTTGGTTCTATTTGCATGCAATTTGAACAAATGTAGAAAAATAGAATATTATGTTTTGTTCAATCTTCCTCATTCTTTGAATGTAGTTAAAACCCCACTATGATGTCTCCCATCCTTCCCCCTCCACCCTCCCCTTTTGGGTTATGTTTCTGAACTTATTTCTTATGGGATATAGTACACAGGTAGTTTGGGACATATGTGCATGCGACTGCCAGGAAGGTGAACTAGGTGGACCTTGGTCTTTTTTTGGCTAGTATTTCTTATGTTCTTGTAGAGTACGTGGAGCTTTTCTATTTAGATGTGCACATGTGTCAGTCTGGCTGTTGTTAACACTCTCACCTCTGCGGCAGGAGGTTGTGGGTTTGAACCACAGATTAGGGTTTGAGTTCTTAATTTAGTCTTACATTCCAGTGCATACTGTGAAAATGCTCCTTTGCTGAAAGTGCCATAATAATAATCCTTGTATTTGATATAGCGCCTCATCATGTCGTTCAGATGTCTCAAAGCAGTTATATACTGTAAAGTGAATTGATTGATTATTTTGTGGGCGAAATGCAGCAGCTAATTGAGCACAGCAGTGTCTCACAAACAGTTGTGCTATGGTGAGAGCAACCATCTTAGATTTGCCTCCATAACACAGTTCCTGCAATCGTTGCATGAAACTCATTAAGATATTTTGGAGTGATAACAAAAACAAGAAGATTGCATTTGTATAGCGCCTTTCACGTCGGGAGGACATCCCAAGGCGCTTGAATTAAGTGCAAGTACTTATTGCCTCATTGCACCAACTTGGGATTTCTGCTGCCTCCTCGTTCAAACGTGAACAAAGCCTAATGTGAATCAAAAACAACAACTGGCTCTTATACAGAACCTTCCACGTAGATGAGCATTTCAAATGCTTGACAGTATTTACTAGGCGAAGCATATTACTTTCATGACTATCAGTACTCTCTTCCAAGGGCAATATCCCTTTGAATGACAACAACAACCAACAAAATTACATTTGTATAGTGCTTTTCATGTCGGGAGGACGTCCTAAAGCGCTGGAAAATCAGTGTTTCAGACCTGAGCTGGGGGTCTTGAAGGAGGTATCGGAGGGGGCGAAGTGGAAGTACTGCAGGAGTTCCAGAGTGGAAGAAGGCCTGCCCACCAATGGTGGGGTGGGCGAGACGGGGGATGTGAAGCAGTGCACCTTTGGATGGTGATGCTGTCAGTGTGGCGGTGCTGAAAGAAGCCAATCAGGAGAGCCTATTATTCATTTTTAACCATAGACTGATTTACTCAGAATACTGAACATCCCTGAATCAGGTCATCAACAATCCCAAAAAGCTGTGTAAAAGAGAAACTTGTCCACATGAGAAGTGAGAAACACAAACTTAAACTCTGTGCAGAAAAATACTTGAGTAACTCCAATAATTCCACTTAGTGATATACGAAGTGAACATGAGTACTACACTTAGGGTTGTTTACAGAACAATACTTGGCTCTGAAGTTCGGTGCCTAAGGAACAAAATCATTTGTAGCAAATAGACGATTTGGTAATATGTTCAGGGAATAGGTAGTAAACAAGTCGAATCTAACTAAAGTAATATGTAGTTGATCCAAGTTTGTAAACGAATTTGATCACATGAGAGTTGTTTTCTGAATCTGGGAAAGGCTTCAGTGATGCGTGTCCTCACTGGGCTGCCAAGCTTGGCAGACACTGACCTCTCTGGAGAGCCTTGTTGTTATTGGTGGCCCCACATCCACCCACTTTAGTAGTGTTTCTTTTTAATAGTGCACATGTTTGAAACCGTTCTCATTCTGAAAAGATCCAATTTTATTTATTTTTTACAATCTTCTGTGCAATGCTATTCTTGACCATTTCAGCAGCACTGCTCTCCGAATCTTTCTGAATCTTTAATGTTTAAAATCCGACCTGTACTAAAGTCTGGCCTTGGAATCTAACTGACGATAGCTTCAAGATGCTCATTCTAGGCGAAAGGCGTTCTCACAAGTGCAAGTAATTGTGGTATACAAAGCACCGCCACACTGACAGCATGACATATCCTGAAAATGTGCAAAATCTAGGCAAAACATTGGACTCTGCAGAGGCCACAATAAACATTTTCAGCAGACAAGAACATGGCAAGATTTGCCGGGAAGGTGTTGA